GAAGACATTACTGGCGGAATGGCACAATCTTTCCATCGAATACCTGCGTACCACAGTCGCATCCTACCCGAAGCGTCTCTGTGAAGTCATAGCTCCGAAAGGAGGCCGAATCGAAAAGAGTTAATAGATAAATATTTGTTATACTATAGATAAAAAATATTTCGAGTCTCGTTTGATTTGGACCTTTAGTTTCAGAAATATACGTCTTCAAAGTTGTGCGGGAACTTAAATGACACCCTGTATGTCCGATCACCTAATTATGGAGAGCGGGCGTCATGTGTGTTTGCACTTTTTTCTTCCTAAAAATTTTATTAAAGCACACAAAACGATTGCGGACTACTACTAGTTTAACCAGTCGATATGTTTGTTTGAACAAACTTCTCAAATTAGAATTTGCCAAAATATCACCGCCAAAACGATGCATTGCTCACGGCAATCATCATCGTCATTATTCGTCATATCGGAATCTCATTTTCGAGAAAATGAAAATGAAGACGACAGAAAAAAATGGGGCCGAATGGTTTATTTAAACAGCTTTTGCTGCAGAAGCAACACTACCACGGCCCGAATTGCGACGACGCGAATGAAGGAGGAGAAGAAAAAGGAGACAAAAAAAAAACGTCGCTCCGTCTAAACGGGTTCGCCTCCCTCTGTGCCGATGTTTAGTATTTTCTCCCTCCACCTCCTCCTCATTTTCCTCCTACTTCCATCCTTCTTGTTTCGATCGTTCGCATTCCGATCCTCCAATCGAATTGACTTCATCATCATTATCATCGCTTTTGCTTAGTATTGCATTGGTAAATTGTGTGCAGCTGAGAATCGATTGTGTGGCGAGTCGATCGAAATTTCCATTGCTAGATAGTGTCAATCATTGGCCTCATTTTGTGTTTCGGCATGCAACGCTCGAAGTGTCCATTCAATGATGGTGATGATGATGTCCATCTATCCGTCCCCCCAATATGCACTTTATTCTATTTTTGACGAATCCGACTGGAAATTTAATTTTGGATCTCAATTACCCAACAACATTTTTTCGGCTCTTAACGTTGAAGACTTCCGCCGTGGCGAGTTAATTAAATTTCTGCAATCAAAAATGCCTATTGACGTGATCAATTTTGTCGACAAATTTGACTCTTCGAGACGTCTGATTGAGCAGAATCTGCATCTAGTTATCTAATTGGAAGTGATCGATTTTCGGCTAGTGATATCGGCTAAAAAACGCTGATAGAAACGCACTTTGCAGTCGCCAATTTCGAATAGTGGGCGTGCAGTCTCGAATTTCAAGAAATTTCGAGATTTTTCAATTCTCGTTTGTCACTTTTTTTTGCCCCAATCCAATCAACTAAATGCACTGCATTTTGTGTTCTGATTAGATCAACGATCATTCTAAAAAAAATTGTTTTAGCGGATTATTTTTCATTTATCCCTATCGTATTCTTGCCAATCAGAATAATTGTTCCGAATTTGGCACATTGGTGCAAAAACGGAGAGGAACCGATAAGACGCACCAACATTCATGTACACATAGCGAATAATAGAACGACATTTTATTGTTTGATATTTGGCCATCTTGCCGTTGCGGTGCGTTTTTTTTCTAGAAATCATGTATTACTTTAGGTATATATATATATATATATATATATGTATATGTACAACAGAATTCTTCTGCTCGTAATTTGCAATTTTCATTCAAATTATTTTCGACTCAAAAATTCGGTTTATTTGAAAGACTCAGCTCATTAAAATGCATTCAGTAAACAGAACATTGCTCTGTTTAGCTGAAAAAAGAACGCTTTGAGCGGTAAACAATTGCATATATATTTCGGGAAAAAATTCGCAGCTCGTCGCATTCAAGCCGGGTTCCTCGCAATGCTCTGCGACGCGTAATTAGTTTATGAAAAAGTATGAAATATATCAATATTGCGCATTTCTCGAATTTTCGGTCAATAACAATTGGACGCAAAAATTAAGTTTTTTTCTCCATCTTTTGAGTTCCCATTGAATGTTTTTTTTTTCGAGACATTTCCTCCATTTTTTTTCTCTCAAACGCGTTTTTTTTGTGTGTTTGTGCCCCCGACCGCGAGCCCTCTAAAACACTCATTGCTCATGTGTTGCATCTGCCAAAATGTACTTTGTTAACAAAAAAATGTTCGACGTCATTTTTTTGTGATGAATGCGCGAATGTCGACCCTGCTCTTGTGTTCCGGTGTTCATCAATTTGATTTTCCAATCTCGGATTTATTCAAAGGATTATCAAATGTTTTTTTTTCATCTTTGGGCGTTCTCATATTTTTGCGGCACTCAAGTTGCTAGCGATAGCTGGAAAAAATAAAAGTGCAATGTTAAATTGCTCATTTTTTGCAACTTTGAGCACAACCCAATTATGCTTCCCGCATAATTATAGATATAATTCACCATAGGACATTATAAATAATGTCCAGAAATTGTGCACTTATAAGTATCTCATTTTACCTTCTATCCGTCACTGGTTTTGGGAACTCGAAATGTGCCACATTTAGTATGCTCAAAAATTTCGCAAGCGTTTTTTATAAGAGTAAAGTTGTGAAATGTTTGCGAAAACCTGGAGCAAACCAGTACTTGATTGCAATTTTTAATTACTCACCAAAAATGTTTGTTTAAGGCAGCGCAAAAAAAAAGCCCCATGAGATTCGATGATTTCGAGATAATTCTCGAAAATATTCAAAAATAGTAGTTTTGTTAACAAATTTGTTCATTTCTTATTTTGTGCTTGGAATTTTTTTTCATAAAAAAATTTTCGATAAATATTGCATGCTCATCAAACGGAAATAATAGGCATATGGGCATAATCGAAAAAAGCAACCCACAGTGCCTGTTATCCGCACCACGGAAATTTGAATTAGAGCTCCAAACGCATTCGATAGTCCCCAAACACGGGATTTGTTTTTATTTGTAATTATCCTATTTTTCGTCGGGAAAAAATTGCACCTGACCCTGTACTGTACTTGGAATTTTCGAATTGTCTAGTCTATTCCAGAAGCTTCGAAAGTTGCGTGCCCATTCGAACCATCACCCTTAATACGTTTCTCCGTTGTATTATTCCCGACGCAACCAATCCTCTCATTTTGCATAACTCACCTAATTATGACTGGACGGAAATTGAATGATATTAACGGCGGAACAACATGCTTATGTTCGGCCAATATCACCTGTTTTTGAAAATTTTCGAGGTCCTTTCAAATTGTTTGCCGAACACGATTTCCTGGTGGTGAATTCACGTGATGTGTTACTTTTTCACGTCTTTCTGTGTCATCTGCCGTATCATGATGTGAGTGTGTTTGAAACCGGGACAGAGAGGAGGGTTAAAACAGCATTGGCGGGACGTTATCATCAAAAACGAGGAGCGAATCTGTCGCGGTTTAGCCTATTTTTTTTTTCATTGGTTCTATTTGGTTTTTATACACAAAACTGCCTAAAAATGCATTGATCCCCTCTTTTTCATTCTATTTTTTTCCTCATTACTCTATGAATATGTTATAAAATAAATAGTACGCGGATTTTACTCTGGATTTTCCATAATTCTAAGAAGTTTTCTTAAATACAAATACTATATCTCATTTTTGATACTTGAAATTTAATGTTTTGTGAATAATTACATTTGCAGACTATGCTTCATTTCATTATGTCATTGCATAATGCATGATTACTTGCCATTTTTCTCGAAAATGCTACATTCGATAAGTAATCAATCCGTGTAAAAGCAATCTCTTTCTAATAATGGCTGTTTTTTTCGTCGTTTCTGTTCCCCCGCAAAACTAAAGGATTTCGAGTATTCGTAAGTTATGAATAGTGCAGACTTTTTGTGGTATTATATTATACTGTTCGAAAGTGAAAAAACATAACTCAGTGAAACTGATAATAGACGCATTATCGCCACACTCTGTACCATTTTTTTTAACTTGAGTATGACTTTCGATTGATAAGAGTCTGCCGCTTTCATATTTTTATTGCAATTCACATCTTGTTCCAAAAAATATTGTTTCGTTTTTATGTGCAATATTTCGTCATGGTTATTGAACTAGATTACTGTACCTTTAAATATTTTACTTTTTTGCGATCAAGTGATTTTTTCAAAGCGCCCTATTTTGCTATGTAGTTTGGTTAGATGAAATAATTATCAAAATATTTATTAAGAATAATAATTGATTACTCTACTATAGAACGGAATATCTTCGAGAGCTGGCGAGTGGTAAAAATTACAATGTCCCGTTTTAATCGCTTCGAGACTCATCTTGCTTTTCATAAATACTCTTTGATCTTATCAACAAACATTCTGAGTTGGTTCGCCTAAATATTCTACTTTTTCACTACCTCACTACCATTTTGAGAAATATTGAACTCGAACATATCGCATAAAATCTCTTTGTATTTCTCTCAACGCATTTTAAACGTTGATCAGCGTGATGCACGTGAAATGTGGATCCACACCGGTGATTTACAGATTTGTGCGGAGTTGAGAAGGAGGCGAAACCGACCGGGAAGCGATCAGAGTTCACACGCACCTTTGACGCGGCGAATTATACGAAGAAGACAGAAGCCAACAATCGAATCGCGTCGATAGGACAAGAAGAAGGAGAAGCCGATCAATTATTTTTTGCTGCACCTGGCATTTCGCTCCTCTGCCCTGTTTGACTGTGTCGGAGGCAGTGTGCACGGAGATTGTTTGTTTTTTTCTGGCCACCGGCAATCCTCAGCCAACTTCCTCTCGCGAGCTGTTCCCGTCTGCGATTTTTACACCCTATTTGCTGCTGCTGAATTTGCATTAATTCGGTGAGTTTATCCGCTATTCAACTATTATTCATATATTCGCGATTTTCGAAAATCAAGAAATGAAAAATAGTAGTGAAATTGCAGAAGTCGGCTCAGGTGCGTGTTCCTGTTTCTCCCCTAAACCTTGCCTTCCATTTCTTCATACGGGTCTTTTGTTTCCATTTGCGTGTCGCTCATCTCATCGTTTAATCATGCTCAAAACCGGCGCCTACTCAATGACTTTTGGCAATTCGCCAATTGATAATTTTAATGGTAACGGCACAACCTCACCGCCGTTGAATGGCTCTCCGCCGCTCGACGTTCATAGGTGAGAGGGTCTCGACACGAAAAACTCGAATGCGATAATTTGCGTTTCAAGAATCTGCCAAAAAGCGAGTTGTTCTGAAGACGCGGTTGTGATGGTGAAGCTGACCGACGAGATGTTCACCGCTCTGGAGCAATGCTATCGAAGCGGGAAGAAAATTCAGATTCGTGTTGAAGAACAGGTTATTCTTTCCGCAAAATGCTTCCCTTTTATGATATTTCTGTCAATTAAGGGAGGAATAATCGAACTCGGTGACGGAACAGCATCTTCTATGACAAATAATACTTTTCGGTTTCAAAAACAAAGCTTAACGGTATGAATTTCGATATTTATACGATAGGTTTCGGGTTTAAATATCAGAAATAAATGAAAAAACGACCAAAATCGCGAACGAAAAAAAATATTTTTTTCGTTTAGGATTCAACTGATACTCTTGTACAACAACCGGGTGGACGCGTCTTCAATGTTGGTGCCTATAAAACGAAATATCAGGTTTCAAAACAATACCAAATCATATTTTTAAATTTTATTGATTTCAGATTCAAGCAACTGATAAATCGTTTGAAGAGACGCGAAAACGCGCTGAAAAACGCGCAGAGGTTGAGAAAAGTCGAGGTACAAAGGAAATGAAGTAGGACATTGCGAGGCGAACGTTTCAATCAGTTTTTTCGTTTTTGTAGGAAAAGCGGCATTCCCTCATCATCACGCTTAATGAATTCGTCGTCAACGCCTCGCGGCACTGGCGGTTCAACGCATTCGTCGCGTGTGAGCCCGACGTTTGCATCGAACAAGGCGTCGACGAGTCAACAGTCGTCGAAAACGTCATCGGCGGCGCCGAAACCGGAGAACGTTGTTAGGAACGAGTTGATGACACGATCTTTGAAGAAACGAATCATGCATCATGTGGTGACACAAAAATTCAAGGATTGGGAAGAGGTGTATAGAAAAATGAAGTCTGAAGGATTGCCGAAGGACAAGGATACTTCGCCGGAAATCATCGAGAGAATTGTTCGTGAGGTGTCTGAATACGCATCTCCCAACTCAGCGTGTCTCTCGTTGAAAACGAGCCTTCTCGGTGAGCTGGATGCGCGTTGGATGTTTTACACTCAAGAGGAAAAGGTAAGCGCATTTGAATTTGTATTCACGACGCGCTACTCTATAGATTTTTTCATGCCGGGGTTATGTTTTCTTTTGAGGAATTTAATTGCGAAATTTATTGATTGTTGTTTTAAAGCAACGTCACAATATATTATTTTCAATTTTTTAAAGTTAAAATCGCTCACATATTTAAACATTATGTAAATTTTGTTAAATGAGCGAAATGTTGGGAGATGAGACGTGTAGCCGTAAAACTATTGTTGGAAATCTAAAAAAACGAAATGTATCAATTTAACACCAATTCAGATCAATTGTTTAATGGTAGACTTGCAACTTTTGAAAAAAAAAATTCTTTTTCGCAGTTCGGAAGTCTAGAGTAGAAGCTTTTAAAACAAAAAAAAAACAAAATCTCGCTTTCTTTTAAATTCAATAAAAATTAATTAATAATGCGGAATCATAATTGTTTTCGAAATTAGCTAATAAGTTTTTTCCTCTCTCCGAGGTTTTCGCGACAATAACATACATAATTTCTTTCTTCTCACAATATTAAAGCACATATAAATGCAATTCTTATGACACTAATAATAAAAATAATAATGTGTTTTCGCGTATTTCCGATTCCGATTTTCTGGACACGTGTGTCGTGCGAATGAATGAAACAATCGCACAAATTCATAAACATTATTTTATCGATCATCATTTAAGGCTTGGGTTCGCAAATTACAAGCAAAAGTTTCTGGAAATCGCAGTGCTCCGACGGATTCGTCTTCGTTTGCGCCAATTCGAAAGAAGGTTTAAATATAAATTGATATAATATTTGATAGTTTCTTATTATAGGGTATGGAACGAATGACAGCGACGTCTCGTTCGACGGCGCCAAGCGAAAAACAGGAGGCGAAATCGTTGTCTCCAGAAGGTTGACAAATTTTAATGAATAGCCCGAATTTTCATGTGTGCAATTTTCAGAGATTCCAACACCGCCGACGTCTCAACCATCTTCTAAAGCAATGGAGCCAATGGAGAGGTATGTGTATCCCCGAAACAATTGTTTATTATTGATTATTTTTTTTAGTGATGATGATGTGTATGAGGCACCCACCATCGGTGTGAAAAGGAAAGCGCATTCGGGGGCGGCGGCTGCTTCTGCTGCTACCAATGCAAACGGCGCGATGGCAACGCATATCACTAACATTCCGGAGACGCCGGCGGAGAAGCGCGTACGTCGCAACGAATCAGCGAGTCCACCGGAGGACCCACGCAATGCTCAAGCTCCGCCTCCACCACCGCCGCCGGCTTCACTTCCAATCCTGGCGACGGCTCCACATTTGCCGCCGCCGCCTCCTCCAACGACACTTCTGAATCACGATATGCACTCAAAAATGGGATCGTTCCAAGGTTTTGTGTACCGTCCTAACGGATTGGCGCCACCGCCGCCGCAAACAGAGACGAATGCGGTTGCTACCAACGGTGGCGGATCGACGGCATCATCGCGACTCTCGTCGCCGGCATCTTCGCTGTCGTCGCCAAGCCAACCTGAGTGCGATTGGGAAAAGGAATTCGGAGAGGTTTGCCCATTTTAATTGTTTTTCTCTAAATAATTAAAAAATTTCTCAGATCAAGACGATCAGCGATGCTGAAAACTATTTTACGATGTTCCATAAGGATTATCCATCGTATATGGAATGCTTTCGTAAGCTGAGCGATGTTTCGAACGAGTTCCGCAATTTGGAAAAGAAGCTCATGAACGCGATTCAACGCAAATCGAGCTCGGCATCCGCCTCCAAAGAAATCTCGTTGATCGAGCGGGAGATACAGAATCGTTATGCGCATTTTGAAAAAGATCCAGATTTTCTCAAGGTAAACTTTTAAGTGTGCGTCTTTAATGCAAAACTGTATGAGAGCAACAAAAAAAATGACGGAGTCTATTTTTGCCAATATCCAGTATCCGATTGATCTCGAACAAAAGCGTCATTGATAAAATGTACAATAAAAACGAAGCAGATCGATTGATTATATTGTAGATCGATTGATTATATATATTAAAATTCCAGAAGAAAAAGCTAATGAATTTTGATTTCAGACTCGACAGAAGCACGCAAACCTACGTTCGAAGTTGGCGGTTTTGAAATCGCGTATCTGCAATTGGGAAACGATGCAATAGCTTTGAGAAACTTGCGATCGCGATAGTCGCAGTCTTCTCCCTTTATCTCCCTCTCTCGTTTTTACCAATTCCTTTTTTTCTTCTTAATTCTTTATTGCTATGAACGTATGCACTTTCTTGTTGATTTTCTTTGAAGGTATCGGAGTGCTTAGAAATAATTGTACAATGTAAAATAGTCTCTTTTTGATTTGAATTTGCTGGTCGAACAAACAAAACATGTGGTTGATTTAACAAAGTGTAGTCATTTTTATTGTTTTCCTCCTTTCCTTCTCGCTTTTCTTTCATTTATGGTGATAGTAGTAAGTCTAGTGCTTCTCTCATGTGATCAAACCCCCAAAACTGTTCCTTATTCATACGAAAAAAAAACAAATCGGTTAAAATATTCACATTTATATTGTATAATTCATTAGCGGTAATATAATTATTATTATAATTATTATATACTATTATAATCTATATCTGCAGTATACATTTATCGAGTGCTTTGTTAGCCAAAAAATGATTAAAAATCCACCAACCCCATACATACACACTTGTCGAAGGCCGGTGATACAAAAAATGAACTCACGGATTGCTTTTCCATTTTTTTCTATGTCTGTCTTTATCAAACTTTTGATATTGTTTTTTTTTTCTGTCGTAGATTTGTCCAGTTAGTGATTCGTAGTTGTGTTTTCGTTTCCTTTTTTGCCATGATCCGGGAATTGTTTATTTTTGAGGCATATCACACCATTCTATCCTTTTTTGCCTTCAATGTGTCTTCGTGTTCTTTTCCCTGTTTTACGTTTCGTTTTCTTTCTTCCTTTTTTTTTTCTTTTTTTTTTAGTTTCTGTTCGATCTTCCTTGGTAATATTGCATAGATGAATGAAATGTTGAAAGTTTATCAATTTGACAATTACACACTTCAGGTCTTATGATGTTTTCCTTCTGGTGTAATCGACGCGGTTCAATCAGCCTAGTGCTGACATTGCTGACAACATGATGCGGTTTGGTTGTGTCGTTCTTCTAGTTTTCGTCGATTCCGTAATTGGCCAAGATAATGCTGCTGAACTTGAGTTCTCGCCATATGTATTCAAAGCTGTCGATGTGCCATTCAAAACCGTGAGTTTGATTAGAAAAGAATTCTGGATATCCCGGGTGAAGCCGCTCAATTCGGAAGGAGGTACCCACAGTACCCACTTTCAGTGTAGATGGGACCTTTTCCCGTCTGTTGGGAAATTATCTTCATGATCGCCAGGGAGTTTTTCTGATCGAATCAATACAATTCATCTCATATCGACTCGTTACTCTAAATTTAAAATTTCAGAACAACTACGCGAAAGACTGGTACGGTTCCGATGTGGCTCTTGTGCAACATCCATTCCTCGCACCAGCAAAAGCCGTCAAACCGGGTAACCCAGTCTCGCTTCCCACCATCGCCCCGTTAATCGTCAAGTGGTCCGATTTGGAAAATGTGAAAGTCAACGAGAAAATTGGCTGGAATTTTGAGAAACGCGTCGATTCGCACGTTTGGTGGCCAAACAAGAAGTGAGGATTAATTTAATAAGCGATCGAGAAAAGTTGTTTAGAAAAAATAAAGAATTATTATAATTATTATTAATGAAACCACTTTCCACCTATCAGTATGACAGTTGTCATTTAATAGTTTGGATATGGAAGGTGTTTAATGTTTGACTAAACTTGATCATTTCGGCTTACTCCACCGAATATAGGAAAATGCCTTGACATGGCCTCTGCCGGGCCAAACCATTTTTTTGGGAAGCCGAAAAAACAACCCTGATATGTTCGATGAATTACAATTTTTGATAATACTCGTTCGATCTTTTGGTGATAGATGTAAATTGATTCCCCGGCCGACTGTGGCCAGAACCACTAATTAATTGTGATTTATTAAACAGATAAGGCATGTGACAATAAATAATATCTTTATTAATTAAAAGGCAAGAAGGAGTAGCACACAAAGCAATAATATAACCGTATCATCTTTTTTTTAAAGTTATTTCTGCTATTATTGTTATCACAAATTGAGCATTATGCAAGCATTTGACACGACTCTTTAAATGCGATCGTAACACACACAGAAGGTGGCGAGGTAGTAGTTCTTGTCAATTATACAATGGGGAGTGTCTCCAAATTTGTTCACATGGCTCAGAGACGCAAAGTCGAATTTGACTTCGTCCTTCATCATATCGTAGAATAATGTGGCCTAAAAAATAAAATGTGATGGAGTCAGGAATGCCCTCAAAAGAATGTCCTCAATAACTTTGAAAACTAAAACTAACCTCGTAAATAGCCACACCAGGTGTTGTCTTGAATTTTATTTGATAATGGGCGAACGCTGGCTTCGTATTTCCAGACAAATCTGGCACAAATCCATCGGCATCCTTGGTATTTTTATAAGAAAGAAGACCTTTATCGGGAAGCAATCTGAAATAAATATAACCAAATTTCATATTTCTATTTGTACAAACTTCTTCGACCCGATCAATTTATCCAAGCGGAGCGGAGCGCAAAGCTTCTTTTCAGTCTCAATTTCCCTATTAATCGCAGCAACAACTGTTTGGGCAATTCTGAATTTTCATTTTGAATTAAAATTAATTATCAAAGCATATACCGCATCGACAAATTTCGGTCTTCATCGGTGGACATTGCGTCTTGCCACGATAAACAAGTGCACCAATGGGGTTCAATTCCAGCTTCACTGCATACTCGATTACTCGAAATCGGACGGAACAAAGATTGCGAGCGTTCGGTTCCTTGCGGCTGAAATTTAACAGTCACTTTGTTTCGATTATTTAATGCCAACCTCCGTGAAAGAATCCTCATTATCATTCAAATTGAGAATATCCATTAGAGTTGCGTGAATATCAAATGGACTTGTTAACCTGAACATTTTTACGATTATTTCCAAAAAAATTGGTATACCACTAACTTTTCTTTATTATCCAATAGGTTTTTATACATTGTTTTGCCGACATCAGTGTGACGGAATGATTTCGGCAAATAAATTGAGAAAAACGGCATCCTCTGGAACAAATTCAATAATCTCAGCAAGAAAAATAAAGTGAAAAAACCTCCTCGAGCTGCCCTTGATGGGTTCCTCGAAGTTGCGCGAATCGATGACCGTGATCAGCCATGACAATCACAATCGAATTATCGAAATGTCCTGAAAAAAAAAACAAATGACTATAGCTTTTGGAAATATCATACCTTCTTCGTTCATCAATTTCAAATGCGATGAAAGGTCGTCATCCTCGACGCCAACTAAATTAATGTCATCGTGAGACAACAGCGATTGATGCATGAGCAGGAATCTTGGCACATCTTCATATACCTTCATAAATCGTCGCGCATTTTGAAACCACATCTAAGAAAAAAAGATGATCACATAATAGAATTTCAATGACTACCTTGTGAAGCGGAATAGATCCAATACAATTTCGATCATTAAGCTTTTCGATTTCCTGGAAGATCGTGCGAGTATAGTGATCAGTCGGCAATTTACGGAAACCTTTCAATCGATACGTGAATGTTCCTAAACTCAAAATCTAACAATATGATAAGTCCAAAAGTCAAGGTTTACCAATATTGAAAGCATCTTCTCCATACATTGTAACATATCCCGCATCAGAGAAATTATTCCAAATAAATGGATACACGTCATCAACGTAGTTCGCATTAGAATACCGTTTTCTAAAAAACGGTTTGGTGTGATTTTTGAGAGTTGCATCCCCAATTTTATACGTTTAACATTTCATTCAAATGTATTCGAGAAAATGTGTTTCCGTTTTGCTTTAGTGGATTTCGACGAACAAAATTTTAAGGCGGCGGTCATCAAACGGTCATTTTATAGCTCATTGTCTGAATTTTTGCGGGCCAAGATTGATGACATATGGTTTTCATCTTATTTTTTGCGAACGACTACTCGCACTAACAAATCAATATTTCCGGTCGTTTACGACGTTTTTTTTGTAATTTTCCTCATAAAAAAACAATATTTTAGCTTGAACTTTCCATTCACCTTGTCAACGGCAGTTCGGTTTCAGTCTGTGCTGTTAGAATAGGTATAAAAGCCTGGGGTGTTCCATCTCCAACAATATTGTATCCATTCAGCACAACGCTTCCCATTACTTTTTCCAAATAATCAACTGTTTTCGGCAATTTTCTTCTAAATGACATCTGACTGAGCGAATCGAATCTAGAAATATTGAATTCGTTATGGATTAGCAAAAATTATTGAAACCCTAGGAAATAGACGTTCATTGGCTTTTTATTTCCACGATTCGAAGCCAATTCTCGTTTCATTTCGCGCACTTTTTTATTATCAACAATGGTCCATAAAATGGATTTCCTAAATTTTCCGATTTAATTTGTAATTTTTACATTTTTTAAAACCATTTTTCAAATCTTTGAACACAATGAATTACCGCATAATCGCTTACATTCATAACAAATCCATCTGTAACGAAAAAAATCTCACTGAATTTTATACAAAATGATGTTTTACCATATATTTTAACAGGAGTGCTGATACTATTCCTATTGTCATCGACTCGGTCAACATACCGTATTTTGCAAACAGCTCCTTTTCTGAAAAATAGAAACTTTAGCACCTTATTTAGAGCTGCATTGGTACATTTAAATAAGCATCATAAAAATTTAAATAAATTTTGCTGCATGCCCACCTGAATTGACACAAAATGTCAATATATAAATATAAAGAATTCATAAATAAAACATTTTTGTTCATTGCCTGAAGAATCGTGATTGTTTGCACAGTATAAATAACAAATCATGTATTTTCAATTGAAAAAAGCAAAAGTACCGTTTTTCTGTAAATTTCAACAATCCATCATTATCCACGAATACCCAATTGTCTTCAATTCCGCTATCTGGTTTTTGGCAATTTAAAGGTTCATGCTTTTTGAAGAATCCGATAACTTCACTGCCATTAATGTCAAGTTTTGGAATATTGCAAGTCTAAAATGAAATTAATTTGTTTTTTTAAACATTCATTTGGATTACCTCAACTCCTGTAAGTGTATTAGTTTTTACATTTACACTTCCGTTTTTCTTGGTGATATCCCGATCGCTATGCAGAACCTCCATTTTAATTAAAGACAAATCCTGCAATAAATCTAATTTCATCTCTCGTTATTTCAACAGCTTACTTCAACGCCGAAATCCGCTTTCGGAGGTTCCAAATCATGGTCCTTCATTAAATTGAATGAATTGAACACCAAAACACCGCAGCATACAAATAGAACAATAATGACGATTTGCCTCAAACGAAACAATACCATCGCCATTTTAGGTATTGATTACGACAAGCTGGAATGATAGAAATGAATGAACAATTAAACACAATGGGGGGAGGCAAGCAAAAAAAATTTGATGGAAACAAAATACAACGAAAAACGGCCACTTGAAAATAAGGCAGGAGAGGCAGCGAATACGATATACAAACAGAAAGTCGAGCATGCGCGCGATCCGTCGCGCCAGCTTTGACTTATTTTACGCGTTTTATTAATTCGCAAATTTTCAAAATTATTTGAAGTTATCCCTCGCTTTTATTCACGTGAGAAGATTTATTTAGAAAATCTCATCATCCTCGTTTTAAATTAAACTCTTTGCAAGCATTGAGTAATGAATTCAATTACGGCTTAAAAGGCATAAAAATCTTATTTAGTCATTTCCTCGCTTCATCCCAAAAAATCAAGAAAACTCGTTACTGTAGTTTATAAATTGAGCGAGTTTGGTTTTCTCGTGATAGTAATATCATCATTTTTCAATTACCAGCACATATGATTTTAGTACATATTAGTATCTTAACACCCTACCGTGGTATTTAAAATAAACTAGAAGATTGTGATAAATATTTAATGTGTGTTTTCTTGTTGCAAAAATCTTTGAAGCCCTGTTATAAAGTTATTGTTCCGCGAAAACATAACGTTTCTGAAAAAGTCGCTGGCCGAAAATTTCCAATACTTTATAGCATTTCTTCAATATTTATTCGTTCTTTAAGCGAATCGTTTTTTTTTTATAATGAAATTAGATTTACGCACAAACCATCACCGATGGATATTTAATTCGGCAGAAAATAAAATAAATCCAAAAATCAATTTCCATTAATCAGCGACCTTAACGAGAAACTCACAATTTTTGAATATTTCGCAAATCAGTCATTTTCAAACAAGGATTTTGCAAAATTATGCGGATTCGACAAGTCATGAGATATGTGTGGCAAATAAATAAACATTCAAAGTTAAATTGTCAATGGGGCGGGTTTGCGAGAGCTACTGGGTGGTTCACTTTTGAGAGTTGTAAAATTGGGCACGGAAGGTTACCAATCGGATCCGACGAATTACTAATCTCAACCGCAGAAATTGAAAAAAAAAATTTGTTGAATCCGACTGGTTTTGATTTATAATACCATTAAAAAATTACAGAATTATTCACGGTACATATGTAATTATCGTATGTATTTCCCCAAAATTGGTTAAAAGGAAACATGAAAATTTCAATAAACATATTATTCATAATATTTACGATACAAACCATTTTCGAAACACAATTTTTTGAAATTTCCAATAAAATCAGTCAAAAAAAGCAAAGAATCTGCTGGTATCTTATTCCATTTAAAAAAATTTTTTCTACCATGTAAATAATTTGTTGATTTAATGGGGAACATGCAAATGTATTTGTCAACACAACGCCTAAAATATGGAACGAATAATTAATGAACTTCTCAAACAAATCATCTTTTATTTTGGTTGGCTGCTTAGAAAAAATTGCCGCGACTACCAGTTCAAAGATTTTTCAATTTTATTCTCTTCCCTTTCGCGTTATTTTTTCTTCTGGAAAACCAAAATTTCCTATTTTTACCCTCACAAACACACACATGCGCATGCAAACGACTCTGATTCATACAGCAACATTTATAATTTGAATCAGAGCGTTTCATGTTTTTCCTCAATTTTGATTTATACTGAACCGTTTTTGCCCTCCCTGAAAAAACGTAAAAAGGCATTATTAATAGGATTAGAATTTTGAAAACAATTTACCATCAAGACTTATTTCTTTACTCATATTTCTTAACGAGACACGCACTTTCCATGAAAAATGGCGATTACTTTTTTTTTCGACATTTTTGTGTCGCCAAAGTAATTCTATGCAAATGAAATCTGAATGCATCAACCCCAGGAAGGCTGACGAGATTTCGCATGCTTTTTCTTGCTCATCCCCTTATTTTCCGCCTAGTTATTTAGTTATTTATTTATTTGTTCATTTAGTTATCGTCTTAATATATCAGCATTTTTTTTAGAATAACCGAAAATTTTAGAATTTTATGGATAGACAAAATCAATTAAGATTCCCTTGAGACGAAAAGACAGCTTCGCAAATTGTATTAATTAACGAGTTTGTGTGTTGACCAAATGTTAGGGACCACTATGAATTTAAGTTGAGAAATAGAGAAAAAAGCATTACAAATGTAAACGACTTCATCAACTTTTCAATTATGTTGTTTTCTTTAACTGTTTCCGTTAATCGTGTTTCTAACAAAAAAAATCAACAAAAAACCACAATTAAAAGAAAAATTATAGAAAAGAAAACAAATAACGAAAAACGTTGGATAAAAATACGTGTGGATTAAAATTCCGCAAATGTTCGTGAGGTTCCTACATATTATGTCTACCGTAACACAAGAATTTTTTTTAATTTTTCGAGAAAATCCCAAAAAAATGAAGGGCATAAATCAAAATTAATGCCATTAATATTGACATCGCGAAACGTTTTCTTTGTGAGGTGGAGAATATTCGTTTTGACAAATAAAAACGCTCTAAAATTGTATAGCTCAACGAAATAAAGCGTGCGAACAATCATATTCCTTGCTTTTTGCACTTCTTGCACTTCTGGTTGGAAAATTGATGAAAAATGGACAAACTATACATCAAAAGGTAAAATAAACGCTTTACATATAGATAAAACATTTCTACAGTCAAATTGGTTTATGGCTCCTATACCATGAACCGGTTTATTGGGGAGTTTTTTTTTAATTTCAACTCCTCTGATAACTCGAAACCAATCGGACCCGAACAAATTCGGCACCGGATTCAACGTTTTTTAAACTGTTTGGTTTTAATTTTTCAATTCGATCCAATCAAATATCCAATCGGGTCCGACAATTTTACAATCTTATTCGTAGAATTACCTATCGGATCGGGTTGATTCCGGAGCCGAAATTTGTCGGATCCGATTAGTTTTGAGTTACCAGAGAAGGTCTATTAGAAACCACCCCTACTTTTTAACCCCCACCCCTGCTATTCCACCCCGACTTTTTAACCCCGACTTTTATTTATGATACCACCCCCACTTTTTCACCCCCAATTTTTAGATTTCACCCCTACTTTTTCACTGCACTTAAAAATTTGAAGTTTCTAACAGTAATGTTTAACAGTAAAATTTTACTGTTTTTAATATTTTCAATAATTCAAGTTATCAAGAGGAGATTCGAAGGACTGATGTCTAAATTAGATTTTTCAGAAACTATGTAGCGTTCTTATGAAAGGTTGACGTTTTGACAAAAGACGAAATTTTTCTGAACCGGGTTTTCCGAGAATAGTTAATTTCTTGTTAAAATTGTCAACCTTTCATAAGAACAGTACATGTTGTCGGCGTCAAACGACTGAAGGGAGGCGGAGCCTTTAAATTCGCGAAATTAATGTAGATTTAAATTAATCGTTGACTGAATATTTAATGCGCGTACGCTATAATGCAATGGACGCAATCTCGCTGCCTCGAGACGCATTGGCACATAGCCAATTATTTTTTAAATTTCTTCAAGTCGTTTGACTTCGACAATAGTTTCTGAAAAATGTAATTTAGACATCAGTCCTGCGAATCTCCTCTTGATAACTTGAATTATTGAAAATATTAAAAACATTTTACTGTTAAACATTACTGTTAGAAACTTCAAATTTTGAAGTGCAGTGAAAAAGTAGGGGTGAAACATAAAAATTGGGGGTGAAAAAGTGGGGGTGGTATCATAAATAAAAGTCGGGGTTAAAAAGTCGGGGTGGAATAGCAGGGGTGGGGGTTAAAAAGTAGGGGTGGTTTCTAATAGACCACCAGAGAAGGATAATTTGTTCACAATGTGATGACAACTAAAGTTTAATATTTTTAAAGGTTCTTCAATAAAAATCCGTAGTGAATGATCAAAGTGAAATCATTGGAATATTTCTTTCTATAGAGAGAAAGAGAAACAATTCAACAATTATTTTCATTTTTTTTTCTGCCGATCCGTTTTTAGTAGAAAACTCAAGAAATGTAGAATAAAAAATCATAGGAATTTTGATCGCTAGAAAACCGAAATCATTTGCCATTTCATTCTTCAAAGTTCATAAATGAATGCAATTTTCCATCTGCTCATCATCAACATGTATTACCCAAACTATAATTAACGTAAGAAGGGCATCATCCCTCAACAATACGCAAAAAACACATATCTATATATGGAGTAGAGTGTAAATGACACAAAATTCATTTTCATCACATTTTTGTTCGTTGTTTTCCACCGCTCGCGTGAGTATTGTCACCATTTTCGCTTGTCGTATGCCTAACTAATAACTAGAGCTCCTAAAATTGCACCATAAATCATCCCTAATAAATTATTTGAAGTACTTCATTCTCACAACTCAGACGGTGAGCGATGCTAAATTATTGATCAAGTGTAAGATAATCGGTATCTCGAAAATGAAACGAAACAATAAGAAACCAATTGTCCCGAATCGTTATGTGTCTTGCGTGTAATTATGGAATTTTGGAGGTTCGTGTGGGCGGGGCTTATTTTTAACACGTTTAGTGAGAAACCAAACAAACACGCCATCCTTTGCATTTCGTTTTAGCTTAAAAAAGTTTTGGACACTTTTTGTGTTTTAAAATCTGTTAAGTAGAATGAGAATTTTGTTCCCAAACTTCTTTTTTTTATTTCTAATTGAAGGCTACACTTTCTTTTGGGGAAGAAGCTTTCGCAGCACAACATCAGTTTCTGGGTTTTTTTTTAAGACAATTCCTCATTTGGCGATTTTTATCATTTTTTATTTCTAAATCTTTGCGGGTTTCCTTATTCGGATCAAATCTATGCTATTTGGCTCAACAATCTCGAGTTCTTCGTCCCACTTCACATAAAACAATTGATAATGTTTTTTTGTTGTTGTTAAAATAACTTGAAGAGTTTCGTGTTGTATTTTTTCTTCTTTAGTAGTTTTGCCAGCCGCCGCCGCCGCCGCCTTCGTTGTCGTCCTCCTCGACGCGCAATTGTGTTTTGCACGCAATTCGTTCTCTTTTATGTTGTCTAAATAATGAATGAAATCGGTCAAAATACTCAATACATTGTGTCTATGAGCCCGCCGCTTCTTAATTTTGGCATGACGATGGATGGACTCTGCGGAGATGAAAACCGGAAATCATTGAAATTCAATGCTGCCAGCATTGAATTTCAATATACTTCCTATTATAACTCTATAAAAATAATCTCGATGGCAAATAAACCTCCACGCACAATTTTTCCTTGAATTGTCTTTTTTTGGTATTTTATGATTCATATGTTTGAACTAACAATGAATGGAAAACTCACTGTAATACTGGTTTCTGTCGATTTTTCAATTAATCAGAAAATTGTGCTATAGGAATGCTCTGCAAGAGAAACTCTCACAATTGAAAATGTTATTTTATTCCCATATATGGATGTATTTGCCATTTACATTTGTTAAAACATTCTTGTCGAGGATTTTCAAAACAAAAAATTCTATATCAATCTCACTTGCCAATCGACTAATCCTTAACTATATATATACATATATGCATATATGTCCTTCTTAATTTTTGATATCTTATAAGGTTGCTCATTCTTTTTCCGATTCGTATATCCGATTTCGATTTTATTTTGCTAGCAGAAGCAGGAAAAACTAAATTTCAGTGAATTTCTTTTTCGTTTGATCGAATGTCATTCGACTTCGATTTGACAGCGCCTTTCCAGCAGGCGTTCACAACTCGGGATCAGCACGAGCATCGGCATAAAGTGCGTCCGGTTCAGGTTGGTTTGCAATTCGAAATTCAACGAAAACATCAAGAGGGGAAATTAAGATTTTTTCTTTTCAGATAATTGCACCATCCTCGACAGGAAATGGAAAGTTTCGGTTGAATGAAAGTGCACTCAACTCGGTTCTTGGACACTCGGCATGCGCTAATAAAAAGGTCGGCACATCATGATTTCGTGTATTGCGTGAATAACCAAATTTTATAGTTTTTTAGCGTTTCGTAAAGTTTCGTAAACCAGAATTTTGGTTTTTTTTCAAAACTGCATTGTAACCTTTGCATAGTACCATTATAACTATTTTTTGTTTTTAAAAGCACATAAGCATTTTGCGAGAAAACTACTACAAATAATCATCACAAAAAAAAATCGTGCATGCCATTTTGAGTTTTAAATTTTGGACATATTTGAATTTGAATAGTTGATAGAAGAAAATTATGGTCTATTAGAAACCACCCCCACATTTTAACCCCCACCCCTGCTATTCCACCCTTCGTTTTATTTATGATACCACCCCCAATTTTTAGGTTTCACACCCCCCCCCACTTCTTCACCGCACTTCAAAATTTGCAGTTTCTATATTGTTCACATTATTGTATGTTTAACAGTAAAATGTTTTAAATTTTTCAAAATTTGCAATAATTCAAGTTATCAAGAGGAGATTCGCAGCACTGATGTCTAAATTACATTTTTCAGAAACTATGTAGTTCTAATGAAAGGCTGAAAATTTTAACAATTAATGAACTATTCTCTAAAAACCCGGTTCAGAAAGATTTCGTATTTCGTAAGATTTTCGTATTTTCCAACAATTGTCAATATTTCAAGTGCCCAATCGTGCATTTTGATATCAAGCTTCTTTGCAAGCCTACATAGTTTCTGAAAAATCTAATTTAGACATCAATTTTGCCAATTTCCTCTTGATAACTTGAATTATTGCAAATTAAAATATTTTTCTGTTAAAAAATACTGTTTAAAACTGAAAAAGTAGAGGTGAAATCTAAAAATTGGGGGTGAAAAGTGGGGGTGGTATCATAAATAATAGGAGAGGTTAAAAAGACGGGGTGGTTTCTAATAGACCGAAAATTATGTGAATGATTGTTCTAAAAATCTGGTCACGCCATTCAAACACTCTTTCATTATTTTTGGGAAAACCACAATACATCAAGTAAATTAATCTGTTTGCTCTGACATGCCCAAAAAATAATATTTTACGGATCTCGTCTTCTCGTACACAATTTTCGTGAATAATTTAGTCGTGTCATTAGAAAACCAAAATCAATCATCGCAGAATTCATCTAATGAAGCTATCCAACAACTCACATTTTTTTTGAAAATATTGAGGGAATGCTCAAGTGCGAAGTAAGCTGATTGTAGTTCATAGAGAAATTAGATGTTTCAAATTCAGTTAATATGAATTATTGATTGAGAAAAGCGAATTTCACAAAGAATCTCAGTTTTCAATGCAAACGAATACATCAAATTTGCAAATACGTCATCAATTATCTCAAAGAGAAGTATGTTGTAGATCAATCTAAAAGCTTAGGAAGCATAAAAATAGTATAAAGTGGCTTCCGACAAATATGTTCAACGGAATGAAGCCCTTGCATTCTAAAATGACGTGGATCAATAGAGTGATAATAATATGTAAATCGTTAAAAATCGACGCTAAAATTGATCACCCAGCGACTGGGCTATCATCGATTTGTACGAATAGCCTAATCAAGTTCGTAATCCAGTTTTTTGTGAGATCCGTCACAAATGCCGTAGATCGCGTTGATTCCCATTTTTTTTTGAATGTGTAAAAAAAGTAATTCTGATGATTGAACTCTTTGTCGGAATGATGGAAAAATCGACAATGTTCGAATATACAAATAAATAATTGTAATTAGATGATGGAAGTTGCTGTTTAGCGGCGAGTTCCATCCTCGAAGAAGATTCCTCCGTCGAGAGCGCAGTATCTGAAAACGAGTGATTAGTTTTGTATTGAGCTCTTCAATATGAAACATACCTTGGACAGATTCCCTTCTCTCCTGGGGTTCCATCGTTTCCAGGGGTTCCTGGCTTTCCTGGCTCTCCGTCCTTTCCTGGCTCTCCTGGAGTTCCTGGTGGTCCCTTTGGTCCTGGAGCTCCTGGAGCTCCGTCGATTCCGTTGGATCCTGGTGGTCCTGGTGGTCCTTGCTCTCCTGGAGTTCCTGATGGTCCTGGTGGTCCTGGAACGACTGGTTCCGATTTGGCTGGCGCTCCTGGCTCTCCTGGGGCTCCGGCTTGTCCTGGTGGTCCTGGTGGTCCTGGTGGTCCCTTTGGTCCTGGCTCTCCTGGGGCGGCGTCTGGTCCTTTCGGTCCTGGCTCACCGGCTGGTCCGTTGTCTCCTGGGATTCCTGGTGGTCCTGGTGGTCCAGGTGGTCCCTGTGGGCAAGGCTGGCATGGTGGTGGGGTGATTGGCTCGCATGGCTGCTGTGGTGGACGTCCTGGCGTTCCTGGCTGTCCTGGAGCTCCTGGCTTTCCTGGCTTTCCAGGCTTTCCTGGGGTTCCTTGTGGACCCTGTGGTCCTGGCAAGCAGCATCCAGCGCACTGCTCGTTGTAAGTGGATCTAGCGGTACGGTTGGCGCTCAATGGAAGCTCGCGGATCGAGTACACCGAATTCCAAATGTCCTTGGCGGACCCCTTGCATTGGTGCAATTCTTGGTGCATCTGGGTGCGCACGTGCTGCACATAGTTGTACACCATTGGAAGGGTGACACATACCTAGAAATTCGAAAAATGAGAATCGAACTCTTAAAACGATTTGTCTTACCGAAAGCACGGCAACAGCGGAGAAGCAAACGGCGGCATAACCGACGAAGCGGTAGGCCTTAATTTTGGAATCAATGTCCATTTCTTATTGTGGAAGGAACAGACCGTCGATGTTCATTCCTGCTGGCGACCCTTATATAGTCAAGCCGAGCTAGCTGCTTAGCCAGTCCAAAGCCGACATGTCTGCGCATCGTCGTCTCGCGCGCTCTCACCGCAAAAGTGAAGCGTTAAAAAGTTCGACGCTCTGTTGTCGAAACACTATCTCGATATAGGCGTATCCCTTATACAGGTGAACAACACGAATTCGATGCCGAAATCTTATCCATTGTGAATTACTAGAGATCACCATTATGATTTTTTAAATGCCTCGGTTTGGGAACGCCGCGGAAAATCCAAAATGATAAAAAAAAATATTTGATTGTGAGAGACACTAACAAATGAAGTGTGATAATCAATTCATAGACTACTTATAGCGGGATTTATTTTCTACATCGAACATTCCTATAAACTCAATTCAAAAATTTATATATTTAATAGCGGAGGTGGTTTAAAACACACCCGCGGCAATAAATTTTAATAAGTGCTCGAAATTGGGACTAAGATTTCAGGAGTCTCTAAATCAAATTAATCTTTAACATTTTATCTGCGGACAATAATATTCGAAATCTTTCAGGTAGTCATTATCAGTGTTGCTGGCGCATTTCGGAAAGGAAAAAGTTTTCTTCTCAATTTCTTTCTTGAGTATTTATACAATCTTCACAAGTCTCAACAGGTTATTATTTTTATTATAGTTTTAACAAAAAATGGTTGGAAGTTCAGACGGACGCCAATTTAGAATGGTTAACCGACGACTGTCAAATTCACGGATTTCATTGGAGAGCTGGTGTCAAAAGGGATACCGTAGGTAGGTTTTAGGGAGCCAATTTAAAGATTAAATATTATATAAAACGAAGCCGATTCGTTGCCTACTGACAGATATTGCAAAAAATTGCAGGGATTTGGCTATGGGGAGAACCGATAATGATCGAATCGATAAGCGGAGAAACATTTGCGGTTATTCTGGTAATCGAATTAATAAGACATTTGGCGGAAATCTGAAATTATAGATGGATACACAAGGCACATTTGACAATTCTTCAACATATCAACAATGTATGACAGTTTTCGCGCTTTCCACAATAGTAAGCAGCATACAGGTAGGTTTTAAAATCGAAAAAAGCAAATAATAATGATGTTTAAAGATATATAATGTTGTGGATAATATTCAAGAAGATGCTCTACAACACTTATCGTTGTTTGTGGAATATGGTCGAATGGCGATGGAACAAAATACTAACTTTGGGAAACCATTTCAGGTATTAAAAAAAATAAATTCCATCTTTTAGAATTGTTCTGTTTTTTTCAGACTCTCGTTTTTTGTGTGAGGGACTTTAAGAATCAGGAAGAGTACGATTTAGGAGAATTGGGCGGCACACATTTTCTGTCAAATGTTTTGCAGGTGAACGAAATTGATTAAAACGAAAGAAAAAAAAACATTGAAAAATTCAGACATCACCCGACCAGCCAGATGAAATTCGAACAGTTCGAGAAAGACTTCACGAGTATTTCGAAGACATCCAGTGCTATTTATTACCGCATCCTGGCTACAGAGTAGCCGAGAGACAGAGTTTCAGAGGACACGTCAAAGGTTGGTTTAGACTAATAAAATAAAGAAATAATTGCGACGCATTTGAATCAGTTGTATAATTAAATTGAATGTGCTAAAATTTCCAGATTTGCGGCCAGTTTTCCGGGAAGAGCTTAAGAAAATGGTGCCCAACCTTCTGGGACCCCATGTTCTCAGGCCAAAAATTGTGAACGGAAAACCGGTGACGTGCCGCAAATTGATACAGTATTTCAAGGAATACGCGAGCTCTTTCGACGGTGAAACTCTACCGGAGCCACTCAGCATTCTTAATGCAAACGCGAAATTGATTTGTATTGAAGCAGCTCATGAAGCGAAAGTCGCATATTCGCGAGGAATGGATAGAGTAAGACAAAAAAAAAACATTTACAAAAAAACACAATAATAATACAATTTTTTGTAATTTTAAGTCGACTATGGGAACTCGAATGATGCCCGAGAAAAAGCTTCTTGAAGCTCATATAAAGCATGGAATCACCGCGTTGAATATTTATGATAAATGCCCGAAAATTGGATCCAACGAAGTGCGAAGGATACTTTTGGAGAAGTTGCAAGAAGATATTAATGTTAGAATCACTTATGAGGCTCTCGAAATAATTGGAAATTTATAGGCTGAGCTTGAAAGATATAAAAGACTGAATGAGGCTAAACGAGTTACCGGATGTGCTTCAGCAATGCTCGCTTGCGGTGATTCCGTCTTCCTTGGAATCGGTTTAGGGGGAGCTGCAGGAGGTTGGTGGATCCGTCAATTCCACCCACAGAAGTTTCTCTTATTTTTAAGGCGCCATTGCTGGTTCGGTTCTGACGCTTCAAGCAGGCATTGTTAGTCTCGGAATCGTCGCAATTCCCATCTCACTAACCACTCTGTTTTTTATCTGGGCGTACGTGTGGACAAAGCCTTATTTCGAGAATCTTGTCAATCGGGAAAAATAGACACTGGCTCAAATTATCATCAAATGGTTCAACATTTCACTTATTAGGGTCCTTACAATATATCGTGTTCACTCAATAAAGATATGTATTGTCTCAATATCAAATAAATGACAAAACGAACAGGGTATAAAGTAACGGGGAGACTATATAAAAAACGTAACTAGGGATATTATTGCGAACAATGATTTCCTAATTTTTAGCACCACCATCTTTAAGAAGCACTGTTCTGTTGAAGACGAGTTTTCCAGGAACCGCATCAGGATCAACTGAGAAATACCCAATTCGTTCGAATTGATATCTAAATTTGTATAATATGCAACTAGCTTTTAGAATTTGTATTTACCTATCGTAAACCTTCGAATTGGCAATTGATTTGTCAACTAGCGAATTGTAGAGAACAGTCAGCGAATCCTAGATTTTAACAAATAATTTATAATTTTTTTTTTAATTTTTAAACTAACGGGATTGATGTCATTGAGGAATCCTCCTGGTACCGCCGTGGCATCTTCAGGGTTCTTGCTTTTGAATCTATAAAACCATTGCTTCCTTATTTTACACATGTTTCATGTAAATGCCTAAGAATAAATATTTACGTTTAAAAGCTTAAAAAGAACAACTATTGGGGCGGCCGCGGATTTATTTCGTAATAAAGTTCGTCCACGGCCATGGAGGAATGCTATTAAAAAAACTTATTTTCTTTTTAAAACACAACAATTCGAATTGATAAAATAAACTTACAGTCGTTCATAAAGTCTGACTTCAGCGGAGACTGGTTTCGCAACCCAATGAATAAATGCTTTTGGTTTTTCAGCATCAGAAAGTGGACTTCCGTGAACAATAAGCTCTTGTACGTGACCATCCTTATCCTGAATTGTTTTCGCTGAATCAAAAAATCCCTGTGAATAATTACCTTGATTTCCTTGACAACTGTGAGAACTAATCCAATGTGCTTCAATCCAACAGTTTGGTTCGGAGTCAATCTTCGGAATGACTTATCCTTATCGTCCTAAATCATTCAATTATTTTCAAAATCCTTCCCGATAAAAATACCGATCGATAGTCAGTCTTTTCAATAAATATTTCCTTATCAACTGCAATTTTGTGCGTTTTCTTATTTTCCGCGTCTGGGAAGTCCGGAACTTCGATTTCCGAACCAAGTTTCAACTCGTCGAAATTCTCAATCGTCAGCTTAAGCCCATCAAGCACGGCCATGGTACGAGGAGCATGAACGTTGAGATAATCTCGGACTGTAGCATCGAGCACATGAGGATCAATAACCATTTGCGACATGGTAAGTCCAAGCTTAGCCACAAATCGGTTGATGGCCTCTGGTGGAATTCCGCGGCGTCTGAGAGCGGTCAATGTGAAAAGCCGCGGATCATCCCAATCACTGAAAACTTTGAGATAAAACAAGCACTTTACCAAAATGTGCTACTTGACAGTCTTTGTAGTAATCAACTTCAAAATCTTTCTCTTTGAAACTACGGTATAATTAACATTCAATCGACCGTACTCCCATTGGACAGGACAATAGATATCCAGAGCGTTACAAAGCCAGTAATAACTGCTTCTTCTAAAATTATGTGGTTTGCCTCTCATTCAAATATTAATAGTTTCATGCCTCGATTGGAATTCCTTGGTGCAAAGTGAATGAGTAATGTTCTCAATGGAATCACATAGGCAATGAGTATAGTCGTACGTTGGATAAATGCACCATTTATCACCCGAACGATGATGAGAAACATATTTGATACGATAAGCAACTGGATCAATCTTCAATATCATGATGTTAAGCATATTTTTAGAAAGTGTAATTACCTTTCCCTCTTCAAGAGTCAATTTCAATCGAAGAGTCGCTTCTCCTTCATCAAATTTTCCATTTTTCATGTCCTATATATATATATATATATATATATATATATATATATATATATATATATATATATATATATATATCGAATGTGATATTAAATTAACAAAACTTCAAACCTCGAAAAGTTGAAGAGATTCTTCAATTGGCCGATCTCTCCATGGACTCATTTGAACCTCGAAACCACGCATTTCCTCGACCTTTTGATGACAGACGTATGCGAGTCCCTTTCGAATCAATTCGATAGCCCACTTCAATTTTTTATTTTTATTTACATTTTTAAGAGAAATTTAAAAAGTAACCTTGTATAGTTGGTCGAAGTAGTCCGAAGAATGTGTGACTTTATATGGTTCATAGCCTATAATCAAAATTCGAGAAATATTGAAGAATAATTATGATACCGAGCCAGTTGACCATGTCAGCAATAGCTGTGAAGAACTTCTCCTCTTCCTTTTCCGGGTTGGTGTCGTCAAATCGAAGATAGCACAATCCATCCATTGCTTTCGCATATCCAAAGTTGATATTGATGGCTTTTGCGTGTCCGATGTGAAGGACACCATTTGGCTCAGGAGGGAAACGAGTCATAACTTTTCCACCAACAGCGGCGACATGTTTTTTGAGAAGCTCCGCGGTTTTTGGTGTCGTGACATATCCGTCAGTTTTATAATTCTCGCCGACCTTATGGAAATGAGCTCTGGTTTTGAGAAGCTCATCCATAGTTTCTGCTCCATCAAATTCGGCAACTTCTTCGGTTTTCGCCTTGTCATCCTTCTTGGCATTGGATTTTGTGTCTGGCTTCTTTTCAGTCTTCTTTTCCTAAATGTACAATAATCATCGCATCTTCATACAGTCTCAAAGGTTACCTTTTTCTTAGGAGCGAGATCGTCAGCAGTTTTTGGTCCGAGAATTTCAAGAATTCTTAAATCAACTTCTTTTTTGATGTAAGCCCCATCTCCCCATGGCAGACGAGAACGAACTTCCCCCAACAACTTGCCAATGTTGAACGAATATCTCTCTTTTATCAATTGATCTTTGCATTTCGAAACAACTTCCGTAACCTGAATAGCAATAATTAAAAATATTCGTATTGATTCTTAATACGGTGTCTTCGATTTCATCCGGTGTAACAACAACACCAATTCCGCACGATTTTTCAAATTCATTCACATCGATCAGTTTGACAGCATGTGAAAGAAGATATTCGATTGCCGCGGAGAGCTGTAATAGTTAAATCTACAATCGTTTCAATAATAAATAAATGAAACCTGCAACTCGTTTTTGATATCCTCAGACATTATGTACTTCACAACTAACGGAATATTTGAAGCGCATTGTGGTTTAATTTTTGTGGATAGTTGATACAAAAGTGTTCCCTAAAATAGAAAGTGTGTCATTTTCGAACTATCATTTCTAGCCTTTTGTTTCGACAATTCACCAGTTACGCCGCTTTCTTTGACAATTTTGATTATGGACCCGATTGTTTCACAAAGCTTCGCATTTTTGAGTGTTTCGGCAGCTTTGGAAGGTGACAGGCCCAACCAGAGTAGATCCTCGGTAGTTGTCATTTATACCCTGCAATTTTTCCGCTTAAGAGATAGAAAAAAACTAAGCAACAATCTCTCAGTAAAAAATTTTTTTCTTTCAGATAATTTCAAAAGAAAATCAAAATTTTAGGCACAAAGCTTGTTCGAAAACAGAACGGAACGGCTCTGCATTTTAACGTCGCGGTGATTGCAGACGATGCACCAACTCAAAAAATTCAACGTTGAATTCCACGTTTTATTCCGCTTTCACATTATTTATTGCATTATCGCTATAGTTTCACATGTTTTTTTTTTGTTGTCAATATATGGAAAATGTCCATTTTAGTGTTTATTTAACTGTTTCAAATTATAGAATTCTAAAAAATATTATTTTTTAATAGTTAATTTTCACATTCTCTTGAATGATCATAGTTTTTCTTTAAAAAAAAACGAAAATAATTTTTCTTTCAGCGTGTGAAACATTGAAAATGACTGATGATCATGTAAAGCTAACAGAAGTACAACTGATTTCTTCCGAATTTGGTTTACCTTTGGAGGATTGTTTTAAGCATGCTGTTAGCTTTTATAAAGGTATATTTACGCTAGATTAATAACCTATAAAAGTTTATACACTGTGTTTCATTTTGCTTATTTTTATATATAAAGTAATTTTTGGAGCGATTCTATTACAGAAAAAAACGATTTTATGGAAATATATTTTTTCCTCATGACGATAGTTCAAATTTGGATTTATGCTGCGATAATTTGTGTACCGGTACCATCAAATTTATTGTAATTTAAATGAGGATTATTGTCGTTTTTGCGATGTTAATACTCTTATAAATGGTTCGTAATCGTTGAAGTCGCGTGACTGCGGAAAATTAGCTAAATGCCAAAAAAACAATCGCAGTGGGCTTGGCGCAAAACTGTATGTGTAGATTTACGGGCCAATGTATAAGGATAGGTTAAAGACACACACCGTTCACTAAAACTTCTTTAATTTTTGACATTTAGCCAATTTTCCGCTGTCGCGCGACGCCGACAATACGACCGTATCACTTTTCAAAAAAGGGAATCGTATTTAGCCGCATTTGAAGCGAGATGTGGTTATATACGATTATCAACTATTTACCAGACTAAGTTACCTTATTTTTAATATTTAGAACATATAACTAGCAAGGATCCAGTTCCGTACGATGAACGGATTAAGCTAATGGCGCTTAGTAAGCAGGTAAGAAAATGAAAGAGAAGATGAATTGCCTTGAATACTCTGCGAATTTATACTAGTCTTCGTATTGCTAAGTATTGCACAACATATTTTTTTAAAGGTTAAATCAAAACTGATGCAATACTATTGCGAAATTCATACAATTAGCAACAAAAACTAATTCTTTAAAAAAACGACGATTCAGGTTCAACACGGGCCGTTCACTAGTGAACATGACACTGCGGGCTGGTTCAACATTACGGGAAACGATGTGAAGTGAGTTTTCGAGATTAACAAATTCCAATAATTTCAATAAAATTCTTCGAAAATACTCCCCTAGGCCAAAAAAGTCATAATTATGCGCGCGTTTTCTTTTTTGGGCGAAGAAGGCCCACTTTTTGAAATTTTCATATGGGAATCACGAGATTTCTCAAAGAACCCGCTACCGGCATTAATTATTTAACTTATTTATTTGGCATTAACGAAGAAGGAGAAGACAATTTTTTGTGCGTTTTTTTTAGGAGAATCCTGCTCAAATTGAGTTTTCCTGCCATTTTGTTTAGATTGGGCGCAAAGTTCGTTTTAATTTATTCTCGTCTTCTCTTTTCTTTTTTTTGGATTTTGCTTGGTAGTTAATTGTCAATCTTCTTCTACGCCCAATTCGATTTCCTTCCAACTTCTAGTCAAGTTCTCCCGCCCCCTCCTCCCTTCTCCATTTTTGGCCTTATAACATATTTTTTTTTCGGTGTTCATTTCTGCGTCGTTTACTTATTTTTCCGCCGAAAATACATGTGCATGATTATTTTAATCTCTTTTCATGTACCTCTCTAAATATTTTTTTTTCATTTTCTCGTCCTTCTTCTTACCAATCCTTTTTCCTGTCAAAAGTTGGTTTATTGTGAACAATGTTCTCATTCCTCACCGACTTTAAGGCTTTCGAGATTAGATTATAATATCCCGGGGAAACCATGAGAATCGATAACATTTTCGTGTTTGACCAAAAATTAATATGAGGTTTTCTCAGTGATTTAGAAGAGCTCATTGTTGCTTAAACACACGTATGTCAAGGATTTTCCATAAAATGAAGCCCTTTTGTGCTATTGAGCCCCTTCTTTCAATCCAAATATTGCAGAATGCGCGTCCATCGATTTTTTGTGCGTTTATCCTCCATATTTTTTTCTTTTTCCGACGGCGGACTGCGATTTTCTATAACTCATAATCCGATATGTTTTACAAAAATGGCATTTATTCGAGATTTTCGGCAGATTTAAGAAATTTAATTTATAGTATTTATCACGATTTATGATGAGAAAAACTTGAAAAATATCTCGTGACGGTTCGTTTGTTTTGCAGAAAGCAGAAATTAATATTGGTTGCGAACTTTCTTTATGTTTTTCTAAATAATTATCCCTCTCCTTGTTGATATAGATTTGAAATATATTTTTTTTGTTATTTCTAATGTGACCTCCAGAATCTGACAAAAAACATTTCTCACAAATACGCCTGGGAGTTTTTGTTTGAGAGCAATTCAACTACATATATCCATTTTTCTATTGTCAATATTTGAAGTTCATTTTCTGTTATGATCAGATTGGCGAAACTGTAATAGGTTTAGGTGAAATTTCAACTATGCACCTTTAATTGGTGCCTTGTTATAATTGTTAGCGATTCTCTTGCAATTATCGCGATTTCTCTATAACTTAAGTCAATACGTTGAGCTCAAAAAACCAATTCAACCGTTTAGGTGCGTTCCCGTAAATCTACCCCAACTAATTAAGCGAGATTATATAGAATATATATTCCATAAAAAGTCAAATTTCTGACAAATTGTTTATTTTTTGTGTGAAAAATATCGTTTATTGAATTTTATCGAAAAAACAAACATTGTTTTGTTGTTATTTTTCGCCAATATTTGTCAAACAACCTTATGTAGTCTCTTGTCAAGCTTTTCTACTTCAGTACACGTCTTCTCCTTCTTTCTACTTGTTTTGTGTACACTTTTTCGAAATCATCGTGTGTTGAATCAAATCAGTGAAAAAAATTTTTGCCTTCGATTCGGAAAAAAATATTTTGTCGACGACGCCTTCGTTAGACAGAAAAAACGGAGCGCCGCTGTAGCTAAAAAGACTCTTCCGCTGGCGGCGACGAGGTTGAGCACAAGAGAGTGGAAAATTGAATTTGTTACCCAAAAATCTAAGTTAACATGTCGCAGAAGTGACAAGGACACAACCGAATGCTAATAAGGCGTAGAGGCGGAACAGAATTTTGCTCGCGTTTTTGCTCATTTTTTTCTTGCTCACGATATCTTCACAGTGACGAGATTTAGCCAATCTCGTTGTTGTTTCAGCGTGTTGATGAAATGAAAAATCTCGTAATGAAAAATTCAAATCGTTCGTCAGATATGAACACGAAGACAAAACGAGTTCTAAATTGGTCTTCAAGATTCTAAATAGATCATTTTGTTGCGTTTTTCGCTATTTTGAGCAAATAATTCATTTATAATTTCTTAGTAATCTGCCCAATGGACTTTTTCTGTTTCCGCGACGATTTACATTTTTTTAAAAATATTTTTCGAATGTTTAACGTTTAATTGTCAATGATTAATATCGCCGTTAACATCTGAAAAATTCATATCTTAAAATCGTTCTTCTTGATCATTTTATAGGCATGCAATTAAAATCCAACATATTCATTAGAGGGTTTTTACCAGAAACAATTTCAGCATCAGATATCTGGCGTTTTGCGGGTTTCCATTCTTGACTTGTTTTCTCCTTAAATGGATTTGGTTCGTCGAGAGTACTTGTCTATTTTGTGTGCGAATGTGCCTATGTGTACAAATTGTGACTTTTTTTGTCAAATCGTTAGTGATGTAAGCTTCTTAATTAAGTGCCGCCGGGCCTAAATTTGATCACAAAAAAAGATGACAAGTCGAACGCGATGCATGCGAAAATTCGCTTCAACAACAATTAGTTCTTCTTATTGTATTAGAAATCTGATTCATGGAATAGAAAAAAAGCGTTTTGAAAATAATATGTTAAACAACCATGAATAGGCAACGTTTATTAGGAGTTTATTATTATAAATTGTTTATCTAGAAAAAAAATATAAACTATAATCGAACCCACGAATGAATGGATCATGCCTCCATTGTTTTTTAAGGGTTATTGAGATCGTTAAGAATTTCTCAAAAGTTAAAATTAAATTTATTTCCTTTAATTTTTTTTTCAAAACTGAAATGCTAAAACTAGCCTAACCCACCTCATTATAGAGATGAATATACGAAATTAGCTATTTGCATAGGGCACGATAATGCCGGAGATTGCAATACATTTTCTTCTTTACTTGCCTGGGAAAATGTACACGACCTATTCGCTTTCTTTTCATTATCCACAGTAAGGATTAATGTACGTAGAACTCGGAATATTTCATCGCCGCTATGCTTTTTGGCCTCAAATTTCATTAACTTGGTCCTCCACGAAATGTTGGAAGAGAAACTCGCATTCTTTCAAAATATGCTTTTTGGGAACTCTTTTCTGTTGTGGAATCTTCAACTTTTTTTTTATTAACAATTAGAAAACGACTCGTAGAAAAATATAATTACTTCCGTTGTTTGGGACATGTTTTAAATGTAGTATACAAAAACTTGAAATGAAATAAATTAGCGGATAATTTTGAATAAATTTCGGCGGTCCGAAATCCTTAAAAATTTGCGTCCCGAATTAGTATTCCTTTGGGGAATCCGGTTTGCCCAACTCCAAATTCGGAATCTTTTGTCTCACTTTTTTTTATCGCACCTCCTTTTTTCTGCGTTTTTTTTCATATCTTCTAGTTTTGAACCCATCCAAAGAGATATTCGCCATGGAGTATGTTTTGTTTTTCATCCAAAATTCTCGAATAATTTAATTATTGAGAACTGAAGAAAGAAAATTGATGGCCATCACCCAATGGGACGTGTTATATGTCTTCCTAAATCATTTTCTTTTCGCGTTTCGCATTCGAAATGTGTAATATTTTCAGCAAAGCTTGGAGTGCACTCGGATCAATTTCGCGTGAAGAAGCGATGGCATCGTTTGTGTTTCTCGTTGATCGCGTTTGCCCGCCATTCAAGGGATTCATCGGAGAAAAAGCCAAAGCGATGTGAGTCGTTTTTTTTTCTATTAAAAAATTGAGATTCAACAAATAACTGTAATCAAATTGCTCTTGTATTCCATCTCACAAATTTATGGACAAATCTGTGATTATTGGGACGCAGTAACTTTTCAAGCATATTTAAATTTTCTAAATCTTAGTTCTCGCAATTATTTTTTGATTTTGTTGCCAAAAACTACATCTTCTACCTGAACTCGTTTCGTGATTTTGTGAGAAATTCTGTAACTAATAGCGTTATCCTTTTATAGGAATTTGAAGAATAAATGTTATAGATTTTTTCACCAGCGTTCTATTTATAATTATAAATGACTGTTATAATGAGCCCACTGCCCAAACTAATTAATTAAATGGTCATAAATCAACTGAAATGCATTAGCTTCAATAAAAACTCGTATATTTTTTTCTTCTGAAAATTGCTCGTCATATATGTACATATAAGTATTATAATATTTGGGCTGGCTAGCAGCTTTCGACAGCTGCAATGGGTTGCATTCATTTTCTTTATCGATTGAGGTGCATAGAGTGGAAGGGAAAAGAAGAGACGTGCCGAGCTTTGGCCGGCTCTCGAGCTCTCTTAACACACCGCGCCTTTTTCGTCGCTTTCTTCTTTTGCTTTGTCATACACCAATTTTTGATGTATTCATCAAATTTTATTAATTTTTATTTTAGAAAGGAATCGCCGAAGGTCGAGGAGCAGCAGGAGATTGTCAAACAACCGACGGTCTCGCAAACTGTGGATTTTCGATTGTTCGAGGATCAAAAGTGAGTTCCTGTTCTGTTTTTTTTTTCAATGTTTGTTAGTCACGCAATTGTTTAATATTAAAGAATTCGAGACCAGGATATAGAATTGTTGTTTTTTTTTTCTACGATAATACTTTTTCCAAATCACATATTTTTACTGATAACAATTATTGGAAACGGCACTTCGGAGATGGTAAAATTTGATCGCCTAGTGACGTATGTCATATTTGTAAAGAAATAATTTCGATGCATTTCGTTTCGTTTAGAAAAATCGAATAAATACGAGGATATTTTGAAGTATATGTAGTTGAGTTGTCCCAAAGACATGCAAAGTAGATGCCGACGTTTTCTTTTGTTTCTTTGTGAATTTTATATGATAGAAGAATATTTTGCAAACCAAATTGTAAAGAGTTCATAAAAAGGTTTTTTTTTTCAATTTTCTTCAATTTCAATGCCTCTTCTGAATTGAAAGAAAGATTAGCTGTATATGTGTGCGTTTTTTTTTCAATTGAGTTCCAGACCAGGGCTGTGCGGCAATGGAATTGCCGATTGCGAAATTTCCGATTGCCGCACAGCCCTGTTCCAGACCGATAAATGACAAATTATTCTTTTCGAATCTCAATTAATAATAAAAATTAGGCTGTTCGCGTTAAAACCTGCGCTGCGTTCGTCTTTGAAATTTAATTGAGCACAATTACGATAATTGGTACTGCATATGTTACGTTACTGAATAAAACAGAAGAATAATTGCTGTAATGGGCAGAATTAGAATGCGTTAATTTTTTGCAGAAAACAAATCCAAGACGCGCTTAACGCCCAGACATTTCATCAATTCTCGGCATACGCGCAACAACAATTCCCTGGGCAGCCAGAGCAGGTAAAATATTTTCTTTTTGTCTATTCTTGCGTGTTTCACAAGTTATGAGCCATATAAAATTGTTATTCCAGCAAACTACGCTCATTCGTCAGCTCCAAGAGCAACATTATCAACAATACATGTCGCAGGTGATTTCTCCCAATATTCGATGGATAACATCTAGGTTGATTTTAGGTTTATTCGCAACAGGCAACTGTTACCAATGATCAAGCTGGTCGCGATGATCAGGCGAAAAGAGATGATGATTCGGATTTGTCCGACGAAGAAGCTGGAGAAGATTTGCCCTGTAAGTGTTATGCACTTGATTAGGTTACTCACAACACTTATACATAAGTAATGAATCGACCGTGCTGAGTAACAGGGATGGACGGGATATGCCCTAGTGCACTAGGAAAAGTTGTAGTTTGGTGTACTGAACACGTACTTTGAAGAAACTTTAAAAATGATATTAGGTGATAGAAATGAATTCGAATGTGTTATTATCCAAATTATAGAATAAGTCTTTGTGAAATATTAAACATTCCAACCAAAGTTTGTCGGTCCATCGCTGATTCAATTTCTTCTACCGAGTGTTTCTTTTGTTGTCATTCAGAAATCGACGACTAATCCTACTAACTATGTTGATATAACTAATATATAATCTAGCACAACACATTTATGTTTTGTAGTGTCTTCGATTCACGCCAACATGGGCCTCTTCTGTCACTGTATGTTTCTTTTGTTTTGTTTAGTTTGGTGATGTGATGCCGGTGGTTCAATGTTGTGCTCGTCGCTTCTTGTTACGTTGAATTCCCAATTAATTCATTATCGTAATTGCTTGCTTCGTCACCCTTCTTTGGTGTTTTAGCGAATCCTGCGATCGCACCGGCTTCGCTTTGGAATCGGCAGGATATCAACGAATTCAAACAGAATATCAAGAAGGATGGAACTGAAGGAATCATAAAAGTTGGACACGGCGAGACTGTGACAGTAATTGACTTTGAGCTTATTTTCTTTGGAATTTTTTTGCGCATTTTAGATCCGAGTTCCAACTCATGAGGAAGGATCGTGTTTGTTTTGGGAGTTTGCCACCGATTACTATGATATCGGATTTGGGGTCTACTTTGAATGGACCATTGCAGATAGCAATCAGGTTGGTAAATTGAGAAGTTTAGATTTAAATTTTAGAAAATCGAAATAATACTGTTTCCACCGTGAAAATTATAGGTTTCGATTCATGTGAGCGAGTCAGACGACGAAGACGATTACGAGGAAGGCGGAGAAGACGGAACTCCCCCACCGCCAATCAGCAATCCAGGGGGTGATGTTGAAAGTGGAGCAGCACTTGCTCGCGAGTACAGCATATTATATTTGTTTTGAGGTACATTAGAGCTTTCCAGACGAATTCAGGATCCGAACAAGCCACGTCAGGATGAGATTATTCCGGTCTACCGACGCGATTGTCATGAAGAAGTGAGGAATCGAATCTGAAGAAATGAACATCACTTTTTTTGTAGGTTTATGCTGGAAGCCACCGTTATCCGGGACGTGGAGTATACTTGTTGAAATTCGACAACTCATACTCGTTGTGGAGATCGAAGACGCTTTACTATCGTGTGTACTACAGCAAATAAGTCAAACATTCCAACAATTTTTATGCTAACCCATAATTACCCGCTATTATTATTATTATTATTTATTGCATCCGTTCCCCATATCAATTTTATCAAAAAAATCATCAATCCTTCTATTCCATTTCTTGTAATTTTAATTATTTAGCTATCATTTTCTTTTCTAATGATTCATTTAACGAGTTTCCATGATATTTTTTTCTTTTTTATGTGTTTTTAAAATTATTGTTTGGGGGAAAATCTAAAATTATCGATTGCTGATGACTGTAAAGTAGAGTGCATGCTTAATAAGACAATAATTTAAGACAATTAAATAGTCTTCATATGATTTTCAAATCCGCAAAAAATAAACACTTTTTTTTATTTATTATGAATAGGAATAGATATAAAATTAGAAGTTTGAAGAGCCACTGGTCGTTGCAATTTTTCGAACAGAGCTGACTGCGGTTTTTTGAGAAATCACTTCGAACGTGCCAATATGAAGACGTTGGCGAATAAAATGTGGAATTATCAAATCGATAACTTTTCTGCGGATCGTCTTGTTCATTGTAATGTAGACAATACCGACTGATCCTGTAATTATAAGCCTTTGATAACCGTAGAACGCAGAGAATTACCGTGACTCCATTGCCAAGCAATCTGACCAATCAGGATTACAAGGGGCGGGGCTGGGAAGAATTGCATGTAGACGTAGATGTAAGCGGCGATTGCATTGAATGAGCAGATTATCGATGATTGAACGAGCACCTTTGGTTTTTGAACTTCGTTGTGCGTCGATTGGTTTAGGCTACCTGCTTTTGAGTTTTGGACAGAGCTTCAGAATGCGAATGTCGCGCACTGTGGCGGATGAACAAGCACAAATAGACATAGATGGAGGTGGTCGCGAGCGAGACGACGCAGTTGGTAGTTGTGTGGGCAAGATTCACATAACTCTCCAACTTAATACAATATTATTGGCTCTCTCATAAATAATTAGGTCGTACTTCTAATCCCGTGAATGGTGTGAAGAACCAACTCATATAATTGGAGTTGAATAAGACGGGTTTGGTGAAGAAGACGGCATAGACTGTGATGACAAGTGGAATGACCATTAGAATGAAAACGGTGTTTCCGCGGAACATCTCTCGAAATGGAATCCGATGGTTGATGTCGCAACAACGGTTGACGGCGAGGAGGATGCAGGTCGCACAGGCTCCGATCCATCCACCTGTAGATGATAGGATTTTAAACAGTGTTCCTTTCCCGAAATGTTTCGGATAATTTAAATCAGCGGGCTTGGGAGTCTTCGGGAATGTTCCACATTTTGAAAAATCGATTCACAGATCACAATACCCTTCAATGATATATATTAGATTAGATTATTCTTACCACATCCAAGTGATCCGAACACGAAGATTGCTCTAGGATATGAGCAAAACGTTGCACCTACGAATCCGAGGTATCCAGTTGCTAACGAGTTCACCATAATACAGACGAGATCCACAAATCCCAAGTACATCATGATCTTGTAGCACGAGCTTCTCATCAAATCGCTGCAGGCAATCACAATGAGACATGGAATATAAGTTGTCTGAAAACAATGCAAACATTAATGGACCTAATCTGGAAATAGAAAAATTTTTTATTTATTTTTAAGAACAAAAAAAAAACAAAAATGTTATTTCAATTCGCAGAATAGTTAGATAATTAATTATTTAATTAATCTCGATTTTTGATAACTCATAGGGGTTCAAAAATAAAATCGATTTGCCCCGAAATGAACAATTATAGATGTTAGCCAAAAAACGAGGATCCTCGTTGTTACTATAATCTGCCTAGTTTGATTTGCAGGTTATTCGTGTACGGTACATGAGGTCCCATGTTTAAATTGAATAACGCAATTAAACACCCAAAATGCTCCTTTTTCTGATGATAGTAATTGTCAGATTTTTTTTGAAGACAAGATTAAGAAAATTAAAAGGAATATAAACAAAACAAATACCATTAAAATAAGTCCGGAAGCAATGAAATATATTCCAAGGAACGGTCTTTTCTCTCCGATTGCGAACGGATCAGAAATAGTGCTGCAGTTGTAGTAGTAAGGATGAACTTGGAATCCATTCACAATGAATCCGCTCAAACTGCATTCGACGTCGTTCGCCATCAGCTTCCGAAATAACGCCATTTCGAACCGAATGAATTTTTACGCCAATCAGATAGGTTAACAATGAATTTTACAATTCTAGAAGGGTGGTAATCCTTCTACCGTAGTACGGATTAATAAATGAATGAATGATAGTAGACTTTTTGAACAAAAAATGAATTCATTGAATAATTCAAATACGATTATCCGAGTAGGCCTATTCAGTGACGAAAGAGCATTTTTCGATGGGTCCAACGAACTCAGGATTGATTTAAAATTTTTAGTTCGAAATTCGTTTTGAAAAAGATATTCGTTACCAAAAGCGGCCTTCTGATGATTAAGTCGTTATAGATAAATAACAAATCAAATTAGCGAAAGAATTCAAAGAAATTAAAAATTGCGCCACATAAAAAGAGTAATCAAACCATTATTAAAGGATTTTATGTACAAAAAAAATTTTAATTAAAATTTTTAATAATTAGCTTCTCAAAAATTGAACGATATTCGAAAACGCATTATTTAAATAATTTTAGAAACTCGGGAAAATCGTGACAGAGTTTTTTTTTTCAACCGACACTCAACAGACTCTTATAAGGCATCACCCAAATTCCGCTAGACTTCGCAGTCTTTCAGACGAGTTGAATCTTGCAAAGAGTCTGCTGAAAGGGCACGCAAACTCTTCAACGATTTTCTCGAGTTGGATGAATTTTTCAATGTGCTCGAAATTAAAATTGGATTTAAAGTGGCGATTTTTTTTGAAAATGGGAGGAGTTAATATATAGTTAAGAGCTAGACTGAAGTAAGAAAGTATCGGATTAAAACACCAAAATTCAATTCACAAATTCAGTGCAACTCTGCTGTTTTGCGAGATAGAATTCGTCCTACGGTAATTGCTTTCGAAAAATGACAGAAGTCTTAGGGCGCTTTCACCGATTCTTGTATTTAGACCTCTTTCAGAGTTTCAGTTTCAGAAGCTGGCAATAAAATGTACAGTATGCAATTATCAATTTCGTTTAATTTCAGTATTCCCGGTTTTTTTTCTCAGCCACCTTAAACGTTTTAGATAAAAAACGGCACCGATACAAGGCTTGTGAGATCGAACTGGATAGTAGACTGTGGTATATTGTGGAAAAATGACGAATTTGAAAAACTACAGCAATGTCCTATGCTTTGTGTGCGTACACTGAGTCATCATATCTACAGTAATCTCAACTGAAAATTATTTAATCAGTTATTAAAAGAATATTTTTCTGTGTTTCCTTGGCGAATTTATTGTTTTATCGATATTGTTGTGTTGAAAAAGTGTAATACAGTTTTTTCAATGCCACTCGGCCAATTTTTCAGATATCATTATGAAAATTGGTAGATATACGTATTTTTTAGCCCTAAATTCAATTTTGAAAACAGAATTAAAAATTTTTTACAATTGACAAAGTTACACCCAAAAAACAGGGGTGGCTTTATAAATGTGAAACGCAGTGTAGTAATTATTTTTTGTATTTTCAAAGTTAATTGTTTTATATAAAAAGAAACGATCAATAATTATTTAAATATTTCAGCTGAGATTACTGTAGCTAAGATCGAGATGTGCGACTCGGTGTACGCACACAAAACATAGGATATCGCTGCAGTTTTTCACATCCGTCATTTTTCCACAATAAATAAAATATTACTGAAAATGACAAAAAAAACTGTTATATTTTCATTGATATAAAATTTTTCATTAATATACAACATTAATAATCGACCGTTATTAACCTAATTATTAGAAATTCGAAGAACCGCTTAAAGTTGCAATTTTCATATTTCCCATCGTGCTCACTGGTCCTCTTGTAGATGAAGCTTCGAATATTTTAAGACGCAAATGCTCGCGAACAATTCTTGGCGTCAAAAGCTCATACACTTTGGAGCGAATTGTTTTATTCATTGTGATGTAAGCGACACAAATGCAACCTGAAAAAGAGAAGATTTGTAATCAGATGAAGAAGCAATTGCGGTAGCTACCGTGACTCCATTGCCAAGCAATCTGACCAATCAGGATGATGATCGGATTGACCGGGAAGAATTGCATGTAGACGTAGATGTAAGCGGCGATTGCATTGAATGAGCACACAACGATTGATTGAATGAATACCTGAATGTTTTGCGTATTGTTTGATTATCCACAAATCGATTAATACCTGCTTCTGAGTTTTCGACAAAGCATCTGAATGCGAGATTTTGCTTTTATGTCGTATCAAAAGGCATAAGTATGCATAAATAGAAGTGGTTGTAATCGAGACAACACAATTCACGATCGAATGCGGAATATTTCGATAATACATTAGCTGAAATTAATTAGGAAATTGTTTGAAAAAAAAATGATCAAACTAACATCCAATCCAAGATTTGGCGAGAAAAACCAACTCATATAATTTGAGTCGAAAATGACTGGTTTTGTGAAGAATAAAGAATAAATTGTGAATAAAATTGGGACCAACAGAATAAGATAAATGGTTTTCCCTTTGAATAATGTGCGAAATGGGATGTTATGGTTGATATCACAACAACGATTGATCGCGAGGAGAATGCAAGTGGCACACGTTCCCATCCAACAACCTAAATACTAGCAGATTCGCGATAGGACCCATTTTCAATTCGACTACCACATCCCAATGCTCCGAAGAAGAATATTGCTCTCGGATAAGAGCAAAACGTTGCGCCGACAAATCCGAAATAACCGGTCGCTAATGAATTGGTTGTGATGCAACACATATCAACAACTCCCAAATATGTCATGATTTTGTAGCACGAGCTTTTGATCAAATCTTTGCTCGTGATTATTACGATAAAGCATGGAATATAAATGGACTGAATATGTGAAATAAGACATATAATGAATGAAGAGAACATACAAGAAGAATCGTGCCAACGGTCATGAAATAAATGCCCCAAAATGGTCTTCTTTCTCCGATTGCATACGGATCCCGAATTAGACTGCAGTTATAATAATAGGGATGAGGATGGAATCCATTTCGAACAAAATAGTTCAAACTGCATTCGATGTCGTTCTGCATGTATTTTTCGACGAATGACATGCCCTTAGTTCAGCTCATTTTTTCTGCACCAGCTCTTTATATATTGGTTGCAGACAATATAGTATACGATAATCCCAATTGTTCTAGTTTCAGATTAGACGAGTTGTACTACGCAATGAATGCCTTAAATGGCATGGATTAATACTAGAAATGAATGGATTTTGTGGGATTGTTTTCTCAGAATATCATAACTTGAATAATACATCATCATTGAATAATATACGCAAATGACGAAATATCGAGTAAAAACGTGATTTCTCACATGATTTAACTCCATCAATTTGTTATTATATTTCTTCTTTTGTTCTTGGCTAATCATTGATTTTTTTATTTATCTACAGAGAGCCCCATCATAAATGTAGTATGTAACAATATTAATGGAAAATGGGTAAAAGATAGAACGACTGTAGTACTGACAATTCTCTTATAAAAAAGAAAAAAGAGAAAAAAATAGTGATTGGGATCCTTTTTGTGATTGAACTGTTGATATTTCTTTTAAATGGTTACCGCATCGACCTAGTCACCACTAGAATCAGGAAATGATACACTTTTCATTTTATTTCAAATTTTAAAGTATATCGCTTTAAGCATTGTCCGAAAAGAAATGAGGATCTCATAACGTTTCCCAACGAGAGAGGGCTGCCTGGCCCAGTTTTGAGCTGTGTCTTCATCTTCTTCAATTAATGGTCCGTCACATATCTAAACCCACCCTTTTCAGGGTGTTCCGGCTTTCCGACCTCTCCCAAAATTGTCCATTCATATTTTTTAATGGTTAGCATGCAACAGGATATCGGCTCTTGATTGATAACTAGTTCTAGAATTGAAAAAGAAATTTCATAACTAAAACGGTGACGGTCGGTGAAAAACATTGACAATTTTGCTCGGCGTATTTTAGGAAGAAAAAATAGTAGAAGTTATCATGATTACCTAGAGGTTTTATACATACAGTACCGTGCAGTAAGATATACAATTTCACATTTTTGGTCATAACTTTCCGAAAAGTTGACCAATCGATCTGAAATTTTTGGACAACTTTAAGCATCGATAGAGTGATTATGTAACAAAATTAGAAGGTGTAAAACACATTAGGAAAAATTTTATTGACAAAAAATTCGAAATTCCAAATTAGCGAAAAACCGACTTTAATAATTTTGATATCGGTACGACTTGAAATGAAATGGAAAACAACAATTATCTGTCAGGAAGCTTAAAACAACTCAATATCTTGTTGACATGCCATTTGCATCGATCACAGTTTGATATCGGAGACCCATGGCCTCGTCAACTTCGGGAGGGTTGAAACTGGTATATCCATCCATGCTCTCCTCAGCTGCTCGAACATTTCGGCACTATTTTGCACTGTTTAACCTCGAAAACGTCTACTAAGACCTTCCCACAAATGTTTAATAGGATTCAAGTCAGGTGACTGGCTTGGTCAGTCCCTGACGGCCACCCTACGCTGCTAGAACCACTCTTTGACGAAGCGAGAACTACGTTTAGGATCATTATTCTGTTGAAATAAGTATCCACACCGAGCAAAGACTTTGCAAACGGAAGCATATGGTTCTCTAGAATGTCTTTATACATTAATCAATCCATATTTCCTTCGATTCGACGAAGTGGGCCAGCTCCAGAAGCAGAAAACATCCCCAAACTATCACGCTTCCTCTTCCATGTTTCACTGTTGGTAATTGATGCTTTGGATCGAATCTTTTGCCGTCCGAACGCCTCACAAAGGTAATACCATCCGTTCCGAGCAAGATATACTTCGATTCATCACTCGATACGACCTTTGACTATTGTCGAAACCTCCAATTCAAAAGCTCCTTATCCCACTTCAAACGGGCGCGGCGTTTCTTCTCCGAAAGGAGAGATTTTTTGACAGACCGACGTCCAAATAATCCAGAACCACGTAGACGACGCTTTACAGTATCAACGCTGATATGTATGTGACTTTTGGTGAAAAAAAGTCATGGTTTTTCGGAAAAATCTACGTTGACATCATAGAACTGACTCAGTTGCCGATTAATCTCGGAAGCGGATAGACGCGGGTTGCTCTTGCTGATTCCTACAATGGTGCGATTGATTGCCGGGGATGTTTTGGAAGGATTTCCAAGTGGTTTGGAATCCGATCGAGGTTTCAAACATACACGAAGGGTCCAAGTTGATGAGTTCAACTGGTGTGATAGACATTGGATGAAAAGACCTTGTGCTCGGCCATCCTTGATTGCTTTAAAATGTCTGATAGAATGTTTTTTGATCATTTTGATCGTCTCCTGCTAAAACAAATAAAAAAAAAACTGATGTTAACATTGAAAATCTAAAAAAAAAACGAAAAAACTTAAAAATTAAAAAAAATCGCATTTTTGAAAATACGCAAAAAAAGGTCCAAAACACAAATATTGCGTCTATAGTACCCCAAAATAAATAAATTATGTTTGGGAACACACTATCCGTTTTGTCCAAAAATTTCAGATCGATTGGTCAACTTTTCAGAAAGTTATGATAAAAAAGTGAAATTGTATATCTTACTGCACGGTACTGTACATACAATCATATGTACTATTTGTTTTGGCTCGAAGCAGATTGGCTTAAAATCATATATCTATATATAGCAGTGAGGTGCCATTTGAAAATTTTCGAGAAATTTCGGAAATATAATTTAAAATAGAAAAGCATAGGACTGCTTGCAGCCTTAATATTTTATGGATGCTTCATAAACTCTGCCGCTGCTATCGTGCCTTTTACAACGTGAACGGGGTTCTGTTGGGATCGGCATAGTGGGAACCTACGGCGATGGGTGTCAGTTTCAGACAAAAATATGATGAGTGCCCACTTTTTAGTAAAGTTTAGTTCGTTTTTGTAAAAAAAAAACACCTATGAAGCGAAGTTCTGTTGGAATCAGAATTTTTGCAAACTCGGCTTTTTTTAAAACATTAGTAATTGTAGCTTTTTTCTGAGCTTTTTAAGTATTAATTTAATTACTTCATGCTTTACTGTTTTTGTTTCCTGTTTATATAATGCGTACATTTACAGAGGGACCCCAAATATGGTTGATTCATTAGGCAATCAAAACCATTCTCTCGCTTTTTTTGTTGATAAAAATGATTGAAAAACATCCGAGTTGATAACAATTGAGTACTTTCTCTCACAACGATGCTTCGATTATTCGCGTTCCTTTTCATATTATTCCAATTATGCAATGCAAAAATTCAAATGAGGGTTCAAGCCGCAAAAGTGCCAATGGAGCATTCGGATAGTCGACGATATTTGAGCAGGTTTGGGGGGAATTCGTTCAATTTTTTAAAAAATATTAAATACTCCCAGGAATTCGTTTCGTGTCGAACATCAGCACGTCGCTGATTTTCGAGATTTTGCCTATTTCGGAAATATTAGTCTCGGAACACCCGAACAACGCTTCCTCGTTGTCTTGGATACTGGCAGTTCGAATCTTTGGGTGCCCGACAACACTTGTGGGAAAGATGAAAGGTTCGAATATCGAATACATATGATATGTTGCGAAATTAAATTTTGAAGAAATTCTGCCTGCAAGCACAAGCGAAAATTTATGATGGAAAAATCGGGATCATACGAGAAGGATGGCCGAATGTTCAGTATTGGATACGGAACGGGAAGTGCCTCGGGATATCTCGGAAAAGAAACACTTTGCGTAATCAACATCATTTTCATTTTCATGGTTCTCATGAGCTTTTAGTTCTCTGACACCACGCTATGTGTAAAATCACAAGTATTCGGACAGGCGACCAGTTTGGCACCATTTTTTGCGCGACAGGAAATTGATGGTGGGACTTTTTAATCGAGAATTCAAAAATAGAACTGACAAGAGATCTACGGAAAATGACGCATTTTCACTCAAGAACTATCATTTACTTATACTTTTTTTGTGATTCATGAATTTGAAATTAATAATAGTGTGGTGTCGTTGTTTTTTTTTTGCCGAAATTCTATAAGCCCTTCTACTTACCATCGTTAATCTATTAATAATTTTCAGGTATTCTCGGTTTAGGGTTTACTGAGCTCGCAGTCAACAATGTCGTTCCTCCACTTATCAATGCAATCGAACAGGTTTGAGCATCATTAAAATTTGGATCTCTATGAATTGAATTTTTTTGAGGGATTACTGGAAGAACCTGTTTTTACGGTATACTTGGAGCATCATGTGAAGACGGCAGAGCGAGGAGGGTATTTCACGTATGGAGGGGAAGACGGCGAACATTGCGGACAAGTGATTACTTGGGTCCCACTGTCTAGGGCCGCTTATTGGCAATTTAGAATGGACTCGTCAGTTTCATTTTCATTGGTTTTTGATTAAGCCAACTATTTCCAGAGTTGGTGTTAGATCGTCAACAGAAATTTCGAAAGGCTGGGAAGTGATCTCGGATACTGGTACTTCATTTATTGGTGGTCCCTCCCATATTATAAAATCGATTGCCTATGTAATCTGATGCAAATAATTCGCCATTGACCTAGATGATTTCAGCAATTCGGTGCCACCTACGATATTTTCAACGACATTTACACAGTTCCGTGTTCCAAGGTCAGAAAGATGCCGTCGATCAAAATTCGCGTGAACAATGTTGATTTGGAAATTCAGCCGGAGAATTTGATTGCTCATGTTAGTCGCCAATTTCGACAATTGCTTCAATAATTTAATATTGAGTCGGCTCCTGGTGAATGCGATTTGGCACTCTTCGATATTTTCACCGGCGGATTTGGTCCCGCCTGGATTCTCGGCGACCCATTCATTCGCCAGTATTGCAATATTCATGATGTTCGAAACAAACGGATCGGCTTCGCAAAATCGAAACAGGTCCTTTAATCTAATTTATTTTTGAATTTCTCATTGAATAAAATCGTTTCATATCTTTTTTTTGTTAAGCGGACTTATTAGTTACTCATTAAGGGATTTTGAATGCAGTGTTCGATGTTTTAAAGAAAATCTTAATATTGAATATTTCCAGAATTCGAGAGATTTGGTGCGGAAAATATCGGTTATTTCCCTCGATGAAATAGACGTTTTTCGTCAGAATTGAAGTTGTTGCCCCGTGGCAAAAAATTCTGCAAAAGGGATATTACTTGATGTTGTTCAAAATATACATTCAATTTCATTTTTTTTGCTTGACGCGATTTATTAAAAAAATATGTACAATCAATTTCAGACTTGTATTTGACATCCCCGTCAGCCGCGACGCATACGCATCGCGGCCAATTCGCGGCAGATGAAGTGCTCGGATTTAAATATTCGGTTATTGAATGGCTACGGTGTGGTTTGGTAAAAAAAAAACAATAATATATTTATTTCAAACGTCATTTTTCGAATTGAGACGTTCGAATCCAATGACGAAACCGTTTTTAAGATAATCGCCTCTCCGATATTTTTGTTTTGATCGGCGCGTATTTGCTCAAGAAGAATTATGAAATGAGCAAATTTTCAGCAATATTTCAGAAATTTTCATCTCATATATCCGTCGCAAATACTATCAAGGAAGGAACGCAATCGGATATTTCGCGGAGCCCTCCGTTTGAAGCAGCTGAAATTCGGTATGCATTTTCAGGACAGCCCTTCGCGACACTGGTTTTCAGTTTTTTTTTCCTTGTTTTTACTCCATTCCACAGTGTTTTATTTATTTTTTCGCTTCCCACAAAAATAGCAATTATTGATGGATAATCACACCCACGTTTGTGGGTTTGTAGCGTGTAATTCACGCTCATTTTGCAGGCGACTTCGGCTACGCCATTTTTCGAATTGTTGTGCAACCATTTTTGTGCCATTTTTTGTTTTATTTTGTATTTTTACTTCAAAAAAAACCAAGACTGTCTTTAAGATGTTCTTAAACAATTTTCAATTGGAATTACCGTTTGTAAGACATCATCAACGCGGGCTTGCCGCCGACGCCAGCCCGTTCCGCCCGTTTGTTTTTTTTAGCAAATTTCAAGTGCCCTGGCTGTTAACATGAGTGTCATATTGCTGGGTATAAGCCCATTGATGGACCTATTAAATAACAGCTTGTAAATTTAAAAATTTCAAATTCATTCGTCCGAAACGATATTTTTCGCAACGTTTTGATTTCATCCTAAAAATCAATTTAATTAATTATTTGTTTTAATATACGCGATGGATTTTTCTAAAGTAATCGGCAAAATAACCAAAAATGTATCAAAAAATGTATCAAAGAGCAAATTAATTTTTAAAAAAATAATGGCCGTCGTGAAATATGGCATGGCCGAAAAATTCGCGGCCGCAGGCGAAAATCAAAAGCCGGCTCCGTGCGAGCGGGCAGCGGACACCAGCATAATTTTAATTCAATAGATTCGTATCAATTCCTGAAACCTAGTACTGATTTAGAAATTGCTTGATTCCGTAATACCCGAATTCCCACTGAAAATATTGAAATTTGAATTTCCATCGCGAAAATCAGATGGTCTAAAAATACTCTGGGTGCCCGATTTGTTTTTTTTCGATGATAATAGACGAAGAATGAAATAAAATAAAATAAGTAATAAAGTATCTAATAAGTATATTCACTCTAAAAGAAAATAAAAATGAAATATCCTTCATATAAAAGACGGACGAGTTTTTTAACATAAAAAAAATGATGAAACTCATAAAATTGTCACACAATCACAAAATAAAAAATTTATTTGAAATTAATTATAGATTTTTCGAGAAAAAAATTCAAAAACCCTTCAAACATTTGCAGAAAAATCAATTTAAAATGTCATTTGCTAGACTTTAGTAGTTTTTTTCAAATGGTGACTAACCAAAAATCATGTGGTTCTAACCCAAACCCCATTAAGTGCGTGAGAATCCGCAATTTGATCTCGAATTTCGATTCGCATCATTTCATTTTTTTTTTTGATTTTTTGTTTAATTCCATCATTATTCATTTTTTAATGTTGATTGATGAGAATCAAAAAGAAAAGGTGATTTTTAAAAACGAGCAATTCAAACATTATTCGGAAGCAAATTGAATTCAATTTCAACTTTGCACGTCATTTCAAGGCTATAAAAGACGAGGAAGAACGTGCAAAAATAGCCGAAAAAATAGAGGTGAAGAAACGCTATCCAGATCAAACCCCCAACGCGCGCGCGTATATTAATTTGATTTGCTATCCTTTTTAGACTCATTTTATTGCTCTTTCTGGATTATTCGAATAAACTCGACTAAAAAAAAGTTTCTTTCATTTATTTTCTATCACCAATTTTTTTCAGTTCAATATCTAAATATTTGAATCGAAAATCTACAATTTTTTTTTCTAATTATATTCCGAAGCACAAAACGATTCTTAATTATGGAATTTCAAAATCAGCCTGGAAACGTAATTCGTTTGCAGTAACTAACTTAAATAGTAACCTAACTATGCCTAAAATAGTTTCTAGAAGCCATTTGTACACTTTTTTCATTTTTATTCATTTGTTTGAATTTCGAAATATTTGTGGACAAGCGATGAGAAAATTCATTGCATGGAACACCTTATTTAGATTTTTAAAAATACATAGCCTAAAATTTACAGTAAATGTAGAAATAATTAATATGCCCGCAAACTTGATTTTCGGCGACAGTTATGAAAAATATAATTTTATTAAAAAATAAAATTTGGAACAATTGTAGTTATCAATTCATATTCGTTAAAGTTCGCATCAAAAATCCTTCCATCAACGTCTGACAGCAATTTTTTTCGTCTTCAGCATCACGACATTGAGAATCGAAATTCTGAATTCAAGCTACACCGTTTCAGCTGTCTCGCACTTGATTGTTTATTTCATTTTCACTATGGTCTTTTATGTAGGCAACTAATTTACACAAATATTTACCCGAATGTTTTTTGATTTGTTTCTAATAATAGTTAGACTTTGTCGACAGTTTCTTATAAGATATAGGATAAAAGTTGGGGCAAAATCATCAGAAAAGTAAAGCTTGCAAAATGTCTCAGTTTTCTCTGCTCAAACTTGAAAATGTCCAACAGATTTCCCGCCAAACATTCACGAGAAGTTATTGTCGAGTAGGCGGGCATTCGGCAAATCTGAAAGAGCAATGTCTTAAAATGATCTCAATTGATGTTTGAAATATTGTCACTCACAGGTGACATTGTTATCCGGCTTCGTCTGTGTCATATTTCTAATATCATATTTCCCACTGATATTTATTTCGATGAGTCGAAGTTCAATTTAACTCTAAACCAGAAAAATCGACATTTCATGTGATGGAATTTGTGGGGATTCTCCAGAACTCGAATCATTTAATAACCTATACGTATACCAGATGATGTTAAAAATGTTAAAAATAATGTGAAAATTATAACAAAATAAATATATTGAAGCAACATATAGAAAGATAAGCTTTCGAATTATATATAAAACTTGATATCAAAGTAAAGATTTGAAAAAAAATTGAAGAATAAATCTGTTTTTTTTCATGACTCTCCACACATCGGCGATGTGAAACAACTGAGCAGGTCGACAATTCTACGAGAATTGTATCCATCGGATGGTGCATTAATTACAGCATCAGATGGGACGAGTTATTTCTGTCTGATTTCTACATAAAATCTTAGTAGGCCACGAATTAGAACACATGAATTCGGCGGCTTCATTTTCTTTCAAAAATCGTGCCAATTTTTACAATAACCATTCGATGCATTGCAATTCAACAATTTCTCTATAAAAAAATGAACACCTGACGAAAGAAGGGTCCTATTAGTTCGTTGATTAGTTATAGTCGATGACATCGACACGATAATTTGATTTCACCCACGAGATCACTTCCATCACTTCGGAGGATGTGCTTGTAAAGACTCATTCAAATTGCTCAAATGTTAAGTTAGAGAATATTTCGCCGGACCAACAAATCTACCGTCCTGGTAGTTTTGTCCCAAGGATCAATCCCTCAATCAGTCTTCTTTCATTTTCGGTGTTCGCGTTTACTGTATTATGAACATCTTGCACGCAGTCTGTCAATATCCGTCTTGAACATTTCCGAATTTATTTTCAGCCACTTTTGTGACTTCATTTGAGCGAGTTTTTTAAAGACTTACTAAACGGTGCTAAAAGGGGTGCCATTCATATGTAGTGAGTTTGATGGCTTGATTGTGAGCCGAGTTCGCGTCACAACATTCTGACTTATTAGATTTCGATTTAAAAAAACAAGTACGAATCGAAACATCTGCCATAAAAGGTAACGTTGCCTAGAAACATTGTTCTCCAGAAAATATCAGCTCAACTCACCACCACATATTTCATTCTGTCAAAATCGTGAATGCTTCTCGAAATCCGCGGTTTTCCTTTAAATCGAAACACAAATGAATTGAGCTGAAATCCTCCTTCATATTACGTCAGTCAAATGAAAGTGTTTCAGTAATCGAATAAATGTCGAATGGATTAAAATGAAAAAAAAAAACGCACCGAGTGATGTCAAAAATCAAGAAATATTCCCGCCCCTTTGTTTATTTATTTGTTGTTTTTTTTGTTCGGCCACTTGAAACTCAATTCGAAATCCGAACATAACTTCTTTTTTTTTTGACTTGTTTCGCTACCTTTTTGCTCGTTCATTCGCTCGTTCGTTCTATCCACGGACAGTCGTAAATCTTGGCCTCCGTATTTGGTAGTATTGCACAGCTCCTCAATTGTATTTTCTCATCTCCTGCTCATGTTTCTTTTTTATCTTCATGCTCTCATTCTTCTCCCAATTGTCTTCTTCAAGTTTTCCATTCGATTCCCTCATTTGTTTCATTAATTTTAAAATTCGCGCCGTCGACTCGCCGAATGTTGAGAAAATCGTCTCAAATGAGGAATTGCTTCTCACGATTCACATCTCGTTTTTATACGAGCTCTTGAAATTTTCCAAAAAAACTATTTTCGGTTCACGTTTCATTTGATCTAGACTTTTAGACTATCCTAAAATCTCTTTGGATTACTCGAAACTTTTTTAAAATAGAAATTAATCTATTTAGAGGATTCTTCGAAATCAGACGAACTACAAAATGACGTGAAAATGTGATATCGTCGCGTATTTCCATTTGCATTTAATTTTTTCAGAGAATTCCGTTCTGTTTATGTCTGTTTCAAATCTACACCTTTTTTTTCCATTTTGACAATGGCTTGAAATATTATAATTAATTCTCATGCTTCTCATGTAATTATTATATCGCGCAAGATTCAGAAGCCTATAAAATGGTGGTAGTGGTGTGTGTCTGATGATTAGACTGAGTAATTATTGAGGGGGATGACTCGGGCTCAATTTTTTTAAGTCAAAATGAAAAAATACGCGAGAAACATGAGAAAATTGTATAAGACAGTGTTTGTAGTTCCTTGACATTTTTTCCGCCGGAAGCATTTGTTCGACAATCTTCAAAATGCTCATAATGTTCTTCTAGTATGGTGTGGTGATCTCTTGGCATTGGTGTCAATTGTTGAGAATCGTCATTTCCATAAAACACCAACAGCTGCTTCGACGAGAAAAATATGGTGGGTGGATGGAAAAGACTTAAGTAAGCGGAAAAATAAAATGGTGCGCTAAAAGTGCACCAAATTTGAGCATGAAGCCTTGAATTTTTAGTTAGGTTTCACCTTTTGAATCAAGAAAAAAACAAGACGGAACAACATTTCTTGGAAAAATTTTCTGAATATTCATACCACGTTAATTACTTAAACGGAGTGGTCCGTTGACGTGATTCGCTGCACATTTAATCCGCCCACCCAGTAAAGCATAACCATCGACAACTAGGGCACAATACGGAACAAATTCTCATGTGACTTCATATGAAAACAGTTATTCTAATCCAATTATTATTAGAATTAGCATTAGTGTTTTGTGCACTTTTTCCAACACCATATTTGACTTGAGCACGTTGTTATGCGTCACTTGAAAACAAATTCGCCGTGTTTGCCATAAATCTGCACCGGCGAAAAAAAAAACGAAGACGACGTCAAAACTTTTAGTTATTGACACGGGTTTTCAATTTGTCATTTATTTTCACTCCCACATACCGGAATTCGCCACGGAAAAATTCTGAGACTACTTGTGTCCCATATGTCAATGAGCTGTTTGTCAGATAAACATATTGACAACTCCAAGTACATTTATTGCCTTGTATGCATTTAGATACAAGTAGAGAATATAAAAAATCAAAAAATTCCATCCATTTAATTCTCATCCCGATTTCTTCCCTAGTTATTCACAATATGGAATTATGTGGTGAGCTCAGATTACTATAGGCATTTGGTTTCTAAAAGGACAATCTAAAACAATTATTACGATTTTCAGATGCGATTAATATTTTCGATTTCTCTAAAAACATTTTTTTCATATGTATATGTATTATGGCTGATGCTTGCTATCTACAATAATATTGTTTTAAATTCCTTCTCCAATTTCAGTACTCGTTCATTCTTAAATTCACAATTTTCAGAAAATGTCAAACTGCCCGATACCCGATAGTCTTGAGGAATATGATTTGCGCGCGGCTGCCGATATGGTTTCAATTTTCTCTCTCGAATAAACTAAATCAATTTTCGTAATTTTGCAGGTGCTTCAGAATATTTCTGGCTGCAATCAAAGCGAATTCTACGATGCGCTCGCCAAAGAGTACGGCGTCTTCTTCTTGTTCGAAGATGCTCCATTCGATCATCCGCTCATTCTTCAAATCTTCTATGGAACATTGTTCACCACCACAATTCTGCTGGCTCTTTTAGGCAATTTCACAGTCATGTGGTCAGTTTTTCTGAATAACTCATCCGTTGATTTGTGTAAACAAAATATTCTAAAAAAAAAAAACAAAATATTACCAAGATTAGGATTAGCCTTTTTTGGGTCACAATCGTCTTAGAACGATCACACTTTTTTATTGTTGTTAGGCGATCTCATTAATCTTTAGCCTATTTAGGATCATCCTCTACCATCGCCAAATGCGAAACGTCACCAATTACTATTTGTTCAATCTCGCCGTTGCTGACGCTTCCATTAGCGTGTTCAACACTGGATTTTCATGGTCTTACAACTATTACTATGTTTGGAAGTACAATGAAGACACGAATCAATTAGGGGGAAATGCTATTGTTGCAGATTCGGAAGCTTCTATTGCCGAATAAACAATCTAATGGGTATTACACCGATCTGCGCAAGCGTTTTTACAATGATTGTGATGAGCATCGAAAGGTAGAATCGCATAACGTGTATTGCTAATTATGCAAATTAAGGTACTACGCGATACTGCACCCGTTGAAGTCGCGTCCCGGTCGACGCTCAACGATCACCATCATATTCGGTATTTGGTTTTTGGCGTTTCTTTGCGGGGTCCCTGCGCTCTTGGCATCAAAGGTTAACAGTGGGATGCGAGGAGAAAATTTAATATCGAAAAAATCATTTAGGTCGATGTTTATTATTTCTACAATGGAACACACCTATATGAGAACCCTTTGTGTATGGCCGACAATTATCCAGATGGTCCGAATTCCATCTGGGGACTTGTGTAAGAGATTTAAGCTTCAAATAAAGAAGCAGTATTTGATTTGTGAGAGTCTTCAATTTTGTTCCGAAACGGATGAGTTTTTCAAATCCAGTGTTTTTCTATTCCTAGAATCGATATATGTATAGTCGGCGTCCGGCGACTGCTGTACGCGGGTAGATTTACGGGGGATGCGTCTTTCTCTTGGTCTCGCACGGACTAACTGGTTATTTTGCATTTTATGGTTCGGTTCGATAATTTTTTAATCGAACAACGTTAGAAATTCCAAGAAATGCCTACTCATCAAGAAAAATTGAATCGTTCATGTGAAAACAGCCAAATAATCGTTGACACGTGGCGAGACCTTTTCAAGGCACATTGCTCGTAAATCTACCCGCTTACAGAAGTCTCCGGACCCGGACTATAAAAAGTTACAATTTATTTAAATTGATCCTATTACCTAATAATTAATCTAATGATTATTACAGTTATAACAATGGTCTGATCACGGTCCAATATATTCTTCCCTTGTGCATATTGTCGATTGCTTATTATCGCGTTGGTGTCGAGCTCCGAAAGGTTTCGAATAAGAAATAATGAAACATCAATTCATTCGACATCTCGCAATATTTAGGACAAAACAGTCGGAGACGTGCGGCATGCCCGATCGGTGGCGGCTAAGAAGAAGGCTTCGATTATGTTGGCCGTCGTCGTATTCATTTTCATGTTCGTCTGGTTCCCCTACAACGCGTACTACCTGACTCTTCATCTCGTCGAACCGATCGGAAACCGAATGGTAACTTGCATTGTTGTTCGACGTCGCATATCGCGCATTGTTTTGTTACAGCTGAGTCTCTACATTTATATCAACATTTATTGGCTGGGCATGTCATCGACCGTCTTCAATCCCGTTATATATTACTTTATGAACAAGAGGTTAGAATGATGATCTCTGTGAAAAAAAAAACTCCGAACAAAAAATTGATGTCATGTGTCATGGTCATCGCAAACCGAAACGAACTTGAACAATTAAGGCGAACAACAAAAATCAGATTAGTCAATTCTTGAGGGGGGGGGGTTTAAATTCTGCTTAATTTCAAACTGGAAACCTTCGTTTCGCTGATTGGTAGACAAAAAATCAACAGGTCAGACGCAGACATTTCCGAAAATTAGAAACTGTCACGTTTCGCGAGGACAATGAATAAAATGGAGAAAAATAAAATAAAAAATGAAAAAACGAAAGTAAAATTTTTTGAATAAAAATATGCTGCTTGTCATTTGATGGATAGTTTATCGATATTGAAAAACGAAAATTTCGACGCAGCTGAAAATTGAAACAAAAAAATGAAAATGATGTATAAGGGAAATTTGAGGATTCGGAGATTTAAAAATGAAGCTGAGGTAGTTTTTTTTTAAATTCCGATAATCCAATGAAACACGTGGAGTTGCATTTGAATTATTTTTGATTTCACAATGTTCATACCAACAGAATCCAAAGACCGAAGAGAGATCTCACCGTTTGATCTATCGCTTTTTTCCCAATGCTACTTAACCAGTTGAAAAATTCAAAAAATGATTGATTATCCGCAATGTTGATCGAACGCTGGTTGTCTCATTGCTTGTTGAGAGTACATCTGAACTGCTGCATTACAACTTTGGAAACACCCAATATGGAAATTGCAATCCGCTTTGAGTCACGGGGTCAGACAGAACCTAGCTAGCTGATCAATAACCAAAATGAGTGCGCTCAATAACAGCGAACATTCTACAGATTCCGCGTCGGCTTCCATCACGCATTCCGTTGGTTGCCTTTCGTCAAATCCAACAAGGAAGAGTATACATCGATTCTGACGCATACTCGCCCATCGATAAAGCCGCCAACGGTACGATGACCTACTCCCAAATAACGCAGTATTGTTTTGCGGTGTTTGCAGAGCTATATGGAGAAATCGGGAGTGTTATGAAGAGCGCGTTCGTTCTGACACCAATTATTGAAGCTACTCCATTATAATTCATATATTATGTGAATTCCTCACAATCGCTTTCGGTTCGTCAGTGTGTCATGAATTCGTCGTAACAATTCGTATTTGTAATATTTTTCTCATTTTCCCCTATATGGTTTATCCGACTAGCCAACTTGATTGCAGTAGTAGTTTCATTATATTATTGGTTCTGAAATTCTAAGTTTGTTCCTCGTTGTTTTCCGTTCATTTCTCACTAGTCTGCGCCGATTTCAATGCTAATTTATTCAGAGTGCAGACTATATATATGTATAATATATACGTTAATTTCAATTCAATTCCCATGGTTTTCCGAATACCATATTTGGTACCAAAATGCTAAACTCCGCCCAATATTTTGACATTTTCGTTTTCATTTTTTTATCCTCTTCTTTGTGGGTGTGCAGAACGAGACCCCACCTACTCTCCACTACCAATATTTTCCTATGACATACATATTTGACGATATTTGTGTTTCATTTGATATTATAATAAACCGTTTTAAAAATGAGTGTTTTCATTGTCCCAATATTGTCTCAAATTGCTTTTGTTTCGCGGAGGAGGGACGACGACGTAATTTTCGTCACCCTGCTGTTTCGTTTTCGTCAAACTTGATTCTTGTTTGAAGGAGAGAGAGAGGTCGTGTGAATGGCGTCGCAGTTGTATCTCGGCGTCAATGATGTTCCCTCGATCAAAGAGGTCGTCTGCTTTGGATTTCAGGTAATATCATCTTGTCTTAAAGAAATCATAATGCTTTGGAAGATTGGAGCAAATTTAATAGTACGGTACCATAATTCTCGCTGGTGTTTTTTTTTTTGCATTTCCGCAAACACCGAGGTTCTCAATTTTCAAATTCTCCTTCAAAAATTCTTATTTTTCAAAAAAAAATTGCATAAAAACGTCATAGTTTTTTATTTTTTATTGTTTGTTTAATATTTTAATGAATTTCAGCAAGCCATGCTTTGCATGTCCGGACTTCTCGTTTATCCATTCTTGATCTCAACGGCAGTATGTGCTGGTGCAGCTCAACTCCAGCTCAGGGTTCAACTGATCTCCGCAACATTCGTTTCATGTGGTATTGCTACTATTCTTCAAACTACTTTCGGTTTGAGGTACCACTTCAATTTGAAGGGTCCTACTTAACACCGTATTCCAGGCTCTCTGTGCTCCATGGTCCCGCCATGGCATTTCTTCCACCACTTCTTGCGTACAAACAGCAGAATGTGTGTAGATATGGGGAGAACGACGTGGTCCCAGAAGAAGAGTGGCTCGGAAGATTACAACAGGTTGCTTCAATTATTAAATTCCTTCAATGTATCATTACAGATTCAAGGAAGCCTCTTCTGCGCATGTCTAGTATTCATAATTGTCGGCAGCACAGGACTCGCCGGATTTTTCGCGCAACTCATTGGTCCGATTACAATAGTTCCTTTGATGCTTCTCCTTACAACGAGCATAGTGCCAACGATCGAGGAAAAACTCTCACTTCACTGGATCTCTTTGGTGTAAAATTCTGAGCTGAAAGCAAAATTGAAAGAAAATTGCAGAATGCTAGCAACGGTCATTCTAATGGCAGTCTATCTTGAGAATACCCGAATTCCGTTCTACTATTATTCGAGACAGAAAAAACAGATTGTGTCGACGAGAATCCGATTGTTCGGACAATTCCCGGTAAAATTGTTTATGGTGTTCGTATTTGGCCTTCTGTTTTGATTGCCGCTGTTTGCGAACATTATGTGATATCGAGAATCACACGTACAATGTCGTCTAATATAGACATTTTTAAATGGCAATTGATCATCAGAAATTCTTGTGAGAAACGTCAATCTTCGAAATTATCATCACTTTTGAACGGCATTTTTTTAAAAGAAAAAAAATCGAATTAAATCTGTTTTTTCAAGTCTTTCTTTTTTCAGTACCTTCTCAGTATTCTACTGGTCTGGTTCGTCTGCTTCATTCTCACCGTCACGGATCTGGAGCCTTATGGTGGAGCGGCTCGAACCGACAACAATCGGACGATAACCGTACTTCAAGCCTCCCCGTGGTTCCAAGTTCCCCTTCCAATGCCGTTCGGGGCGCCAAAATTCAATGCTGGAATCTGTTTCGGTTTTGTGGCTTCTTGCATTTCCTCGATCATCGAGAATATCGGCTCATACGACCTTCTCGCGCGCACTTCCCATCAGCAACCGCCGCCGAAAAACGCGATCAATCGAGCCATTGCGATGGAAGGAGTTGGCAGCATAATTGCCGCATTGACTGGCGTCAGTAGTGGTGTGACGACATATGCGGAGAACATCGCTCTGATTCATATCACCAAAGTGGCGAGCCGATCGACGATGCAAGTCGCCGGACTTGTACTCATCCTTTTGGGCCTATTTTCCAAGTTCGCCGCTCTTTTGGCGACAATTCCTGACGCCTTGGTCGGTGGCATTTTAACAATGGGCATTTCGATGATTGGAGGAGTCGCACTCAGCAATCTTCAGGTATGAAACCTTTAAAAAACTATATATTTATATATATTTTTTTAATTAATTAATTTATTTTTTTTTTTCATTTATTGCCGGTGTCAAACGTATTGAAGAGAGATGGGTCCTTCAAATTCGCGAAATCAGTGTAGATTTAAATTTTTTGTTGTCTGAATATTAAATGCGCGTACGCTATAATGCAATGTACGCAATTTCGCGTACTTCTCGCTTCACCGAGACGCATTGGCACGTAGCCAATAATTTTTTTTTTAAATTTCGTTCTTTTCGACAATATAATAAAAAATTCCACTAAATCTCCGTAGATATAAGCGAATTAATGGCTTGCATATTACTTGAAAATGTTTTTGTTTGATGTATATAAACGTATTTAAAAAAAACAACAATGTTTTTTTGAGATGATCGACCTTCAACTATGCCGAAATCTGTCAATAATGGGGCTTTCGATGTTAATCGGCCTTATTGTTCCATTGCACTTCGAAAAACATCCAATTAAAACTGGTAAAACAAAACAATATTTTAAAAATCAAATAATCGCAACAATGTTGAAGGTAATTTCGAGGTTGATTCGACATTCAACATGCTTCTCACTATTAAAATGCTCGTCGGCGGCGTTGTTGCAACATTTCTCGACAATACAGTGCCAGGCGAGAGCAATTTGTGCGAATTTCTCATGAGTCGCATTTTCGTTTAGGAGCCACTCGAGAGCAGCGTGGATTCCGAAGGCATGACAGCGAGAACTCGCAATTCGGCAAAGAGGCCTACGAGTTCCCAAGATTCTTCCAAAAGTGAGACATCTCCGAATTGGATTTCTTCTTAAACTAACATTCCAGAATATTGCGGGCAATTCCATTCCTTCAATATATTCCACTTCTTCCAAGGCTATTCGATAACGAAAGACGCGACAAATTTAATCCGTGAATGGATACTTTTAATTATTTTAAAAATACATATATATACGGGTATACACATTTATCAAAATATGAGCACATTAATATCACCTAATAATGATCAAATAAACATTATAAAACAATACACATAACCGTATGGTAATTGGAAATTAATAATATTAATCGATTAATTAATCAATCTTAAAAAATAGAAATTAGAGATGGGAAGAAATAGGGGAAGATGTCGAGCAATTGGCACATTTCGCTTTTTCAGCTGCCACCATCTCAAGATATTCCTTCTTGAGCTCTTCGTATCGCGATCTGTAATTCATATAAGTTTGAAATGCCTAAATATTCATCTAAACCAGATATCCGTGCGACAGTAAATTAAGAAGACTTACAATGATATGACTTGAATATCGGTGAAATACTTTTTGACGGATCTTCCTGGAATATAACTAGGCAATTTTCTCGAGTGATGCTTGCGTTTTCGTTTTGTTTTCTTCGGCTTCACATTCTTCCTTTTAAGATTCCGATATTCTTGTAATTTTCGCTTCCTATTGTTCGAGCGTCTGTCGCTGCTTCTCGCAGACGCCGAAGACGTCGATGGTCGTGAGACGTTGGCACTGTCAGTCGGTTCCGCCGTTTTCTGATTATTCTCGGTAGTGTTGATAGAATGAGTCGATGTTCTGCCATCGTGATGATCTTTCTGATAAGATCTTCTCCATCCTACCCGTCTTGTTCCACCATTCAAAAGCATCCCTAAAAATTTAATTAATGTTGTAAATGTTGCGTGACTGGGAAAAATTGATTAAAGACAAAAATATTGCGGTATTGGCGCAAAACTAAGTGTAGATTTACGAGATAAGCACAGGTTAAAGGCGCATAACGCGCATTAAGACATTTCCTCAAATAATTTAGCTAATTTTCGGCAGTAACGCGACGCCGATAACAGTAAACTGTTATTTAGGTTTGAATTTTTTTTTGCAATATTTGAATAGTGCGAGAATTTTCGAATTTTTCTCAAAAACTCGATAATTAATTTTAAAAAAATGTCACGGCTTCTTTTTGTTATTTCAGTCAGGAATGTTCAAATAAAACAGTTTAGAAAGAATTCGATTGGTGTTAGATGAGATGTGTGCAAAAGTGTGTCTTCGTGTATAAAGACAAAAGGGATAAAAATGGAATACCACCAGTTTGAATTGTTTCTTCTTCGAGCTTCAAATTTTTGGCGAATTAAATTTAACGAAATATTTGCATATGAAACCGATTGGCATTTTAAAAAAATTAGTGTCGCAACCCGCTTAATTCGTTTTGCTTATAAAATTATTTAATTGAAACTTACAAGCCCTCGACCTGCATTTTCTCTCTTTTCTAATAAACAACGACAGCCTGCCTCGAAGCCTTGCAAGACGATGGAACATTAAAAATGGACGACGACGTTTACGCTGCTTCAATCTAAATATCAAAAAATTAATTAACCCAATTATATTAAATAAATAATGCCTTCTAATCTCTCGAACCAATCTCATTATATGGAATTCCCTATAAGTCCTCGGCCGTTTTGTTAACGTTTGGTTCATCATTTGAGCTTTGAGATACGGTATAGATGGATCATTCACGCGGAAATCCTTAAAAAAATTATAAACATGAAAAATATTGAGAGCACTTACATGAATCATTCTCTCCGCTGGTTCTTCTTCAACAAATCGAATAAAACCAAAAGATCGTGGGCGTGATCCGATATTTATCATCCTTCTTGGTTTTGAAGTTGAAGGTATATTCTTATTATTAGTTTCACATTCGGGTATTTTTTTCGCCCCTTCTTCAATTTCCTTTTCTTTAGTTTCTTCACCTGTACGGCTATCATTAGTTTCATTTTCATCATCTTCCTCTTCTTTTCGAGAATCCTTATTAGCTTCACTTTCAGTGCCGTCTTCTTCTTTTTCTTGATTATATTTATTAACCTCATGTTGCGATTCATCTTCTTTATTTTTTACCCAATTAGTTATTTCTTTAGCACGTGGCACTCTAATCATTCGTGGAGGTTTTTTGGCAATTCGCAACTATAATACAAATAGTTTAAAGCTACAGACAGCTGTCACTAACCTCTGTCACGTTACCATAGCATTTTGCAATTCTTAACAGTTTTTCTCTGTTGCAACCTTCCGGAAGATTATCCTGAACATTTGAAGATCGAAGAGATATTTTAATTTGAAAGTCTTTTGTAAACTTACGACATACACAGTGCATGCTTTCTTCTTGTAAACGGGTCGATATTTCAAATAGAGTCCGCCACCCGGCTCGTCTTCTTCGATTTTGAATAAATACGTTATATTACTAATTGATGCCCAATGAAATTGATTCAAATGATGAGTCTGAATTTGTAATATGAATTTTTCATGGAAAATATTTTACAATACTTACATTCTTTATTAAATTTGATATGCGGAAACTTCGAAGAATTTCGACAAGCGGGGCTCCTACGAACACAAAGAAAATTAAGACTCAACGGAAATTAAGACTCATGGTCATTGACTTACTCGGAGTTCCTGAGGAATCTGCTGTTTTGAACAAATGATTAATGACAGGAAGATCGGGGGAATCTGTGAGAGCTTGCTCGAACTACAAATTTCGAACTAAACGTTTTTTCAAAAAAAATGAATAACCATACCAACTCGCATATCCTCTTTTTCATACCGGTTAATCGCCTTCTTATTGTTAGTTTTTTCTTGGATTTTCCGGTGCTTTTGCGATTTTCCTTCTGTTTGCCGCCTCCTTTCTCGCTGTTCCGACGAGCTCGTTTACTCGGCCCACCGATAGATGAATATCGTGTCCTCTTACGACTGTTGTTACTTGTCGTCGTGTCCGTCATCTGAAACTATTTATGTTCAATTATAGGAGACTGTCAATAAGGCCGAATTCTGAGCGATATAAAATGGATCTGAAATGTGTTAAATCTAAATTAAATTTTCGCAAATGTGATATATTTTATATTTGGCGAAAAATGAAAGCAAACATTAAGCAATTAAAATCATAAAAAACTACCATTGAATAAAAACGATTTGGCTTTAAATTTGTGTCTTAAATATAAAAATAACTGCTTAATTTAAAATTCGAAAATTTCAAGATTTGAAATTTTATTGGTTGAGTAAATGCGCTCCACTGCACTCTGTGGTTTCTCGTAGTTTTTGCCGCTTACACGTTTTATGCATTTATTTTCCGGATATGGTGAGGTGATTTTTACTACTTGTCTTCTCAAAAACTACTTTTATGATCAAATTGTAATTTTAAAAAGTGATTCACCGATTTTCATTTCATGGTTTTACGTAAAAATCTTGCCGAATCCAAATTTCGTATTTCTTTAAAAAATTGTTTGATTGTTATCTCGATCAAATGCTGACGTTTCAGAAACCGGTGCCACACAACGTCATAATATTCCACGATGTCTTTTCGAGGTGGTCATACTAGAGGTTTATTGATATTCAAAGAATCTATAATATATAGTTTACAGGATTAAATGATGAGAATTATTTGGAAAGACACAATGACAATCTCATTGACGGACTTTCGTCAAAAGTTGCTGCGTTGAAAAGAGTACGTTGTGAGTTGTAGAAAAAGGGCGGATGCCGATATTTTTTTTAGTCTATAAGATATAAATATTTCATTTACTAAAGCATTATTCTGTTCAAATTGATTTTTTTAAGATAAGAAAATTTTGATATTGTTCTAAAGATACATCATGCCTCTGGTTAATTTTCTAAACAATACTCTTTTGAATTATTAAATTCCAATTTTTCAGGTCACAATCGCAATTGGTGATGACGTTCGTGAGCAAAATCGATTACTCAGTGATATGGACAACGATTTTGATTCGTCGAAAGGTCTTCTTCAATCCACTATGAGGCGATTAGGGATTGTTAGTAAAGCCGGAGGTAAAATAAAGCCAACACATCTAAAGAGTTAATTTGAAAATTTCAGGTAAAAACCTAATGTGCTATCTAATCCTTTTCTCGCTGTTTGTCTTTTTCGTCATATATTGTCTCGCCCGATAATTTACCAACTAGTTGTACATAGAATGTTTTTGTGATAATTTCGTGGAGGTGGAAGGCATTCACATATCTTTCTATTCGAAGTTTAAGAAAGTGTATATTTATTATTGATAAGAAATTGTCAGATACAACGATTTGCACATTTGAAGACAGAAATGAAATAAGAAAATGTAAAAAATCGTGTCACGTCAGATGGACTTTCGAATCAGAAAATTCGAAAATTGATTATTTCTTACTTCGTCGAATTGATGAAATTCACCTAAAAATATTTTTACAAACCGAAAATGTAAGAAGATATCAATTTTCAATGATATGATTCTCTATGATTGAAATCATCTGACATAACCTGAATAGGTTTGTTATCGAAACTTTTGATTTCAAATTAATAAACACCGAAATGTTGTAGCCAAGGTTATTTTAAAGTGTTTCAATATTTCTGTTGAAGCTTTTTATTTGGACACGCATAACTTCAGAATAATGGTTTTATGCCTTTGCCCAGGCAGCTTTGTTCTTCTCTTCCTTCTCTTCATCGAGTGCGAACTCCTTCTTGTCGACGACCTTGAGGTTGTTGCGGAAATCGATCTTGGCGGGCTCCTTCTTCTTGATCTTATCGAACTTTCCTTCAGTCTTTGATACCTTCTTCAAGGTTGGCTTGACGCTGCAATAAACGATTCTTGTGTTGAGGTTCTCGATCAAATCGAATACAATTTTCCTCGAAGATCGTTGACAGCGATGGTGAGCTCGTTGATTTCGAAATCCTTCTGTCTTACGATGTAGCTGATATCGTAATTCTCGGACTCAAGCTCAATGAGACGATCGCGGATCTGGTTGTAAACCTCTTCCAAGTCGTCAACTTGGTCAAGGTCTGGCAACGGGATGATACGCTCTTGAAGGATGCGCTGTCTCTCTTGCTCTTTGAGCATTTGCTGTTGCTTCAAATCCTCAGCGGCCTTCATCATAAGAAGTTTCTAAACATTATCGTGCTGATTATAAAACATCCATCAATGCGATTCTTACGCGAAGTTTCTTCTTGCGTTCCGGCGTCAAGAAACCTTTCTTGGCCTTCTTCATTCTCGAAGCTTCTTCGAGACGCTTGCGCACTTCTTCCTTCTTGCGCTCGCGCTCAGCAATCTTTCGAGCCTGAATAAAAAACGATTAAGAATGAAATTGAGTATTTTCGAGACTAATGTCGAACACAAATGAACTGAAGCTTAACCAAAAAAGCAACATAAAACTCAAAATATTTTAAACTCACTTCCGCGTCCATTGGTTGATCCTAAACACGTTTTTTGGAATATCAGAATAATTGAGTCACCGGTTTGAATTTGATTGAAAAATGAAATTGTGAAATGACAAACCTCGTCATCATCAACATCGCTCTGCATTCCGCCATAGCGGATGTTTTCCTCAGGATCGTATACCATCGCTGAAAAAAACGAAACAATGTATAATCTTTTTAAGATCAATAATGTTTCAAAGTGGACAATATTAAAAATAAAAGAATGGAATCGGACGTCTGGCTACTTAGTTTTTTTTTTTTAAAGAATTGAGTTCTATTAATGCTTTTTTGTGTTTTTTTTTTGAAGAATCTAGACATTGATAAAAACTATTCAACAGTTAAACATTGAGTGGAAAATTCCTTAATATGTCACTAATATTTTTACTATATATGGAGCAATAATTTTAAACGAGAAAAAAAAACTGTAGATTGGTTAGAGAAATGTTGTGGTCGAGATCCGGATTGAGTTGTAAATACAGTAAGAAGAATGGAGAATTGAAAATGAAGGTATATAAGTTGAGAGTGATAATTGTCGAAGGCCTCTCGCTCCCACCCGTTTTGCGCGGCGGTGTGCGCTGCACTCGACAAATTTTTTGGAGGGTTGCGCGGGTGTTGCCGAGAGCACTTGTTACGCGATGAAAGAGCTCGCGGGGATTCGAGAGAGCCGAGAGTTTACAGTCATCGACAATCGCGTCCTACGAGATATTGACATTGGCGGATTTCGATGCGCGGCGCCGAATGAGAGTGACGAGAAGCGCACAAAATCGCAATCCGCACAAAAACATTCGTCTTCTTGGGATTTGCCAACAAGTGTCGCAACTTTTGAGTGGCGCAACAGTTTTCGGAATCGAAGCCGCAATGAGAGGCGGGTCTCGAAGCGAATCTCTGAAAGTGATTCATGCGAACCATTTCCTTAAAAGGAAAAATATATTTCTGACGACATTTCCACAAACATGTTGTGTAATTTTCGAATTACTCATCATCAAAAATTCGCATTTTTAAGAATTGCGTTTATGAGCACGGAAAACAAATAACATACATCTAATTAATGAACAACCAACTGTTATTTCAATAATTAGTTAATTTTAAAAAATATTTATGAAATTTTTGACCGCAATTAAATTTGATTTTTTTTAACGTTTTCATTGAAACTGCATTGATTTTAGATTTCTGGAATTTTCGAAATAATTATTGCAAACGAGACATTTGCTGATTATTTTCAAAAAAAAAAAAAACAATAATCATATATAATGCAAACCAGAATATATAATTTGAGGAATTGTGCAAAATGGATTTGGTTGCTATCATGCGACCCTTCGATTTATTGGCACAATGATGAGAGATTGTGGGCAAACATCGATTGAGCACTTTGTGCGTGGGGGAAGTCGCGAAAAAAAAAACGGCTAAATGAGCATAAAGCATGCTGAGATCAACGGACCATCCGAGTCGACTGAAATGCGAAGTGAACAGTTTTGTGCCGATGTGGAGATTGAAGGGGGGAGTGGCTCTTCGAACAGCACTTGTTAGATCAACAAATATCCAGTGGATCACGTGCAATCCGACTACAATATCAAAAGGCAAATGATGCGGTTTAAATACGATGAGAATATTATGGGACTCTTCACCATTAGAATGGAGTAGAAGTTAAAAAGCCAAAATCAGATATTCTGGAAATGAAGAGTGATTTCTGTAAATTATGATTTGGCCTTGATGCATTAAATTTTCGGGTCCAATAATTAGAAAATGTTTCTATTAGAGGATTTTAAGTGCAACTAATTGAAACTTCAAAAATAAACGAAATTTCTCCCGAAACCTCTTAAAGCCAACATGACAACACCTTAAATTCGACTGAAAATGGAAATCCCAAGTCGAAATTATTTTTGCCTCTTATTCGAATTCACATTTGAATGCTAATTTGGCGAATAATTATGCCTCTTATGTTAGTTTCGAAGAATTATTCATTCATTTATCCAACCACTCATCAAAGTCAACTGATATAATTTTTTTCACAAGCATTAGAAAAAATCGCATTTTATTAATCATAAATTGAGAAATTTGCCCATAAATCAGTCGAATTTCTCGAGACACACGCATTTACTCATTTTGCGTTGTTGCTGTAAGCTTCTTGGATTCGAATCAACGTTTCTTTTCCTTTTTTGCTTCTCAAAATGCATTCTGCAAATTAACAATGCTTATTTATGCACAAAACTTGTATTTTTTATACGACATTTTAATGAATAATATAATTAAATTTGAGTTTGTGTTTTCTTGATAACCGCTCATGATTTTCCATCAATTTTTATTAAATAAATAGATGGAATCATTTTTGAGATTTTAAATGTCCAATCACTTACCAGCTGTCCTAATATGAACATTTCATTAGGACGTCAATTTTAACTTAAACAAATCAAAAATATGCGAAAAATTCGAAATTTCAAAAGGCTTTTAGAATAGTCCCATGAAAACGCATTGTTTGGAAGGACAATTATCAGCCGACGAGACTTCCTGCTTTTTCCCATCAGAAGTTCTAATTATTTATAATTTTCACTAATCATTTTGTCTAGCCAATAATGATTTTAGAGACCATCTTATTTACGCATTGCTTCTTCTTTTTCATGTGATAACACATTGCGAGGTTGCACGAGTTTATATGAGTAATTATTGTTATTATTCTTATTCTTATTCTTATTATTATTATTATTCTCGAATGTGCCGAAGACGATTCGTTAGAATTCTGGCTTCGTTATCATGTGAATTCCGTCGTGTGAACTTTTAGACATCGCTTGCTTGGGATTGGAGCTCTAGCGAAATCGGTGACTCTGATTTGAGCATATATCTGAAAATGAATTTTTAATGCGATATTTGAGAATGTGAAATGACATTTTCCAAAATAACATTTATACTACCCTTCTGACCTTATCCGATTTCTAGAAAATTCTTCCCAAATTCAATTATGTGTGATTTATATAATTATAGTTTTGCCTATTTAAGGTAACAATAGTCGTTGAATGTTTCAGAAACAAATTATCTGAAATCATTCGCCAAAACGAAACCAGCTGCACGTTCATCATAATATTTAATATCCACATATATTGTTTTCTAAATTCCAAAAAGGTGCGATTTCTCATTAGGCACCTATTCAGAAAGCTATTATCGCTCTCGCAATTCCTAATCCACCCCCCCCCCACCCCATTATCAATACTCAATTCTCCAGGGGCAACACCTATTCCAATTTGCTCCCTTTCTTACATTTTTTCGGCATAGTCAACTGTCTCAAAAATGTGGACTTTGAACCGTTACCCTTGCACTGACATTTTCCGCTAAAATAATTAATTAATTACTCTGAAATCGAACCTCCCCATTTTTTGTGTCTAGATTGCTACGACTAATGACCGTTTTATTTCATAATACCTGGGTTTAAAGGTACTAGTTATGATTAGCGTCGTCGGCTCAAATCAGACAAGTTTTTGAAAGTCAATCTCTAATTCCTATTGGCATTTTTTTTTTTTGAAAAACACTCATGTTAAAATATTCATGTTATTTTATGCAAGATTAATTAATTTCATATGAAACGATATTTAAAAAAATTAGTGAAATTGAGCCCAGAACCAAAATAATTGTTTCTTTCTATAAATCTTATATTATTTGCTTATTCATTGAAAAATGCTTATACATATCACATATCTATGGTTACAATTTCAGTCATGTGCGAGATTCGATGCTCCTCTTATTCAAACTATTTAATATTTAGCATAAAATAACAAATTGGCCTAATTATTTCCACGTGTATTTTGATTAAATCAAAGATGTCTATAAATTATATACGACTGTTAAAAATATTTATTTTTTTCCTAACAATCTTGCACTTTTGAATGCATGTAATCACAGAAAATGTTGTTCTTTGGAACCTTTGTGTTAGCTTTATTTATACTCACAATTTTGAATAAAATATCAATTCAAGCACAATTTTCAACTAAGAATTCTTTTATTCTGAAAAATTCTGATTCAGTTAACATTTCTTTTGATTTTCTTACCATCAATATAATCAAAAGAGCTTCATAATATATAATCTTTGATTTTGTGATTTCGATTAAAATCTTATCTCCTTCCTTATGTTAATTTCTTTTCGATGTGAAAGTCAAAACTCTCTGAATCATTTTTTTTTCTCGCTCGATAAAGATTAGAAATTGTAAAGCAATGAAAGTATTAGAGATTCGCCATTTTTTTGGTTCTATTATATAGTTTATTGTCTAGGTAATCCCGCTCATCTCAGGCCTCTCCTAATCAATGTCTGTGTATGAGTGTACTAGTGATTAGCCTAGTCTTCCGTTGCGAATTAGTTTTCTCCAATTATCATTCAAAACTTATTTATTCCACTACATTTTCAATGATTGTTTTCAGCCAACTATGGGTGCATCCTCGTCGGTTCGCAGTATACCACTCACACTATTTCAAACGAATGACGATTCTCCGAAAATTTTGGTTCTAGGTGTGTCTTCTTCAAATTCATCATTCTCCGATGACAACTGATTTCCAGGTTGTATGGGATGCGGCAAATCGACGCTTATTCGACGTCTCGTGTATGACGACATAATCGCCAATTCGATAGAGTATTATTGTGTTTCAGGAAGCGAAATAGACCGATTGCTGTCAAGAATATGTATTATGTTCACACGGTGCAATTCAATCTACTCAAAGTTCGTTTTCTTTTTTTTGCTGCAACAAAAATATCAAATAAAAAATTCTCCAAAAATTTGTCCGCAGATGGAATTGATAATTATTTGTCAGCTAGAAAAGAATAACACTTGCTAATTGAAAAAGACGTAATTGTAGCTTTATCGAGAATTGCGTCGAGTTTGCGATGATCTCAATTTGGACATTCTCGCTTATGAGGTTTCATTTTTTTTTCTTCCTCCCTTCTGAATTTTTCACAAAAATTCTCAACTTTAGGAGGATTTCGACAGCATCTACGATTTTCGTCATCGCGAAGAGATTAGCGACAAGATCCACGCCGCTCTCAAGCGATTGTCCAAATCAGGATTATTCGAGGAATGTCTCAAAAAACGACGAGTTCTCCCGTTGCCTATCAATTACCACTAGTAGATTTTGCTGGTTTTCACTAATCCCTTTTTGTGTTTCAGCTTCTACCAGCATACTGATCGCATTCTGAGCAAATCTTATGTTCCGACGGAGACCGACATTTTCATGGCATATTCGGAGACTATCGGTGTCAATACTGAATCTATTAAAATCGGACAGTCGAAATTCGAGTTCGTCAAATAGATTTCATTTGATGGATTTCGAATTGCTCATTTTAGGATCACTGAACTCCCAGGCCACCATATTTGGCGAAAACGATGGCCCGACTTTTTTTCGAATGTTTCAGTTCTTACATTCATTGTCGATATGAGCGAATTGTGTGATCAAGCCTTCTACACGGTGAATCGAGATTGAAAACAATTAGAAACTCATTCTCAAAATTCAGGGTTATTTGAAAGACAAAACAGTAGGAATCTATAAAGATCTCGTGCAGAATCCTATTTTCGTCCATACTGGATTCCTGCTTCTTTTCAACAAGCACGACACATTCAATGAGCATTCAGCCGGTTTCGACTTCCGCAAACTCGCTTCCCATCTTCGAACGCCGCATGAGGCGCTCTCCTATTATAGATCCCAATTTTCTTCAATTTCGCCAAAAAATCGAACATTCCATCATATTGTTTCCTTGACAAAGGTAATAACGATAAAATAATTGTTCACAAAATTCTAATAACAAAATTTGCAGACAAAAGAATTTCCACAAGCAGTTTTCGACTCTTTAAACAAAATCTTCCGTCAGCAGAAAGAGAATGCACGCTTGACATAAGTCACCCCATCATGAATATAATTATTTGTTATTTTTTATATTTATTATTATTGAAATCCACATAAATACCTAACGAACTAACACAGATTGATCGTCTAGTCAACTTCACAATTCTCAATTATATGCTCTAGCCTATCCTGTTTGTATTGATTCTGAAGACGAGCGATCATAGCTTCCAAGTTCTCTCCAGCTCCAAGAAATTCACTGACACCTAAAATAAAATTTTCGTTATTTTTTTTCCAAAATTATTCGTTTCTCACCAGTTACAGCCATTTGAATTCGATGATCTGTTACTCGATCATGCTGGAAATTATACGTTCGAATCTTCTCTGCTCGAGCTTTCGATCCGACCTAAAGAAAAAACTAAAAAGTTAAAAAAAAAATCTGATTTTTTTATTTCAAATTACGATAAAGTAATGTTTTTTTTTCTATTAAACTAATTCTTCTATCAAACGGTTAAGTTTTCAGACTTTCGTCAAGTAGGCATACCTGAAGTTTTCTATTTGACACAAATTTTTCGTGCATCGTATCCACTTGCTTCTGCATTAAAATCGCAGCCAATCGCTTATAAGCAATCTGAAAACCCACGAGTTCGTGACTTATTATGCTCAAGTACGCCTCAATTCACCTGAATATTCAAATGCTGAAATCTTTCATCCATGCAATGCACTGCAATTCCGGTTTCCTTGTGTGTCATCCTCACAGCCGTCGATCTTTTGTTGACGTTCTGACCTCCTGGACCCGACGCTCTCATCGTTTCTATTTTTACCGAATCGCTAGGAACCACTACGGATACTTCTTCAGGTTCAGGAAGCACAGCCACACTTGCAGTACTTGTATGCATACGGGAATCATTGATTGGAACCCTCTGAACTCGATGAACACCAGCTTCAAACCTGAAAACCTTCCATAAACCGAAAAATTCGGATTTAAGAAATCGACCTTAAAATTGAATAGACAAGTTCTCCGGAGACGGCAATTAATGCACTCCGAACTCCACCAAGAGGAACATTATCAACCTATTAACTGAATAATTGATACTAATTGAACACAATTGATAGTTAACCTGTAACGGTTCCCAGCGCCAATTTCTCGACACTGCGAGCTTATTATACATTCCTAGCAATTCGCCAGTGAAAAGCATTGCTTCTTGACCGCCGGCTCCGCTGTTCAGCTCAATTTGACATTTGCTAAGAACATCGACACTCGTCAAAGGAACAATTCGTGAAGAAAGTTCTTCGAGATTTTCATCAAGTGTCTAAATAAAACTTGAATTATATTGAACAATTAATAATATCACCTACTTCTTTTAGTCCTACAATATCCTCTTTCGCTAACAACCGTAATTCATCATTTTCTTTAGAATCTGAACAAATGACGGAAAATGTTAGTTTATCGCAAAAATCGAGTCTAACCATTAATAATGGTCTGCAACTGATTTACTTCATTTTTAGCTTCTTCTACCAACTTCGACTGCTCGATTATTGATTTCCAATAGCTTATTTGTTCAGGCTGCGCTGTAAATTGCAAACCGGTTTCGAAAAAAACGTGCTGATTTCAACTACCATTTATGGTCCCATTACTGCTCTCATTGAGCCGAGATTCTACAGTCTTAAGGAATTTCGTCGCATTATCCGTGAATAGTAAGTGTTGAGAGCTGGTCGAGCAGTTGGCGAGCTGGAGAAACCGTCGAGCGCATATCATCTAAAGAATCTAGTCGATTCTCAAGAAAACAAAAGCAAACATATTTCGCCCTGGCAACAAAAATTGCTAAATATTTGTATAAGGTTTTGTTATTTACTGTTGGAGCGTCGTGCAAAAATAGCGGCGCACTACTCGGGAAGATGCTCAGAGTAGCAAACATACTTTCCACAAAACTGGTACCCTCCCACCCAAAGATTTTCAAACTATAAAAACCGCGTATTTATAAAACATTCTTACAAAATTTGGCTGAGCAAGAAATGAATCGTTCCCTTGTTTTTCTTTTGTTTTTGGCTCCCGCAGCGATTCTAGCGATTCGATGCTGGTCTGGAATGGAGACCGTCTCAAATGGAAGACGACTTCCTGCTGAATCTGGTGGGCCATTTGCTTCGGGTAAGATTTGTTGAAAAATTCATGATGAACAAATGAGGCTTTCAGTTGAATGTAATGCTGATTTCTGCTATAATAACTACGTGAAGCGCCACACAAAAGGCGATGACAGTTACACTGTGACAAAAAGCTGCGGAGAAGTTGGAAAGTGCTTTGTAAGTATTAGGTTGTGTTCCATTGAAAAATACGAAACTTCTATTTAGAAAAAAAGAAAAAAATCTAATAAACTTAAGATATTCTCACTCAGACCGGCGCATGCTCCGAGCGCCCTTAACTAGCGCTCCAAATCCAGTTTGGGCCATTCTGGAGCCTGCCTCGGTGTGAGAAATTATTTTAACCAATCATTCCTAAATTTACTAAAGTCAAACACTTTCATTTCGATACGTAATTTCATTGTAAGAATAGTCTATTTTTCTGTTTTTTAAAGGAAACTGGATGCGACGGACCTCATGACGAACGAATTTGCTGCTGTATAGGAGATTTGTGCAATTCGAGCAATGGTTTAAACAATAGTGTGGCCGGAATTCTCATCATTCTCACAACCTATCTGCTTTTCAGATAAATAATTGAGAGCACACGTACAGTTGCAAAACTACGGGTCCGATAATGAATTTTATTTTAATTTTGTGTTAGTTCATTGTGAAAATTTTCAGATGAAATGATCGTTGAAAACGCAAACAAAAAATGCCTAAATTGCAAAAAAAAGTAACTGTTTAAAACAAATTCTAGTAAAAATAAAATTCAAACTCGGCGCGCTCGATTTTTCGTCTCGAGACCATCTTATGATGACTCACAGATTCTTTTCGATGATTTCTATCTCGTTTCTTTTTTCCTCACCTTTTTGTTTTGGCTAAACCCGTTTCTGATTTAAATGACTCGTTTTCCTGAAATTCATTCAATTAAAAAAAAAATAATATTTCATATTCAAATAATCAGATTCATGAGATCGAACATCATTTTTTTTTTAGCAAAATCCCCCATTTTGGTCACCGATATGACAATTTTATTAAAAAGCAAAACAAATGATAGCAGTAAACGTTAGAAATGTACATTTGGATAGTGGTTTTATAAGATAAATTGAAATTTGATACAATACTAATCTAGCCGGGTTTTTAGCTAAAGAAAAGGCAGCGAATTAATCAAATCGTTCAAATATATATATGTGTGGGATGCGTCATTTTTGGTCGGGGGCAGAAAAGACGGTAGGGTACTTAATCGTAAAAGTTCGAATGAAATTATGAGATGAAATCTTTGGAAATCATTCGAGAAATAATGTGATCCGGTACAGATTCTTGGGCAAAATTTGGGTTTCCGACTTGATAGATCTGAAATAAAAAAATCCTTACTTCTCTCCCACTTTTATTCTTAATACCTTCTTGATAATTGGTAGATTAGCGATTTTTGCAATATTAGCGAGCGGTTCTGGTGTTCCTTTAATTTTCTTCGCCAATTTTTTCATTGCACTTCCGCTCTGCGAACCATGTTTGACTTGTTAATCATTTCCCAAACAAACCTTATCATCGAAAATGGCGGCAACAATCGCGGTGGATTGATCGCAAATACCAAATGTCACTAGCGAATCGGAAATCTTAATTTTAAAAAGTATTCATAAGTATATTTATTTCAGATATGATTACATTTCGACTCGGTGATAATGAATAGATAAGCTCCGCCGAGATACTTCGGCAGCTCATTCGATTATGAGCTAATTGATGAACAGCGCGATTAGCAGCAGCTAGAAGAACAAATGGTTCAAGAACCTACAAATCAGAAAATTTGAAATATTGCGAAAAAACGAATGTACCAATTCTGCGCGAATTAACGCAGCATCGAGTTTTCCTTCCTTCAGCATTGTGCATAATTCCGGCTAAAAATTAATTAAAAGTAACTTTCGTTTAGAATTAACACTCTTACCGCATTTTGAAGGTTTGTGAACAAACAGAAACGAATAAGCTTCTTTTGTGTGACATCGTATGGGTCCGGCTGAAGCTCAAAAAGCTGTGAATGCTTCATAGCTGAAATAAAAAACGATCCATCTAAATTTATATGTATTTAATTAATAGTAAAAATAAATAGCAAGAACCGTCTATCACGCGTTTTACCTGATGCACCGCAAGGAATACATTTCATTTCCTATCAATCAACGTTTTGTATTGGAATAGAATAAAAGTTTTCGCGATGTTCCTCACGCACACAAAAAAATGTTTTGAAAAAAAAAAAGAGAAAACGTCAAATGTTGAGTGATATAACAGGTGGAAACGGAGAAAAAGTGTGATAAAAATGAAACTTTCGCTGGCAAACTGCCAGCTCTCCGTAAATGCGCAAGCAGGTGTGATGAGAATGAAATGCGCTAGTGAATAACAACCTTAGCGCAGATTCAGTGCAGAGGAAATTTAAATTTTTTTTGGTCTCTTTTTCTGTGAAACATTATAATAATCGTTTTTTATACTATAAACAATTAACAACAACATTTAAAATATATTTAATATGAGCGTAAGCAACAAATTTATGCATTAATTCTTCGATTTAGGCCCTTGTTAATATTTGTATTAGAAAACAGCAGATTTATAATCAAGAAATGTAGCACAAAAACCGAATAAAAATAAATGCGTCGCATTGGCGACCAAATTTCAATTTTTTTTCAAAAATCATCGGGAACTGGGAACTAGACAACAAAAAATAGGAAACATGGGAAGAATTCCTTCAGAAGGAAACATCTCCAAATCGATACAACAAAATGCAGTGAACATTGAGATTCCATGAAGAATAAAGAAGCGCGGAATAAATAGATAGGGAAATTAAATGAAAACACACGAAAGAATTTGAAAAAAAAGGAACGTATTTGAGAATATTTAACTAATTATTCATAATTTTTGCGCTTATCCGCAAGTGGAGTGGAAGTCGGTCTTCTCTTGAATATCGCGAGTAACGCTTTCTAATCTATGTTTGAGATCCGAAAGAATTTGCTCGTATTCATCAAGGCGCATTCCGTTCGATTCTTTTCCTAAGTCTAAAATAAAAAGAAAATTAATAATCAATTATTGCTAGTATTTCTTACTTTCAATATCCTCGTTATACCGTTTTGATTGATACAAAAGCTTTGAGGCTCGTTCTCTCAATCGTTCAGCACGCTCTTGTGGCGCTTTGTTTCCAGAGGACTTCGTCTCCAAAAGCTCGGTTGCTTTTTCCAAATCAGTCTTAAATTTTTAAAAATTGGCTTTAAATTACAAAAATATTTGAAATACCGCAATTTGTTTATTCTTCTGCTCAGCAATCGAAGCAGCGTTCAACGCAGCGTCAACGGTTTGAAGCGCGTTCTTAGCCGATTCCGAGATTTGTAAATATTCGACTTTCACATTTCCCATGTCAGCCTCAAGGGCGGTGAGGCTCTCATTCGCTTCTTTTGCTTTTTGTTCAGTAGTTATGGTCTCATTGCGAGCCTGTTCCAGTTCCTCTCTGAATAATATCATTCAAAACCATTCAATTAAATTGTATAAAAACCTTGTGGCTTTTGCAATTTCTTCAGCATCTTCAATCGCTTGTGTGGCCGCAATCTGAGCTTCTTCGGCAATCTTCAATGCTTCGCGAACTGTGTCCATTGTCTTCTTGATTTCCTCAGCTCTATCGCTTGCCGTCGTCGCCTGTTTTTCCAAATTCGAAGCCAACGTCTTATTGCCTCGTGTTTCATCCAAAATTTCGCCAATGTTGTTGATTTTTGCGAGCGCATCACGAATCTAATAAAGAAACACACATGAAATATTGCTCTATCCCTCATGTTTTTTTTGCTATTATTTCTTTTTAAATGCTTTTGAATGAAATGTTTAGCGAAGGACAGCTGTGCCGCGTACGTACCTTAGCAGTCAGTTCGGTGATCTGGTCCGGTGTTAAGCTGATTTTCTTCGCAAGAACCTCTTCGGCGAGATTGCGAATTTGCTCCGGTGTGCTTCGCGGTGCCTTGAGGAAATCATTCATCTCTTCGGCAATTTTTTCAAGGCTCGCTCGCGAATCGTTAGCTCGTTGAGCAGTCATCTTGGCAGTATCGAGAGCCTTTTCTGCATTCAACTTGGCCACAGTGGTAGCTTGTAGAACCTCGCGAACAATAGCGAGAACCTAGAAAAAAGCATTATATAATATGCACTAAAATTGCGGAAACGCCTACTTCTTCAGCTTCTTTCTGCTTCTCATCCAATCGAGTGTCGGCTTCATTGGCAAAACTCTTTGCCTGATTGGCCTTGCTAACTGCTCCATCCATGCATGACTGTCCACCACAGAAGCCACACGATCCCGGACCTCCGCAGAGAGCATCACACGGAGCCGAAGAAGCACCACACACTTCTTCGTTAAGCTTTGGAAGAGATCCTTCAAGGCTATGGAGAATGGATTCCGTAGCGACAAGAGCTTCCTCATTCTCAGTGAATTGTTTCTCGAAGTCGTTCTTATTTTGCTCAAGAAGCTCACTGGCTTGAAGAGCTTCGTTCTCAGCGGTCGCTAGTTTTCCAATCGCAATATCGGTTCTTCTTTGGGCATCCATTGATTTCGCACTAGATTCGCGGGTGATGTTGAAAGCTCCCAGAACGTCGGCCTCCTTGATCTGACTCGCCTTCTCCTCCAATGCTTTCGTCGCGTTGATCATCTTCTCTGCGTCCTTTTGGAGGAGCTCCAAATCTTTTTCGGCAAAGTCAGCGGTTTGAGTGACTTTCGAAACGCGTGTCTCAATGCCGACCAACTTCTCCCGAGCCGCTTTGACTTGTGTCTTCAACAACTTGATACTTTTGCTCATTGCTTCAATATTCTCCTTGCTAATGTCGGCCTCGAGTAGAAGATTCTTCGTGTCATTCAATGACTTTTCAAGCTTTTCAAAGTCACCATCATATGCAGAAGCAACTCCAGTGTCTTCAATATTATTTGCGGTTTCAATAAGCGAGTGGACTTTGAGTCTGAGCTCCTGCATAATCTTATCCCATTGATGGAAACATTCTCCACATGGTCTACAGTGTGGCCATTGACCAGTGAATCCTCGTTCGCATTCATTACACAGAGGTCCGCCAGATCCGGTTTGACAGATGCAAGTTCCATTGTTTCTGTGGCACTGAAGACTCTTGGCTCCAACAGAATCGCATTGGCATCTAGAAATTTGGTTATAATTTTGAATAATAAATAACATTTTGTTACCTATGGCAACCATCTGGAGCTGTTGGATCACCCCAGAAGAAGTCTTGGCATTGATCGCATTTTCTGCCACCTCGTCCGGGCTTACATTTGCACTGTCCATCGAAGACGTTGCATTGCAAGTCGGGCTCCCCTTTGTCGTTCTCGACAACTCCGTTCGGATCGCAAGCGCAGTCTTCACATCCTTTGCCGCTGGCGAGATCGTAGTGATTCACTTCGCATTGATCGCAATGAAGACCAATAACGTTCGGATGACATGGGCATTGTCCGCTAACTCTATCGCATGATCCCATTGTCTCATTCGTTCCGAGCTCGTTGCAAACACATCTGCAAATATTTCAGAATAAAATTTCCATTCAAATATCGTATAATCTTACGATTGACAGCTTCTGATTTTGGCGTCTCCGTAGTATCCATCGACGCAATGTTCGCATTGAGGTCCTTCAGTGTGATGAAGACACTTGAGGCATTCGCCAGTAGCCGCGTTACAGCTTCCTTCCACCGACATATCAATATTTCCGTTACAATCGCATCGTTCGCAAGTTCCTCCAACTTCCTTCGGACTTCCCCAATGATTTGGTGAGCACTCCCCGCATCTTTCCCCTTGATACCCAGACTTGCAATTGCAAACAATATCCTGTGTGTTATTTCCAGAGTTGCGAAGGTAGCAAGTGTCAGCGTGTTGATAACCGCTAGTTGGTCCTCCTGGGCATGGGCATGGTTTGCAAGGAATGCTGACACCAAGTCTTGGATCTCCATAATATCCGTCTTGGCAACGATCACAGTAGTGGCCAGTGGTGAGATCTCGGCATTCGATGCAGGCTCCAGTTGCTTGGTCGCAAATGTTGGCATGATCGTTACATTGGCATACTCGGCAATCAGGGAATCCCCAGAATCCAGGCTGACACTGATTACATTGACGGCCGTAAATACCCTAAAAATTTAAAATAGTAAAAGAAATGAAATGATTAAAAACGACTTTTTCACGGCACACGCATTGTCCACTTTGCTTGTCGCAATCATTGCCCAAACTTCCAACAGCATCACAATCGCACTTGCTGCAACCGCTTGGTCCGAATCCATAGGTTCCAATTGCGCATTGATCACAACGTCTTCCAACAACATTCGGTTTGCATTCACACTGTCCGCCTAAAATGTATTCCATGAGAATTATGTAACGATTATGATCTAGTCAGCTTACCATGGACATCGCAAATTCCCGACACCGATCCGGTGGCATCACAATTACATTCGCTCGTCTTATTGAGAAGAGCAGCTGCAACTGGGCAGATATAACGTTCGCAGACTTCATTTGGTCTATCCTTGTTTAGCGAAAGTGAGAGAGCAAGATGTCGGCATTGATAGCGATTGTATTCGGTGAGATGTTGCTCACCGCGAGCAGAGTTTTTGAAGATATGAAGCTCGGCGGATGGTGGTGCTAGTAGAATCGAGTCGATAAGGAATGTCGCCGATGCTTTCTCTTGTGGGCTTGCATTCGCACGTCTCTCGTTGAATTGAATTCGAATCTCGTACTGAACGCCAGCCTCGAGACAGACAGCTGGCTGAACTTCGATGTATCTCGATCCTGGGTAGAGTTTCGCGATCAAAAAGTCATCCGATGGTGGCTCATTCGCACAGAATCCGCTGGTTTTGTCGTCGTCCGGTCTCACAATTGTGACTTGCACATTTTCCCATCCGACGGGATCGCGGGCGCCGTCATAACGAACGATGATATTGTACTTTTGACTAACATCAACCATTGGATAGACAGTGATAACACTTCCTTCCATGATCTGAGCGAATCCTTCTCCAGTCCATGTTTGCTCTTGTGGGTTGCTTGGCCATTCGCGAGTTTTGACTTCGCCGCGGGTGAGATTGGCATATTCAGCTTCATAAACATAATGGGTGATATCAGCACAGTAGAAGCTTGAATCAGCAGTCTCGCAACGTCTTCCGCTGAATCCTTCACGGCATTTGCACTGTCCGGTACTAACGTCACATTGGTTGTCAAACGATCCACCAATATCGCAATCGCAAGCCTTGCAACCATCAGGATGATCGGACAAACCATAATGCTCTGGCTAAAATTTGACAATTCATAGTTGTCGAAATAATCGCGGATCCTTACCAAACACTGATCGCAATTTTCTCCGGTGACGAGACGCTTGCAAGTACACAATCCGGTGTATTTATCGCATCCTTCGTTGTTGTATGTTCCAAGAAGACTGCACGTGCAGGCAACGCAACCATCGGGATTCGATTCGGTGAGATTCCAATAGCCGTTCTTGCACCGATCGCATCGTTGCCCATCAACATTGGCTTTACAGTAGCATTTTCCAGCGACGAGTCCTCTTTCCGGATCTTCCTCTCCCTCGCAAATTCCCTAAAATGTTCAATTAGTCGTGTAATCAGTTCCCACAAATATTACATTGTTCTGCGATCCAGACTTATCGCATTCGCAAGGAAGGCACACGTATGGATCGTCAATAGTACGTCTTGGATCCCTGTAGAAGAACGGTTTGCACTGCTCGCAGTTCTTGCCTTGTGTGTTATGCATACAATCATCACACACTCCACCAGATACGAAACCTGAACAACATTCGCGTTATTGCATAATCGAGCATATTGGTGTCGTATAGCTCACCAGATGCCTCATATACGGCCTTATCGAAATGGCAGCGAAGTGCGTGTCTGTTGCAGTTACACTGTCGGCACTCGTTCTTCTCGTCACCAATAGCTGGCCGCCATGGAAGATCGTTGAAGAACGCGCGGCACTTCTCGCAGTTCAATCCTTCGGTGTTGTGCATGCATTCGCATCGTCCGTGCACAATGTCGGGCCGCTCCATAACGGTGTTCGGACTAGAAGAAGGATCGATCGGGATACAACGGGAGGCGTGGCCATAGCACGAGCAAGAGCCGCGCACGACGATTTCGTAGATCGCATAATAATACTTTTCATCGATTTCTGGTCTGAAAACAAACAGCAACAATTTCAAGCTAAATCGAAAAATTCTCGAACCTGTAATCGAGAAGATCGTCTCCGAGTGTGTGCAATTTGGTGAAATTGAAACGCAAGTTGGTGATTTTGAGAAGATTCGCGATTTCGTCGGCATACGGATTTTCAGTGGCGATGTGCGGCGAGATAACCTTGTAGACAATTTCTCCTCCAGTTGATGGAGCGACATCGGAATACTGGCTCGTACAGATCACATCAGTATGCTTCTTTGGTGGACCTTCTGGGATTTCCGGGAAGCTGCTGTCACAATCGTAGGCGAAATAGCGGTACACCTGCCATGTCTTTCCGAAATCGGCGGATCTCTCAATGATCATCGCCGCCGGACGGAACGATTTGAAGGTCATGATCAAGTGAGTAAAATGGAATTCGGCTTCTAATTTGAGATGAATGGAAACATTTTGAACACCATTCTCGGATTGCCACCAATTTCGGTTTTTGTCTTCGAAAACTTCCGACACAACATTTTCTATTCTAAATTGCGAATAAATCAAGAATAGAAGAAAATGATTTTTCAACTAACCGATGACTAAGTCGATACGGCTCCCGCTGCGGCTGCCATTCGGTCCGCGAGTCGCAATAGAAGCATTTCGTCTGCTCCTCCAGATGAGAAACGATACAAAACCGTTGTCTTCCTTTCAAGCCACAAGTCGAAGTCGCTTCAAGCTGGCTCTTTCTTCCGATCAGAAGGTTACCAGTAATCGGGTAGCACGAGCGGTCTTGACAACGGTCTTCCGCATGCGGATGCTCTTGTCCCCAAGATGGTGATGTTATATAACAAAGGACGACTACAAGAAGACACGGACGCATCATTGCGTTCGCACCACTTTCGTGAAGACGTCTGGAATGTTCAATTATATCAAAAATACGTAATGAAGAACGACGGATGAATCCCGTCAACGGAACTGATAAATGAGTCAGACATGAGAGAAGTGTGAGGTGGGAGGAGGAGGAGGGGAAGGAGTGAGGTTAAATGAAAGGCCGCCAATTTTTTTATTAGATGCAACAAATGTCGTAGCTTAAAGTGCACCGTGTTGCACACGATGAATCGATTGGAAGACGCCAGATAGAGGAACGAGAAAAAAAAAGAAGCGGGGCAATGTTGGCGAAAAAATTTGTGAAAGTTTGGAAATGGACGATGGTGCAGCTGCGGCGCACGTGTGATGGCTCGGTTGCAGTAAATCACACATATGGTGGTACGTACAACGACGCCGCGTAGAGGACCGCAATAAAAAAACGCGGGGCAACATTCGACAAATTTCGACGCCGCAAGACGGAATATTCAAGGGACCATATGAGATGAGCAACTAATTTCACAGTGATCAAAAGAGAATTGAAAACGATAAAAAAAATGGAAGAGACTTGCCAATATACCATGGATCATCAGTTAATCATGCGTAGAATAGTAATATCAATGCACGCCAAGTTGCATTGGCGCAACACCAATAAATGAGTGATAGAGTCACACCAGATGACCCAACTGAGATACCAGCAACAGCCATTGCACAGTCAAAAAATGGTCCGATTAAATATCCACACGGTACCCGTCAAAACTCTTGAGCGCCGTGTCCGATGGGATTTACAGAGTAAGGTTGACTTGAAATTGCCAAATTAAAAAAAAAAGGTGAAGCAAATCGACATTTTAACGTGAACGCAACATTATGAAAAATCAGTACCAAAGAAGGAATGTTTAGAAACAATTTATCAAACATTGACACATTTCTCGGACATTTCAAGGTCAGATTATGAATGATTAATAGGTAAGAGTTCTTTGAAATTTCAAGATAATCAACAATTAAAAAGCCATGTTTAATACACAGAAAATGAGTTGTGAGTACGACACTTTGTAAAATGAAATATGAGAATCCCGCAATTCAGAATATTCGAACGAGCTCTATTATGATTTCAATTAAAAAAGGAAAGGTGTAGAAAAATTAGAAAGCAACGTTTGACCCATTACGACACATGATTGCAACATTTTTACGATAAATGTGTATCCATGGTGTTCCCCGCGCGGCGTTCTCTTATCAGTTGCCTAATCATATTCCTCTAATCAAGACCATCTTGCGCAATCGTTCCCGTTCAATATCATTATATTATTATTATTATTATTAGTTCTCACAAATATAGACGGCAATATTCGAGCAGAAAAAAAGAAACCAGTAAGAAAAAAAAAAAAACATAACTTTTGTGCGACAGAGGAACGCGTTCAAACAAGTATGTATAAAAACAAAACAAATATTACAGAGCGTACTCTCGTACGGGTCAACGGTACACAACAGATCGTGAATGGGGTCCCGCCAAACCAAGTTTCGGCGTTATCTGCGAGGGACCTTTGCTGCTCGGCCGACTCTCGTGCCTCTTCAATCAGCCACCACCCTCGACAAAAATACGATCTTCCGTGGCACCATGCTCTATCGAATGCTTCTCGTCGGCGTCTCTTGATCTCACACGCTCTCTCGTATAGCCCATCCTGACCTCTCTGATACGACGACGCGCGAGGTCGAAGCGAAACGCATCGAGCAGATATGTTATCGCGTCGTCGCATTAATACAGATAACCAATTTATTGAATATTCATCATTCGTTTTCAATTATTTCGTGGAATAATGCGTCAAAAAAAAACTTAAAGTTTAAAAAGAAATTGCTTCGAAAAAACCCAACTTCTTCATTTTTGAAAACCAATTTTATTTTCTAAAATTAATCTTAAAACCTACTCGTTATTTGAGGCCATAATCAATAGTGTTAATGATTCGTGCATATAGGAACTATTAGTAGTGCTTGTTATATTTGCACATCATCGCGGAGCCAATCATTACAGGGCATACTCTCGTTCGGGTCATTCTCAATTGTACACAAGACACACACACACATACTGTGAATGCGGGGACCTGCCAAGTTTTGGTGTTATCGGACCTTCGGTGTGCTCGGCGGCTCCATCGAAGAATCCTTCTTCACGTCTCTCGGCGTCTTTCGATTTCGCGCTGTCTCGCGCCGCCTATCCTGACCTCTTTGATACGACGACTCGCGGGGTCGAAGGCAACACACATTGCAATCGAGCAGATAAATTGTGCTCGCAAAACTTTTCGGCGACATGGTTCTAATCGGACGAAAGTAAGATACTCGACTCGATCGGCTCGTTTTGAAGAAATTCGCCGAGAGAATCATGAAGAAAAAATGTTGGGTGAAGAGGAGGATGAAGTGCTTGGACGTTCCGACACCCGTACGTACCACATACCAATAGGATGGGGGCGGAGCCAATCACTATGATTAATACAACTATTGCAAACATGCAATCTTCGATTCTTACAACATTTGCAAGTAAATCGTTAAAAGAAAATTATATTAGCTTTAAAAACTCGAACTGAACTGAAAACACTTCGGAAATTGAAATTTAAGGACCATTCTCATTACGAAATTTTATCAATTTTGGTTTTATCGTTTGAAAATAATGGTGCCATGCAGACTTTAGAGAAAAATTAACGATTAAAACTCGTTTTTACGCAATTTCAATAGGGGTTTTAGAGGTTTCAATCATTTTTACTGGAATTTTTCTTTTGCTAAATCTGCATAGCATCGTTATTGAATCTCAGCCATTATTCCAATGTTATCAGAAATTTTCGTTCTATTTAACTTAAAATTTTGAAAAAAAAAAAAGAAAAGGAGAACTGGAAACTATAAGCATCGTAAAACAGAAAACGAAAGAAATTTGTGAAAAAATAGTAAAAGTCAATAAATTATCTAAGTTTCGCGTAGATCAAAAAAAAAAATCGAGACTACAAAAATGTCTTCTCAATTTTAAACTATTTCGATATTTATTAAATAAATAGTTAAATTTAACAAATCACCAAACGAATTCATATTTTGACGGCGAATCGTAGAGCTCGATGGCTAAATGAACAATTACGAAGAATGCAACGAATGTAATCGTGGTCCGAAGAAATTCGACAAGGAGAATTCCAATTTTTACTGAAAAAAAATATTTTTGTTATTGAATTCGAAAAAGAAAAACACCGAGCACCCTGTTACGGTGAGTTTGATTCGCAGGTTATCCAGAGTACGGTACCCGCATTCACACTGAATAAATCGTACTTTGAATTTCAGCAACGATAACTCACAATTACTCAAGGTGCTCGTTTTTTTGCGAAGCTAATATTTATAATTTAATCAGAAAATTGTTTACCTATGCTCTTCAAAGGGTTTCCGTCTTCCAGGGAAAGGAAGAATGTAGTCAGTTCGTTACGCTCGCCAAGATTCTAAAAATTATTATTAAAATTAGACAAAAAATTTTAAAAATTACAAATTCCGATGCTGAACTGAATCTGACAATTACTGTGGCATAAAGAAATCCCCAGAGGATTCCCAAATTGATAGGTCCTGTCCAAAACATTGCAAATCGCGAAATAATACCTTCAAGGTATTGACTTTTATTATTTCACAAAATTTTTAATCACCCAATACAATGGCGATATGAGAAACATCGATGGTCGAAGATTTTTGAGTCGCTGCAGGAGGTGCCTTTTGAGTATTTTCTTCATTTTGTTGGATTGGGAATACCCCAGGAACACAGGAAACGTGTGAATCAGTGTCTAAAATACAATTTTTTTAAATTGATTATTTTATTGGTTCAATACCAGGAGAAAACGAGAAACATTCTCCGCCCTCCATTGCTGGGGCAAGCCGTTTACCATTTTCATCGCCACCATTTGAAAGAATCCGATTCATGCGCGACTCAGAATTCGCCATAATTTTTTCGATGCGCCGCTTCCGACGTTCTTCGGCTGTTAGCGCTTGCTTGTCTGCTGCTGGTTCCGCTGATTCCATTTCCTACCATTTAAAATAACAATTTTAACTGAAAAATAAATAAAAAGATGCAGAAATTTTGACAAATACCAAAATATGAAAAAGTGACAAATTTAGCTAAATGGCCATGGAATGCTCATCATGTAGAGCCAAATTTGTTTGTACATATAAAAGCATTTCCGAATAACAAATCAGACAGACAAGTCGTAGTTTTTAGAAAAATGAACTGATAAAAAATATCAATTTAAAACGATATTTTATAAATTTTTCTCATTATCGGTGTTTGCCGAAATTTAAATGAAAATATAAATAGCCAAAGGACGCATTATTTTCTAAAGTTAATCATTAAAATTAAAAAAAATTAGACCTTCTAAAATTATGAATATATAAGAATTCAGCAAATCGTGCTGTAGACGCGGCGGACATGCGAGATTAGGTGAAAACAATAGTTCCCTGCTCACAAAATCACGTTTTCTATAAATGCCGGTTGATCGGCAACTAACCAACATTTGCTTAGAATGATTTGTTGAGAAAAACCAATTACGAATAAGAAATAATACTCGAATCAAACTCGATTTAAAAAAAATAGAAAAAAATTCTGCATGGCCTAAGTTTTTCTGTGGCCGAGTTTTCACAGTATCCTGCAAAATATTGTAGTCCTCGTGGAATTCACTTTTTTCTAATTTATTTTACTTTCTGGTTCATATAACGTTTATGCCTCTGAATCGTAATTTTAATATATTTATAAAAATTTAGGATGATGTTCTCATCCCCTGTGCTGAAAGAGTCAGCACTCGCAAAAGGAAGGTCACTATACCCGAAAGTAACAGTATTTTCCGAGATTCTTCCACTTGCTTCGAAGAACCGTGTGCATTCTTCAAAGAGAAGAGCTGCAGGTAATTTTAATGTAATTGAAGAGTTGAATTTTAATTGTTATAGCTTCATCCTGTACTCAAGAACTGCAAGCACTCTTTGGTTGCCTCAAAAAGTGGGAATTCGACGACAAACCATGCTCGAAACAGCACGCTTCGTACATGGACTGTGTTCATAAAGGAGCGGAAGAAGCCGCAGCATACGCTGAAGCAGCAAAGAAGGTAAGGTTGTGATATTGTCGGTGTCGACCAACTGCGGAAATTGGCTAAAAGTAATAAAAACGATGGCAGTGGTCTTGGGACAAAACGAAAGTAGATTTACGTGCGTAAGTTTTAGTATTATGGGTTAAAGGCGCACATCGAAACCTCTTCTTAAGTTTTTTAAAAATATATCTTGATCAAATTCTTCAAATTATTATAAAGAAACGTTTTTTCGAATATTCAAAAGGATATTTTTTTAACCGAATTGTTTTCAGGGAACACTTGGGGAAAGCGGATCAGGAGGAAAAAATTCGATGACTACAGCTCAATTCAATAAAATCATGCAATTATTCCCGCAGCCAAACCTCGGACAACCACCATATCGACAAATGAAACGCCTCCCAACCCAAGATTATGCAGAAGATATTTTCCATCGAAAACATTGGAAAGGAAAACGAAGTTAATGTGAAATTTAATTACATCGCCTCTACTATAGGTAATAGAATCGTCTGTTGATTTATTTTTGTTTTCGCGTTTTTTTTTTAATAAATATGTACGTTTTCGTTTCCATTTTTTCCAATTATTTTTTTCCGAACTCATCAATTGGTTTTTTTAATAAAAAAAATAATAAGTGAGGCATCGAAATTGCTTTCTCATCCTTATTGTTTTCAGTTTTTCGCGTTCCCGTTCCGATGTGAAACATGTTGGCCTGAATGTGCCGCTCTTTTTTCATTTTTTGGCCTATTCCACTTTCTTTTTATTTTATTTAGTGTTAGACAACAAGACGCAAAACAAATATCGAGTTTCACCCATTTTTTCGGTTTCCTTTTCTCGTCAGAATAAAAAAGTTATATGCGGAATTTCAATGCCATGATTCCCTCTTTATAAGCTGAAAATTATCATTTTTAAATATGAAAACCTGACTATTACAGTTATTTATTTTCATTGCTCCTTCCTTTCAATTTTTAACGGGACACATGCAGCCAAATTTGGCAAAATACCTAATTTCTATAGAATATTTCTCTTTATAGCATTTGCAATTCTCACTTAATTTCACTGTGAACGACGCAATTTTTCTCCATCATTCAGTTGATTATTTGATATAGCAAATATTCAGAAGATCATTGAAGTTTTCAGACAAATTTAAATATGAAACATGACATTTTGTTGGAAAAGATTCGTTCGTCATCGCGAGAAGCTTTGCAATTTCAAACCAATTCCTCATGGCTTTCAATTTTATTTTCATATTTTTTAACTAAAAATTTTTCCTAACCCCCAAAAATTTTTTAATTATAATTTTCAGATGAGTTGTTTCGTTTGTTTTTTTTTCTTGTATTTCTAATGACTTTGAAACCAATCGAAATGAGCCCTAGAATTTGAAAATAAATGTTAATCGCCGCGAGACCAAAGACAAAGGCACTTGGCCGTAAATCTACCCGCGTTCGCCGGATGCCCGACTATACCAAATAAAATGTTTATATGATTTTTTATGGTTTTTTTCTACGACGCATGCTCGTTGGATCGTTCCTAAACACACGCCTACACAATGCGGATTATAATTATACGTTCGATTGATAAGCGCAAGCAAATATTTTGTTGCTTATGACTTGTGCTTATTATTTCGGGCTCATTTCCTTGATTGTTAGTCTTCTTCATAAGAGATAAGAAGTTTTCGCTAATAATTTTCACGAAAAAGAGAAGTTTGCACTTTTCCCTCTGGAACTGATCACTCAATCAATCACTCAAAAATCAGCACCAACACGCTTCGAACTCGACTCGACTAGTCCGAACTGATAATAATGAAACTTATTAAGTCATCATCAAGAATATGCTCTCGTCAAATTTTGACACTTTTCTCGCTCGCTTCTTCGTTCTCCTCAATTTCCTCTCTTGTTCATTATCCTCATCTCGCCGCATCGTCCGACACTTCTATCTGTCATGCCGTTGTTTTTTTTTTCATATAAACTTATATACTTATTTTGCACCGCGATGCTTTTTTAATATTTGCGAATATCACGTCGAAGCAAGGAAGGAGAAAGGAATCCGATTAATTTTTTTGGGCTCATTGTTTTTGGGAGAATAAAATTAATTGTGTTTAGTTGTTCAAGATGGACAAAAGTAAACTAGAAATAAATTAAATGCCAGGAAATTGGCTGCTAGAAATAATCGTCGTGCTTCATCTAACTGGTATTTTATGCATTATTTGCGTGCTAAAAAATTCCGAAAAATTTCACTGGAAAAAACTTGTAAGTTAGTCCCAGATATGACACGTTGAGTTATTCAATCAAAATGTGATAAAACCATGGTCTTCTTAATCATTGCACACGTTTAATAGTGAGAAATTGATGGTCCAAGGGCCCACCTGCATTTGCATTGAGAAAGAGAAAAAGAGTGCAGTGCCAGGTTGGTGGCCACCCATAAACTATGCCCCTCATTTCACATTCGAATGTTTCTTCTCTTTTTTTGAGCATCGCAAATGTGTAAATTGCTCACCTACCCATCTTTCTAATGCGTGTCGCAGCAAAAAAATGAGAATTTTATTTTCAATTTTTCTCATTCAAAAAATCGACTAAGAGCTGTTTAGGTGAAGTCTTGTTGAATAAATCCCAAAAAAACGATTTTGAACTTTCAATTAATTTTTTTTGGATTCAATTAAAGATGACAAGATCAAACTCGACAATTTCTTGCAACACTTTCAATTTCTTTGAAAATTCTCTGAAAATCTCAAAGCGGTCATAATATGAATTCCAATTAAGCGCCTTTCATTTTTTTATTATTAGACTCAATAGACTCCTACCCATCTTTTTAATATGGGGTTTATATATGGTTATAGATTTTTCTCCGCGTTTATTCAACGTCGTCCTCATCGCTTTTAGTAATGATTTCCACTTGACATAAATATTATATATGTATAGTTAGATATGCAAATTATGTGTTCTTGAATAGATTAGTCGGCCTCTTGACGCCGCCTTTTTTTGCGGCTCAATTCAGTGGTGTCTTAATTGATTCGAGAAGACGCCAAGCTTGCTTGTGTCATGGCGTGTCGGAATTCACTATTTTTTCGCATCTGTTGAGTTTCTTCCATTTTCGACTGTCTCCTTTAATTTCGCAACACGAGTCCTTTTTTCCATCCAATTGAGCACATTTTTTCCGTGTGTTTCCATTGACTTGATTAATTCAGGAATGAATTTGAAGGTTTGCGATGATTTTCGCATAATTTTTGGCATTTTTCGTTCGATTGAAAAAATACGATATTAGTATTTAATTAACTCACATTGAATAATGAATGTTAGATAGGTGGCGATGATAATCGTTTAATGCCATGTTGATTAGTTTGTAAATACGAATGAATCGTTTTTTGACGAGATTAGTGGGCATGATGAGCAAAAAACATTGCGATTCAGACATTTCAGATGATAAAAAAACAAAAATAAAATCTAAAATCACATTCTCAACATCGCGTTTATCCACATTGTAATTATCTTAGTCAGTCAGACGATCCTGGTGGCAGACAGACGAATTTAAGAGGGGCCTCTAACACCATAATCTTGTGAATATTTTTAATTTAAGAAAGTATGAAATTCATTGAAAAACTATAGTATTAATTGAAAGGAGCAGGCAAAAATAGAGGGGGGGGGGTAGATTTACGGGAGCGCCGTTCGAAATGGTCTCGCCACGCGTGAATGCTTATTTCGTTATTTTCACGTGAACTTCTATTTTTCTCAGTCAATTGATAAATTCTTTGCATTTCTGAGGGTATAAAATATTTATTTAAAACTCCGTAAATCTAGTCCCATCAGTTAGTGGCCGAACGCCGACAAATGTTTTTTCGGAGATCTATAGCGATTTTAGTTTATTTCTCACTAGCTATGTGAAGCCATAAACTGGATGGCAAGTCCTTGGGCCTACTAGAAAGAATAAAATAGGGCAGCCAATTATAACCATTTATATTACAGGGTGTCATTTAAGTTCCCGCACAAAAGTTTGACGCCATGAAGAGCTTGGCTGTCGCACTTTTCGTGCACCAATACAATTTATTTTTGTTAAATAAGGTATATTTTACTTACTTTCCAAGTTTCACCTCATTCGGATGTGTTTCCGAGAAATGGCGAAGGCTAACATCCATTGCGCTTCCATTATCGAACTTCATAAGCAAAATGTGAGCTCGAGAGACATCATTCAACGGGTCGGTGTGCCTCGTAGAACGGTTTGCGACACCATCAAACGTTTCAAGGAGCTAAATACGACCAGTCACCGTCCCAGACAAGGAAGACTCGTCTCAGTAACCACTCCTCAGAAGATCAACGCCGTCAAATCGAGGATCAGGCGAAACCCCCACAGGAGCATGAGAAAGATGGCGTTAGACATGGGAATGAGCATCTTCGCTATGGAACAAATTGTCAAAACGAAGCTTGGACTGACCCCATATCGTGTCCAAAAAGCGGCAATTCTATCGGCCGTCAGCAAGCAGAGACGCTTCGAAAAAGCAAAACGACTTCTTGCTCGCACGCGGTCTGGACAACACCTCGTCACTGTCTTCTCCGACGAGAAGCTGTTCACTGTGGAGACGGCATTCAACTCACAAAACCATTGAGTACTTGCCCAGACATCCCAGCAAGCTTCTGAGAAAAGAAGAACATATCATCCAGCCTCACATCCTGCCAGCATGATGTTTTTCGTTGCCATCTGCTCAACCGGGAAGTGCCCCCTGGTTTTCGCGGATCAGGGGGTGAAAGTGAACAAAGAAGTCTACGTTCGGGACATTTTGGAGAAGCATGTGATGCCCTGGACCCAAACGCATTTCGGTGGGCAGAAATGGGTCTTTCAACATGACGGAGCAGCCGCCCACACTGCCAAAACTACTCAGGAGTGGTGCCAGACCCATTTTCCCGACTTCATCAAGTCATACGAATGGCCTGATTGCTCCCCAGACCTGAACCCGCTTGACTTTCCCGTGATGGGGTCTTGCAGGAGAAGGTCAACGCAAAACCCCATTCAAGTGTAGAGGCTCTGAAGAAGACATTACTGGCGGAATGGGACAATCTTTCCATCGAATACCTGCGTACCACAGTCGCATCCTACCCGAAGCGTTTCCGTGAAGTCATAGCTGCGAAAGGAGGCCGAATCAAAAAGAGTTAATAGATAAATATTTGTTATACTATAGATAAAAAATATTTTGAGTCTCGTTTGATTTGGACTTTTAGTTTCAGAAATATACGTCTTCAAAGTTGTGCGGGAACTTAAATGACACCCTGTAGAGGAGGATATCAGACGCCTAGATGACTATTATATGAGCGGAAACGAGCACTCATAATTGGTATAATGTCGATGAATGCACCTTCTTCAGTTAATTCCGGAAAATCTCTTTTTAATCCGTTTTATATCCTCATCATATTTCTAGTACATATTGGGCCACAGAATTCGCTCGTCTAATCCAAAATATCGAATAGTTTTGCAATGTTCGTTCTTTTTTTTGTGCTCACGCGTTGCCTGCGAGGTTTCGATTTCTGTTTTGATTGTTTTCGACCATCAACCCAATTGAATAATCGCTCTCAAACGCTGGTTGGCATGGCGGGAAAATGAGACGAGAATTGGCGGATTTAAAATGCTCGTGTGAATTTCTACACGCCACCTCTCGCCCCGCCACTTGTCAGACGGAATTGATTGTCTCGCAAATTTTTGGGTGTGTGGGTTGGCATTGCTAATGGTGGTTGGTGGCAATCGACCAAATAAATCAATTATACATTATAATATTTTTGGTTCGGCTCGAAATAAGTCCAGGTGAGAAATAGAACTGATTGGTGTGTCATGCATTTTTTTGGACTTCTCAAATTTAATTTTTAGTGCCAATAATAAATACTCATGTGTACTTCCGAGTTGGTTTTCGAATTTTTGCCGTTTATTAGGAAGAAAAACACCCGCTCGTCTAGAATCAGATTATCGACACATTCTCGTTTCTTGACATTTTCAAAAAAAAAAATTGTTTTCGCTTTTTTTTTCCTAGAAACCACGTGTAAGGAATTTAAAATAGGCCACGTGAAAATTAGAAAATAACGCGAAATTTCAGATATTTCTATAATCTTTTTCTTTAAATAACACAACAAAGCCAATATTGCAAAGCTGTGAAATACACTTATCGGTTCTCGCATGGAAAATTGGGATTATTTTCAATCGCAGAATTCAATTTGAAAGAAAAGCAAAATGTGAAATCCAAATCGATGACTTGTCTTGTTTCAACTCATATTTCAAGCCAATTCTCGAAAATTGAATCTCTAATTCTGTTTAGTTTTCACAAAGAAATTCAAATGAATGAAAACCATTTTGTTATTTATACAATAAAATTCATTTTATTTATCTTTCTAAAATAGTAGTCATGACATCTCGGAATTTTTGGTTCTAAAATCTGTTGTTCTCATTTCTCTTTGTCAAGTTTTATGAGAATTGCTGAAAAGATTGATGAAGCTTTTGGTAATATTTCTAGAAGCTCTAGAAAATTTCGATTTTTCTAGAAAACTGAAATTTTTATTCATTTCTTCTCTTTGCTTGAATTCCTTTTAATAAGTGAGGATTAAATGAAGATCTTTAGAAAAGTGTTCGACAATAAAAAAAAAACAGGAATACTATTTACCAAATAAAAACACCTCACTAATGTTGTTTTTTTTTTTCGTATTTTCTCAGTCATCTCAAAAATCTGATGTTTGCCCTTAAAAGATTAGATGGACTCTCGTTCTTGAATGTATCTAATACTGAATATTCATTTTATGTTGTTTTTCACTTTTGCCGTCGAAACATCAGAAATCTGTGTACTTCAAATTTGATATTTAAATATGTTTCGGAATTTTATTTCATTATTTCGCTGTGCGAGAAATTTCTAATTTTTCCAATTTCCGCTTTTCATTTTTTTTTACTTATTTTGAACACAATTCGAATTCCGTTGTATCTAGTTGTTCTAGCTGCGGACAAAATTTACAAAATCAATCCACGTGGTTCGGCTTTGTCGAGCCAACATTTCAGATTGTTAAAGAATCTCATTGTTTCAAGAACTTTCTCTCTTCTTTTTCAAAATTTGCTATTTTCGATGCCTTCGGAATCTTTGTCGTTTTTTGATCTATCCACTTCCCAATTTGAGTTTTCAACGATCAAAACGTCACTGTTTGTCCGATTAAAAAAGACCCTTATCAATTCGAATTTTTGATAACCGACCGTTCTTCCCTGCTATTTTTGCCGTCAAAATGTTCACTGAGCCCCTCAATTGCTTTTTGATTTTTTTTCAGGACCATTTCATGTCGGTCTCATCATTTCTTCGACGATTTTCCATTGATATCGACAATTGCTCATCGTCTTCGTCATCGTCGCTGACGCAGGCTCCAGCAAAACGAAGAGGTCGAATAGCGGCTTCGATCGATTCGGCGCGACGAAGATTCTCATTGCAACATGGTCCGGCTCATCCGAGCCATTTGAATAGTGTCGACCAGGATCCAGTCCATCTTCAATCCATTGCCTTGCGGGGAAAAGGAAGGAAACAGAATGGAAGTCTACCGGATTTAATGCAGGTCATTTTTGTTATTTATAGTCAAACAATCTTAAAATCCATTTTTTTAACGTGTATGCTTTTTCACATTATAATAGCTAGAAGATGCAAAATTCGTTGCAAGAGACCTAACGCGGAAATTCAAATAATAAACCATTCGTACCTCAAATTCATCGGTCCACTACAATATGAATTCATCGTTTTTGGGGTCAAAATATTTAAAAAAAAAACTGGGAATTGAAAGAAGGGAATTGATATTCAATGCGATTGGAATTTCTTTTATTCAATTTCTATTGAATTCCAAAATTTGTTAAAAATTGTGACACGATTGTTCGAATTCAATTTGGACCGTCCAAAACCCGTTTAGACAAACATTGCCAATTACTTCAATAAAGCGACCAAGTCACCTAAATATGCTGTCAATTATTCAATCAATTTTTAAAAAATTTCAAAAATGGTAGATCAAATCATCATTATTTTAATGCATTTTTAATACAAAAATGTCATGATGATTCACGAAATTGAAAATTGCAAAATTGTTAAAACGCAATAATTAAGAGCTGGTGTTTTATTTGCTCTTAATTGGTTAATGTTGGACGAAAATTGATTTGGTCTTAATGATCATACGTAATGATAAAATAACACCTCAGTATTTCATTAAATTTGTTTTACATCGACTTAAAATTATTCTTTAATTCAGTCCAAACAAGATTATTAGCAAAGGAAGTCTTTGAGGTCTCTCTCCCTCTCAATACAATTTTTATTTCAGAAAATTGATAAAAATCACCCAAGAAGCTTAAAATTTTAAACAAATGCTTGTTTATTTCCACAAGCTTGACGTATTGAGTTCCCAAATTGAAAGCCACCACAATTGTTTCCTAAATTGATGAGAAGCTGAGATGTTCTCGTGTCTCAAATTGTTAACGAAGGCAATCACTTGAATTCTTGGCGACAATTTAATTCGAGCAAACCCATTGCCAAACGAAGATGGCAAATGCTGTGTGTTTGCCATAAATATTTGAACAGATATGTATATTTTCGTTGACAATTCCAAATATGAATGTACATATTTATTTCAAAAAGAGACCAAGTGAGAAAATTGTTTCCTGAGAGAAAAAAAAGAGCAGGAAGCAAACAGAACAAATATTAGGCATTTAATGAGCTATTAAATATTATCAGCTGGTTCGTTTCCAACATTTTTCGTGTTGCTCATTCATTTCGTCTTTGTATTCTTTGAAAAAGCTAAGCGATTGTAAAACGATACATATTTAGGACGAATTTTCTTTTGGGTCCTCCTGTTTGTTTAAACACAATGCTTGGGTGTCTCCTATTGCGTTTTTCTTCTTTTTTTGTTGCTAAATCATTAGTATTAATTTTGCTTGAAATTTGGGCGGCTGCCTATCGACAGGAAATTGCATAAAATGCGACCGATGAAATCCATTCAAAGTGCGAAACTCTTTACCAGCTTTTGTTGTCGATTTGCATCAGTTTGTCGGCTCTTCCGCGCGTTGCCCAAAAAATTTTATCGGCGTTTTTTTTCTGTTAGACGGAGACCAGCAAAAATACATTTGCCCTTCAGATATTCATGCGTTTGTGCCGTTTTCGCAACATTTTCCGATGTTCGCTAGTGACCAGGTTTGTTCGAAAATCTATCTTAATCGATGCTCTATTAGGATTGCTCCCAAGGTTTTCAAAATAAGCAAAGTTTTTGACTAATTTTTTTCTTCGCATTAATTTTAAAGGATAAGTTCAGACCAATTGCAGAAGCCTAAATAATCAGCATTGCAAAAATACATTCCATTGGTTTATGAATCGGGAAAAAGAAATTAAAAACTATGTATATTAAAAAAAATCTTCTAGTAATTCAAAACTTGCAAATTTGGTGTTTTTACTTTGAAGTTTGGAATTTTTTTTCTAATTTTGCACACAAACAGATCGAGAAATTCCCTTTCGAGTGTGATATGCGGTTTTCTGCAAAACGCGATATTTTTGGTGTTGCATGGCAAAAATCATGAAACAAATTAAAAAAATAGCCAATGGTTCAAAATTTGAAATTTCGGATCAAACGTTTTGGGATTTTTGGAACTTTTTCAGAAAACAGCATCGCATACTCGATAAGGAATTTCCCGATCTGTTTGTGTGCAAAATTAGAAAAAATTCCAAACTACTAACTAAGAACACCTCCCTTGTTAGTTACGCTTATTTCAAGCATTTTGGAATACTGTAGGGTTCATATTGTAGAAGCCATGGCTCTTTTAAACGGACCAATTTTCGGGAAAATGAAAATTGGAAATATCTACAGGATGTTAATGCTTCGAAAAAAGCTCTTGCCAAATATGTAAATTAGTTTCATCTACCGGAAATTATTCGGCAACTATTTATTATGATAGCATATTTTCAAAAACGGACCAAATTGACAAATTTCAATTATCAAACAATCCTACAATTTTTCATCTTGTTAGCGCGAAATGTATTTTCACTTGCGCCTTTAATATGTTTACTATAATTTTGAATGCAATTCAAACTAGATTAAATTGAAATTTGCAAGATTTTACAAGATCATGACGTCAAAAACATAAAAATAAGCAACGCCGCCTAAAATTCGCCTAACTTTTACATTATAATGCGCTTATTCTCACTTCTCATACACTCATACTTTTACTTCATGAGAAGTCCTAAAAATGCTAAAAATTAAAAAAAATGTTACCTAAAATTGGTTTAAAAAATGAATAAAAAGTGTGTTGAATTTATCATTTTAAAATCAATTTCGAATAACTAGACGTCATTTCGAAAAATCCTTGATAATCATTCTGAAATGTCAAATGTGACGCCTCTCGATTATAATAAATAAATGGGGGAAAAATTGAATGAGTTTCGAGGCGATCAAAAATCTTTTTGTTTTCTCATTTCAATAGATTTGTTAGCATCATTGGACCTCGAATTTCAACGACAACTCGTTCATTTTTTTTTTCGTTTCTTGTCTCATCTTTCGATCACAAATCAAATGATGCTCATCTTGCTCCTCGTTCATGTTTTGTTATTTTTTTTATTGCGAAAAATTATCCGACGGTTCGATTTTTTGTGGGTTCGATCGGTGTGCGTTTTGTGCCAACAACCAACAACAATGCCCGCTAGCAATGTTCCATTTTTTTACAGTGAGTTCATTTATTCCACCTGATCTGCGAATACAAATATCTAGTTCTATTTTACATTTTTTTAAGGTCGCTGAAAAAAAACTTGTCTTTAAAACTCGCAGAGTAGGTTCATAATGGAGCCTTTCATTATTTCGCATCTTTTATTATCTACATTCAATTTTCTAGAAGGTCTTCAAACATTAAATTTTTAAGGCGGTTTTTTTTTTGAAAAATACGTGTTTCTTTTAATTCGAGTTGAAGATTTACCACATTCAATGGAAATCCTTGTTGATTGAGAAAAATCCCAAACATGATAGCAATCGAGACAGCTTCTAATGCAGAATCACGGCGTCCGGTTTATTTTTAAATCGATGAAAAAAAACTTCAAAAAACTTCCTCTTGGCATATAAGTTTGGTATCAGAAATAAAAAAATTTTTAATTAATAATAATAATTCGATTTATTATCATAAAAAGTGCATTTTTTATGCTATAATAAGCAATATTTTTTCGTGTTTCCGGAAATAATATGTGCTCAAAATAGCATTTTTTTGCGTTCATTTTGCTGATGTGCTCATTGTGACGAGCAATCGCCGGTGATCAACATCCATAAATTAGGTTGTCGGCAATGCAACATTTGTTCTTTGCAAATCAATGATCAACTCAATTTTACGAGAAAAATGACACAATCTTCAAACCACACTATACACAATTCAAATAATTTAAGAGCATTTTTGCTTTAACTTAACATATGCTTGTTTTTTATTGTGTCAAACTTGCAAACAAAAATAGAAAGGCCAAAGAAATTGGCAAAACGGCGATGGTCCCTGAGGAGTTGAATTGATATATCTGACGAGCCCTTGGATCATAAGCTAAAGGTCAACAACACATTTCGAAATATTTTGAAATTTGTCGATTGAATCCATTCAGCAATGAGAAGAAGATTTTTTTGATAACTTTCATAAGCATCGACTTTGTCCCTAGTGACTGACAAAAAGATGTTTAAGAACATTCGGAAAAAGCTTGTCCATCCCGAAATGGTTCGTTTTTCTCTAGAAGTAATAAACCGCCAAAAGTCTCATCAATTATAAGCTTTATGTACAACGATATTTTGAAATGCGAATTGGACTCCGAAATCGGATTGATGGATTCGCCCCCAACAGACGAATAATTGGTCGTGTCGACCATTCCAATTAGTTGATTAAAGTCGAAACTTATTTTTTGTTGTTGCAGAAACGTGATTCGAATGCACATCCGGCGCCGGCGAAGCGCGTGTCGGTCGTCGCGACCGATCGAGATCGTGCCTACTTCCTTCGTCACAAAAATGGAAGAAAGCAGCATTCTTGCGACAAGGTGGGTCGCGTTTTTTATTCATTATTCGTTGTGAGCCTATTCGAACATCCGCCGCATTCATTCGTGGTGCTCGAATGATTGATTGGTGCAATCAAACCGATTCAATGGGCGGCGGCGGCATCATCGCGGGGTTTTGTTTCGAAAAAGCAGGAAAGCAAAACAAAAAAAATGCGAAAAGGGTGGGCTCCGAATTTCACGCACTCACACTATTTAACACTCTCCAATGGCTGCTACTCGCCAGACGCCACATACTTTTCGTCGGTGCCCGTTTCGCCTTCGCCTTCTTCTACACTCCTTATTCTTTTTTTTTCTTGATTTTGGCTACAGCGGATGACACAATGGAAGAGGGCTCGATTGTCCAATTTTTGGGACACTCCTCGTGGCGATTTCTCGACACAAATTTCATTTTCGTTTATTCTATTTCAATTCAGCTCGTTCGAGAATAGCCTTTGACTATTAAACTTGTCTTCCAAAACTTCACATTCAGACTATTCTTATTGTTATTAATTTTCTCATCGAAGTCGATACCGAAAATTCAGAATATCTGATACACTGTATTTTTGTGGAAAACAAAATTGTTACCGGACTAAATTGCCAAAAGACATGCGCCTTTAATTCCTTCGAAAAGTATTTTCGAATATAACTTGAAAATCACGGATTTTTAGATCAACTTTCAATTTTCGAAGCATTTCCATTGTTGGAAATTCAAAATTTTCCGAATCGCAAAATTAAAATAGTATTAAGAGGGAGGAACTATATGAAAATCTCTTTCAAATCCAAAATTATCCGCAGTTTGATTTTTTTTAAATTCCAGATTGCAATTTTCTGGAAGCTAATTTCTATGAACCATGTGTTTAAAAATATCAGTTCTCATATCCAAGATCTCATATTCCACCTAAATATATTCCACCCCCCCCCCTAATGAATTTATTTATTTATTTATTCATACTCCCCCCCCCCAATCAATCAGAATATTCTTCTTCATTTTATTTTGTCGAAAATCCACCCAAGTGCAGGTGATTTTCGTGTGAAACTCATATCATAAGCTTATATAAAAGTTGAGTTAATAATATTAATTTATTCGCTATATATTAATTATGTATGCGAAGATCACAATGATAATGAATATTCAAGCAATTCTCTCGCACACACTAGTTTAGTTGTCGAGTTTCCCATCATAATTATATAAATACAATTGGATTCTAGTCGATTGGGAAAATCAGCCAATTTTCGCTAACAATCGTGTTCCGTTCGAGACCAATTATCATAAATCACCGTTCGGTTTTGACCTGATGAGATAAAAATGAACGTCAAACTTCGCATTATTGTCTAGACTGTTTGTCGATTCAATGGATTGCCCCATCAATTGGTGGCGTCTTGACAAAGATTAATGAGTCGTTCGTAGATTTTACACCATTTTCGCTCGCGGCTATATACTATATAAAACATTTCGAAATTTGGGTCGAACATCATTTTGCTCTTATTACAATCATGCATGTATTCCCGCGATTCGCAGCGTTTCTCGTTGTTTCGCCGACGCAATCAACCAGATTCGTCCTTCAATATGAAAATATTTTCGAATTCCGCCTTCCTCCTCGCGTTTTTTTTTTCACTGATTTCATTTCCAAAAATAGACATACGAGCGTATTGTAATCAAGTTTTCACATTCGATTCTTCAAAATTTATGCTTCGTTTTTTCTTGACTCGTTTTTTTTTTCTGAATGAGTAATTCAAAAGAAATTCGTTGAATTAATTAGACTAAATATTTAACACTCTAATTCAAGGGTTCCTTCTGTTTTTAAAATTGACGAATTAAAAAAATAATAATCGAATGATAAACGTCATCCTTTTAGAGAAAACACATGTTTTCGGTTGTTTAAAAATTCGCAATTTCAGTTTTTTTTAATCTTTGGTGCTATAATTTCAGAGAACAAAATAGTGAAACGATAAATGATAAAAGTAAAGGTACGTGTTCATTCGATTGCTGAACAATTCGCGAAATCGTTCTTTGAGATGTCTGAAAGATTCTCTCAATGTGAGACTTAAAAGTGCAAGAAAATATCAATTAATATAAGAGAAAAAAACACGAACCTATAGGAAGAAATAAATATTATCAATTTTGAGTTTTTCAAATTATCTTCTAGATTATGAATGGTGGTACTATGCAAATTTCGCAAAAACTACTCACAGGAAAATTGTCAGACAAATTTAAAAAATAATTTGTCAATCAAAAAATGAATTATGTGTAATAAACTCTAAAATATTATGAGAAATTGAATAGTCAATTACTAAGTTTGAGGTATAATCGTAGTGAGAACTTTGAGGAAGAATGGTCTTGACAAACCGAGCACGCAGTATTTGATGCTTCGGAATAATGATTGAGATTCAACGAACTTTAAAAAAAAATATTTTTTTGAATCAGATAAGATTTTCTAAAACTAATTGAGCAAATTCTAATTTATCTCAATGCATTTTAAAATCTTAAAATAATCCCTTTTAAAGTTCTCTAAAAAAAATCTAAAACATAATAAATACACGTAATTCATTCAAACAATTTCAAAATATTTTATTTGATTTGTCAGAGGTTTTTTTTTGGTTTTTTGCCAAACGTTGCATTGAATTATTATATTTTATGAAGATTGATTTATAAATAGAAAATTTCTTCGAAACCACCAGATTTTCATTGAGACTCTCTTATTCAGAAACAATTTTATAGTTTAGCAATCCATATGAATTGGATCCATTCAAACTCTTAAAGAAATATTTTTTCTGTATCTACTCAAATAAACGCATTCGATATGTTGATTGTAAACGAGAAATGGTAAATAGATTCTCGAATTCACACTGATCAGGTCCCAATCGATGTCCCGTCGCATTTCATCTCGTTTTCTTCTCGTTTCATGACGCATCGATAGTCGGCGTCTCGTGATCAGAAATGCTCTCTCAACGATGGTGTGAGGCTGTGTGATGGTGGCGACACCGACCGACAGGCCGACCGATCCGCCGGCCAGCCGACCCATCCATCGCACTAACGACCCTCCTCTCTCCACTACCACTATCACTTTAACTTCGTCATCATCATCATCTTCATCATCTTCATCTATTCGACATTTTCGGTTTTTATCAGTCGAATACACCAAGGGCGGGCACCCTTCTCAATAAACACACGCACACACACACACACATTTTTTCTCGAAGACGTCGACGCCGACGAAAAAGTTGGGTCGTAAAAGTTTTGTCGAGGCAAAATGCATAAAGTTGATTAATGTTCGCCTGCCGGGATCCATCATTTATGACATTTTCGAATCAAATATTCTTTCTGTCTTTTTTTTTTTAAATTCTCTTCGTCATCTCTTTGCAATTCCACCTGTGACCGCCAATTTTTTGATCTTTCATTTAGCCGATGATCAACGTTTTTTTTGTCTGTGCGTATTGCAATGCATTTTTCATGAATATTTAATCCTATTTAACGTTGTTCGAATGAAAAAAAAACTTTCGCCTAATATGGGAAAGTTGGGAGAGCAGTTTTTGGTTGTTTTCACACTTCTTGCGCTTCATGCGAGTTATAATAGCTTTCGAAATCTTTTTGTTTTGTTTTGTTGTGCTTCACAATATTTGGAGCATTTTCGAAGACGCTGCTCGTGAACTTTGCGTGTCATTCTCAAGTTTCAATTATTATTTTGGGGGGAGCTTTTTTGTTTGCGATAAAATAGCTCCATTTTGGCGCGAAAACGCCCAACTCAAATTTGAGCCAATTCGACGCGTAATTTCCTTTAAAGGCGTCGTCTTCCATCCGTTTTCGAGAAGCAATTGTTTCTTTCCAGACGTCGCCTTGAAAAACATCTCTCACAAGTTTGATAAATGTTTTCTTTTTTTTTTTCGCTCAAATGGCACCGCTTTCCATTTGCTCAATATTGTAGCTTCTGCTCAATATTCGCAGAGTATATTCTATTGATTCATCAATTTTTTGGTCGGTAGGTCCTGCCACGAAAACTAAACAAATAATTCGAGCGGCCCCCGCTATCAATATTGACATTTTCAACACCGACTGAACGGCTTTTTGAACGAAACAGTAAGGGAATTAGGAAGTTGAAATCAATACCAAGAACTACTTCTTTCATTATTTCTATTTCTTGCCCGTCTTTCTTCTCCGACCAATCAGCCCTCCAAAAAATTTTATGACGCGTAAAAAGTGCAGCATGTTGCTGGTCGACTTTTTCTTCGGCTGCCTTATTCGGCATATCTTCAAATTCCACTTTAACTTATTTTTCTTTTCATTTTTTATTTGATTTTTGGACTCTTGACAATTAGATAAATCATTTTTCGAAATAAATAAGTTGTGTCTGAAACATTGTGATTAGTTGAATTAATTAAGAGTTCACACGAGATTTTAGAGAATATAACATTTTTAGTGATGTTTAAAAAGAGTATCCTGTTCCACACAGTAGTCCATTTTCTCATTTTTCTGTCCAGTGAGCACAGCTGGTGGTCCCGAAGCATCACGTGTTGTTCAGGTGCGAAATGCTTTCTAGTGTACTAAAATAATATCCGATGATTCGATTATCAATAAGAGATCTTTAAATTACACATTACTTTTCGTTTGTTGAGTCTTTTCAACATATTTTCTTCATGCTATTGTCGACATCGACTGAATTAAGGCGAAACCTTCCAAACTCATGACTTTGGTGTAGATTTACGAGATGGGAAATTTACCATTGAGTATTAAATTGGCGTATGCTATAATGTGAAGTACGCAAACACGTGATCTTAAGCCCAGAAGCATTTGGCACGTAGCCAAAATTATAAACTCGATTATGAATCTGACGACGACATTAAAAATAAAAATGAGAATTGATTTCTTAAAAGCCAAAAAAAACTTATTTTCATGATTATGTTTTTTTTTTTTTTCAAATACGACGATTTCGATCGCAACACAGCAATGTTTCTGAAGCTGATTCTCGAAACGAACTATATCATTTGAGGCCCTGACTCATTTCAATTCATTTGACGACTAAAATTGTTGTCGTGAACTCTTTATATCAAAAACCAACTAGTATACCGTATTTTTTAATCCGAATTTTTTTAATCGAGTTTCTCAATGAAGACGTTCGCTGTTGTCTCATTGAGTTGAAGAAGGTCCCAATAAAATAAATTGTATTGGCTCCCCAATTTAATGCTTCCTTGAACAGTTGTTCGATTCCGGAAAAGAAATTTTTTGCTATTCTCACATTCGCACCAACGAGCAGCGCATTTTTTTTTCAAAAGTTTGGCTCAAAGAAGATAATAAGCAACTTTCGACACTTCCTGAAAGACTACGAAAAAATGTTTAAAGGAGCATTGCATATTATCCTATTGGACTCTCGATTACTGATTGAAGGTAAAAATTCCAAAAATGTGAAAGTGAGCGACTTTTGGATAAACTTTGCTCTCTGGCAGCTCCACAAAAAAATTTCCAATTATGGGTTGCCAATTTCAAACGAAAAACCTACTCTCATCTTCTAATGCCTTGTTTTTCAAGCCATCGCTTTTTTTGTATTCGAAATCCGTGCCAAACTCGTTGTTCGTTTTTGGTACTTGACCACAACTCATCCTCCTTCTCATTCTCTCGCCAATTTTTTTCTCTTGCTGCTTCATTCACGTATTTGTTTGTTCCATCATTTAAATGAAGAAAACAACAAAAAAAAAGACGACGAAGAAGGAGAAGAAAACCAAGAAAAAGTCACCGGGGGTCCCGCCCGTTGGTAGTTCTTCTTCATCTTTTTTTTTTCTCTGCCGACGAAAAATCCATTAGTGATGCGGTAATGATTTGCGAGATTCTCTTTCTTCCTTATTAGTCCTTGTCCTTTTTCAAAACTGCCAATTATGATATAAATCGAATGATAATTTCATGAGACTCCTTAATAGTTCTAGTTTTTTTTTCGTCTCTCATATCATCTATCTTCTTCTAACGGGCCATCTGTCGACTATTTGTAAATAAGTGGGTCCAGATTAGTGGCGGCCCATAAAAGTGGCCGCATCCATCGTCAATTTTCTCTTTTCGCATCCCATTCTATGCATCCAATAGGCAAGATTAATCAATTCGCTCCTTTTTTTATGACGTTCGTTGTTTTTCTTTTCAATGGTAGCCAGCGATTGCCAGTTAAACCAATCGCATTTCATCTTGTCCTTTTCCATACAAGAGTTTGTCGTTGCGACCACAATAATTCCTGGTTTTCTTGATTTCGAGACGTCAAATCAATTGAAATCTAGTCAACCAAATTGTTGTTATTTTTTGACTCTATTTGGTATGCACAGAAAACGAATGCATTTTGTCTATTCTACTTTTTTTTGTTCGTCTCGTTTTACTACACTAGCCTGATTGATGATTGAATCTGTTAGAATAGTCCTGGATCACCACCACCACGGCGGCGGCGGCGGCTCGACAAAAAGGTCATCCGTCTCATCGGCACGACTACCGGACGCGCTCGCGTTGTGTCTCAAGGCGCGAATGGAGACGAAAGAGTTCGAGTTTCGGCCGGCCAAAGAAACGTCGCGATCAAAGAGCCCCGGAGGCGTGATCGGCAGACTCAGCAGTTTTGCGCGCAGCAAAGCGCGGCACTCGCTTAGCGAGAAGGGCTCGAACTCAGTGAATGGAAGTGGAAGCGGTGGCAACGGGTTCGAAAAACCCAGGAAGGTAAACACGCGGGGGCGGTGGTGATAAGAGCTCATTGAATTTTTTTTGTGTGCGTGCGTGTTTTTTTTGCAACTAAAAAAGTAGAAAATATCACGAACGCGAATTTTGAAATTCATCGTTTTGCAGGATCTTCTGAAAGAATTCGCCAAGTGCCGTGAAAACAATGATCAACGACTTGACCTGAGCTCGATCGAGATCACCAGCATTCCAGTCGCGATTCGAGATCTGACACAACTCACCGAATTGTTTTTATATAAGGTAAATCACTCTTTTTGAAATAATATTTAAAAAATGAAAATTTGTAAAAAAAAAATACAAATTGTGGGAATTCAAAGGATTTCGGATAAATAAATTTTTAATTCTTGGCACGAAATTAACAAATTTTCGCATGCGTCTATGATAGGTACTGTAACTATGTTTGATAAACAGCAAAAATATAAAAATCATTTTTGAAATCGCCTAAATTTTTTGAACATTTCTACAAATTCGACAATTCCGAAGATCGTTTCTTGTTGGTTTTTTTTTGTCCACAAACCTGACCTTGCAAATGTGTTTTTGCGATAAGAAAAAAGTTGCCCGGAAGTGGTCTTATCGCGCCACGATTGATAAAGATTTATGATTTTCGCCAATTTTTCATCATTTCCGGTTATAAAGTGTTTTATTTTTTTGCAGAATAAACTAACATGTCTGCCAACGGAAATCGGGCAACTAGTGAATCTAAAAAAGCTGGGACTTAGCGAGAATTCGCTTTGCTCACTGCCGGATTCTCTTTCATCACTGACGCACCTCGAAACTCTTGATTTGAGGCATAATAAGCTCACTGAAGTGCCAAATGTGATCTACAAAATTGAGTCACTCGAAACGTTATGGTTGAGATATAATCGAATCGTTTCGGTCGACGAACAGATTTGCAATTTGAAACGGTAAAATTCCAAATTCAGTCGAAACAAATCAAATTTGTCTTTAACAATTTAAGACTGAAAATGCTAGACGTACGGGAGAACAAAATCAAGGAGCTTCCAGCAAGTATCGGGAAACTTTCAAGCCTTGTTGTGTGCCTTTTATCGTATAATCACCTCACGAGAATTCCAGATGGTATCGTATTGCATTCGGCATTTCTATTGAAAATCGTTTTTTTTTTTTTCAAGAAATCGGCGAGTGCTCGCATTTAACTCAACTTGACCTCCAACACAACGATTTAACGGAACTACCAACAACGATTGGACAACTCAAGAATCTTGTCAGAATTGGAATTCGGTATAACAAGATCCGATGCATTACGAGTGAACTCGAGAACTGCCAACAACTCGAGGAATTCATCGTCGAGAGTAATCACTTACAGTCATTGCCGGTATGTCTTGAACACCATTTTCATTTTTAATAACTTCCACCATCATCAGTCTTCTTAATTAATCATTCTGTAATTAGCGTTAATATTTTATATATCGATTTTTAAAAAAAAGAACTAGTATTTTTGCTCAATCTGCAAAGCGTTTTTAGAGTTTTTTAGTGGTAAAATTTTTTTTTGCAAAATCTGCAATGCTCCTTAATTATGGCACCTTTGTCAGTTTAAAATTACGTAATTTGGCACTTTGTTCCGAAACTTTTTTCTCATTTTTTTCTCGACATTTTTGCAAAAATGAGATATGAACATCTGGAAAATATTGGAAAACATATAAAATTAACGTTTATGAGTTTTGTGAATATTTTAATATCGATGGATCTTTAATCTTAAGGATCTGTTCATGCAAAGTATTTTTTGTAAAAAAAAGAATCACATTAAATGCGCATTTTTTCCATTTTTTCATTGCATGAATAGGTCCATTTTAATCCTTTTGAAATATTCAATTGAGTCGAATTCTGTACAAATTAATTCAATTATTTAAGCCGAATCTTCTTACAATGCTGCCCAAAATCCATACAGTCAATCTTTCGCGAAACGAATTGACCGCATTCCCAACCGGCGGACCACAACAATTCGCATCGACGGTTACTATCAATATGGAGCACAATCAAATCTCGAAAATACCCATCGGAATATTCTCGAAAGCCACCAAGTTGACGAAGCTGAACTTGAAGGAGAATGAGCTCGTCTCGCTTCCGCTCGGTAGGTCCCTTCACTCAACAATGACATTCAAGCGCAAACTTGTTTTGCTTTTGCTGCTTTCTTTTCAACACATTAGGCAAAACGTTCTGTTTAGATATGGGAACATGGACATCAATTACCGAACTCAATTTGTCGACAAATCAACTGAAGGTACTACCGGAGGATATCGAGAAATTGGTGAATTTGGAGATACTTGTGCTCTCCAACAACCAGCTCAAGAAGTTGCCAACACAAATCGGCAATTTGAAGAAGCTCCGAGAGCTTGACCTCGAGGAGAACGAGCTCGAGATAATCCCAACCGAAATTGGTAACAACTCCGATTTTGTTTGTCTTTGGATATTTGGAAAATTTTCAGGATTTCTTCAAAATTTGACCAAATTGTGGGTGCAGTCGAATAAGCTGATGACGCTGCCGCGTTCGATCGGCAACCTGTGTTCGCTTCAAGACCTGCGACTTGGTGAAAACAATTTGACGGCGATTCCAGAAGAAATTGGTAAGTGACGAGCATCGTCCATATTCTCGTTTTGTACAAAAATTTGAAATCTGCGACGAAATCATTTGTTCGCAAAAAGAACACATACATATGCGTAAAAATGATTTTTCCTCTCTTTCCCTCATTCTTTTTGTTAATTTAAAAGCACCGACCGACTCAATTCATCTACATATATACATACAGATATTTAATTATTTTTATTGATTTATACTTAAACATAAAAGTCCATTTGAGAGAGAGGGCTTTAAATTATTTTAAATAAAAAATAATCAAGGTTTCGAAACTCTGTTGTATTTTTTTTAATCTCAAAAGGTATTTTCTCTGCAAACTTTATAAACATAAAATACCGAGTACTCTGGGAATTTGCGGATCATGGTTTTTTTTGAGGGTGGCATATCAAATTTAAATATCAAAAGTGGAAATTCGTGTTTTTTTTGCGATCGTGAATTATTTGACGATTTCATTAAGAGCACACTGAATAGAACGAAACATTGTGATAAATTCAAAATAATTTTTCAGGACATCTGGATTCTCTGAAGTCGTTGTACCTGAATGACAACGCCTCGCTCCACAATTTGCCGTTTGAGCTTGCACTATGTGCTTCGCTCGAAATCATGTCCATTGAAAACTCGCCGCTTTCCCAAATACCGCCAGAAATCACGACTGGTGGTCCGAGTCTTGTGATACAGTATCTCAAAATGCAGGGGCCGTATCGTGGTGTAGTGCTCACACAGCAGCAACAATAAACTGTTTTCAATTAAAACGGGTTTCGCTCCTTTCATCACTTGTCTTATATCCATTCTTTTTTGTTTTCAATACCATCCAATTTTCTAATTCCTATTATTATTATTATTGCATTTTTTTCTTCGCCTAAACCGATTATAAAAATGTAAGATAAACCGTAAAAATAAAAGAAATTGGCTATTAAAAAAAAAGAGACACTGAAAAATTCTCAAAAAATAACGCGCCCAAAAACACGCTGCGCAAAACACGCTGCAAAAGTGTATGCCACATACACTTCTCTTCGCCTCGAGAAATCTGGCAATTAGCCAATATTTTTTAAAATTTCGTCAAGTCGTTTGACGCCGACAATACGTTTTGGCGCGAAAATCCGACATTGGAAAAGGAAAAAAAATGTATTGCCGATTAGAAAATTATTTGAAAACGTGTATCAGTGTTGCTCAAGTTTTAAGCGACACCTTTCAAACTTTTTTTTAAAACATTTTTGATCTTTTGAATGTTCCAAATAGATTGCTATAACTGTTTCACACGTGAATCGAGATAAATTGGGTTCGAGAAGCACCAATTCGAAATGTCCAATAGGAAGCCGCAAATATCCGGTAGCGCCTTCTGACATTTCGTGTTTCGACCGGATGCGCTGCTTGTTCTTTCTTTTTTTTTCAGGCCACACAAGTTTGAAAAATGGATGAATGGGTGCACACCAAGGGCGCATATCAATCTAGCAGAAGCTCAATTCATTTTCTGCACTCATTTCCCCCGTTTTCGAATTGGCTCGATTCCCATTTTGTTCTCGCCATTCGTTTCGTTCGAAAGACGAGAAATTATGCGCCGCGAACAACATGTGCAATATATTAAGAAAACACACATGTTTTTTGAAAGCTTAACACTATTCAGTATGCTTCTTCCGAGTGGTTTCTCCAGCTTCTTCAACGCGTTTTTGTGGTACGAATATTTGTGGGCCACCTTCAACAGAACGTATAATAGGCTCTATTTAAGTGGCTTTTTGAAAATTTAAAACATTCGTGAAGCTTCAATTTTCTATACGTCAGCATACGGAGCAATAAAGGGTTGATCTTGAACCCTCCTTTAATGCAAGTTCATCATTCAAACTTAAAAGTTTTGAAATGGTACTTGAAATTCGAATTTTGTTCCACAACGACTTGAATGCAAGTGCACGTCGAAGAGACCTTTTTGCTCACGTTGTCACGTTCCTCGATGAGTAGGCGGAGCTTCGCCACAATCGCATTCGTACAACCAACGGCTCAATTGTTGTCGACTTATATGAGCACTTTCTCCTTCTCCTCTATTTTTCTTGATTTCATTTATTTGAAATTCTTATTGTTCAGTTGCCAAGCAAATTATACGTATATTGCTTGAAATCTATTTTTTTTAATTTCAATTCAAACCACCGGGACGAATTTTTATGATTTACTTATTCAAATCTATCCAATCTTTGTATTCTTCTGCTCAAATATTTTACTTCTCAAATTTTTAGTTTGATTCTCTACGCCTAATTTGCGCTTAAAATCACATACCGATTCAATTTTTGCGATTTTGAATGTGATTCTGATAAGAAATGTTTTCTGAATGTTGAATTTGTTGCGTTCTGAAATAATTTTACAATGCTAATTTTTTGGAAAAAAAAAACGTCAAAACGTTGAGAAGTGATCAATGTTTTAAAAACGAGGTCTCAAATCTGCGATCAGTATGAATTTCGTTTTTTTTTTGAAAATCTTGAAAAACGATAAATACTAATTAGAAATCTGATACTTTTCTTCTGTAGCAAGAAAGAAAGAGTATCCGGAATTTTGAGAATTGTTATTTATTTTCCTAGTGTTCGATTATGAGTATTGGATGTCACATCAATGATATTTTTCTATGGTTATATTTTCTGTTGGTCACCTTGAGACAGACAAAACATTAAAGGCGCATTGTGCAGTGTGTCAAAGTAGAAAAGGCACAGAAGGTGTTGGCTTAGAACTTTTGCGGTCGTCCTGCTTCTCCGACTCGTTTCCAACTACCTTCCTGCTATCATCAATTTCGCGTATCTTTTTTGGTCGTATCCCAATTTTCTGCTCAATCTTCAACATTCAGGAAACATTGCCAAAATTGTTCCAAATCGTTTTTTTTCTCTACATTTTCTTATCCATTCACAACTGAAAAATAATTTGCTTCGTTAGTCGACATGCGAAAAATGAATAATCATTATGTAGCACTTAGTCTAAACCGAGGAAGAAGCTTCCTTTTCGAATTTGCCCATTAATATCGAAATGAGATTTTTGATCTACCCATTAAAGCCTCAGCTCTTCTCTGTTTTTATATCCGTTCTCAAAATTCAATTAAAAGACTTTTTTTTGTTTCTGAACGCCATAATTTATTTTTAAAAAATGTTCTAACCAGGTCCAAAATATTACGAGTTCTCATTAAATATCCCAAGTCGTATTCACAATCAGCCGAATGACAATGATTAATGTTCGTTGCTTCTCAAAAAAAACCCCAAGCCGCCCCTCTTACTTTTTCAATAATTCAAATCGAATTTGTAATTCAAATCGAATTTGAACAGTGGCAATTCGGCTATCGTACTCTAGATATCCTGAAAAGATAACTCAATGTAAATTGGTGCAGGGTGCTGGTTTTTTTTTGCGAATGCAATATTCAATAGATGATTTGTAAACAATTTATCTAATTTGAGCGAGAAATGACAAACAAAAAAGGAAGTATTTGAATATTTAAGATGAGTGTTTTTTGGGGGATGCAATGCGTTTCCTATTTATTAAAAAATAAAGAGAATCGAAAGAAAGTGTGATGTGTGAATTTAGGCACATCATTTAAGGTGTTCTCCGTTTATTTTTATCTGATGAGTCAGTACATGTCACCTCGATTTTTTAAATATGTGATTTTTGAACGCTTATTTTGATTGCTTTTTTATTTCTTTCGATTTTGTTAAAAATAGTTTTAAAAAACATTTAAAAAAATGCAAACAGCAGCCTTTCGTTTGGGATAAACATTTTCGGACAGACAAGCATCAAATTCAATCGGTCGAATCAAAGACACGCTAAATTGAGGGCGGCGTGTAATTGGAGTGTCGTACTGGTAGAGGAAAATAGTTTCGCGTTGGCAGTATGTATTTCGGAGCTCTCGCCGTGTCACGAAGTTATTTAAAATACATTTTCTTTGTCCTTAACAAATTTCTGAGTGCTTCAAAATTTTTGCGAAAATGTCGATCAAAACCGCCAATCGCATATATTCCAAACGCCTTTTCCATCTTTTTTTTCAAAACATCGGTTTGAGAGGTTTCTTTAACGAAAAATAATCAATAATTTATGAAGATTTGAAAACCAAAGACATTAGATGTTTTTTTTTCTTGTTTGGATGTGATACTTGTTGAGCAGCACATTTAATTGTTCAAGTCATAACTTGCTCTCCAGCCGATTTACGGCGCTCGAGTTTTATGTTTGCCTCTAATGGATTTCTATACAGTATTTCAACGTGATATAGCCGGCGTCCGGTGATTGCTGTACGCGGGTAGATTTACGTGGATGCATCTTTCTCTCGGTCTCGCACGGACTAACTGGTTGCTTCGCATTTTATGAACCGTTTCAGTAATTTTTCCATCGAATGAAGTTGGAAATTCCAAGAAATACCAATCTTGTCACGAAAAAATTAACCGTTCATGTGAAAACAGCAATATAAGCGTTCACACGTGGCGAGACTTTTTCAAGGCGCATGAGCGTAAATCTACCCGCGTACAGCAGTCACCGGACCCCGACTATATGTTTTTTTAATAGAACAGAATAAAGTAGTATAAACCTGTTTTACATTTCCTGTTTTGAAACATTTCGTCAAGTCTACAGTAATCATTCTATGATTTTGATGGACGTTTTGATAATCCCAGGAAATTCAAACGTCGAGCTGTTGATTAGTCGAAGCGATTATAATGTTTTTTTTTCGAAATTGTGCTTCTCTTTGACATCGTGGCCCCACCTCCTCATCGCGCGTATCTCCCCACATCATTTGTGTTTTTTTTGTCTATTTTTGGCGTCCGAAAACATTTTTGTCTCTTCCTACTTCTCGCTCTCCTCCGTTTACCCCGCCTCCTGTGTGTGCTTCTCCTCCGATCCTGCAACGTCGTCGGTAATCCCGCGCTCGTAACCGAGACAAGTAATGTGATGAAAAATGGTCTATTTTCGGTCGAATGCTCTTTTTGTGACCTTCTGATGGTCCGTTTTCAATTCCGAACTATTTAAACCCCGCCTTCCTCACACCCTCATGATCTTATACTGTTCAAATTATATTCGTTGTTCGTCCTCTTTCGATTATTCCAAGCATAGCTGATTTTTTGTATTGCTCTTGTTTTTTTTTTTTGAGAACTCCGATGAATTCGACAACAGCTGAGGATAACGACGAGTTTTACGAACTCTCAACAATCGAGCTGGTTAGTATTTTCATTCAATTCGGTTTTACTCGGCGTAAAGCATCTCAAAAAAAATACATTTTTTTCGTGAGTGAGTGAAGCAAAAAAATGAGCACATCAATTTTCATTGCTTCCTTCTTTAGTTACGCCTTACGGAGGAGTTAATTGAAATGTAATATTTTTGGGAGAAATGTGACGAAAATGGCCGCAAACAGGCAACCACAAGGAGAGCGTCTTTCATTTTTATGGTTTTTTAGTGAAATTCTTTATAAAGAGACGACATAGAAATAAATGGCAGATATTGAGCGCTGAAAACAATATTTAAAAAATATTTTACTATTTTTAATTCAAACGAGCTGCGGACATTTTTCTGGTTTACGTTGGTGTATTAATTGTAAGTAATTCCTATTATCATAACAAAAAGATCATCTCGAATGCTCTTATGGAACAACGCATTTTTTAAAAGAAATCTTTGATTAAAAAAAATGGGAATTAGTGTACTGTAATACGAATAACCTACGAATTTGCGAACAAGGGTTCTCGTTTTTTTGGGATTATAATATTTCACATTTTTTTTTCTTTCAGAAATATGAAATCAATATTGCACCTCAAACAAAGTCAAATATTTGAATAGAAATCGCACCCCCGAACATCGAGGTCCCTTTTATTATGACTGTGTTTCATATCATAATGTTCCATTGATGGCCATCAAGCACTTCATACTCATTTCATCTATTTCGAGTTGATACTAACAGATTGAATTTCTCCCCTTATTTTCTGGAAATTATGTAAATGACCCTCTCAAATGTTATTCTCCGACTCGTAATTATTTTGTTTTGACTAGGCAAATCGAATCCATAAAAAAAGCGGCGGGGCATTAAGAATCTCAACATTACATATTTATGTTTTTCATAATCTTATTCATGACAAAATCACATTAATATGTGGTATGTATGTATATTTTTGGCTGAAAAAAAAACAAATATGAGGAAGCACTGTAAGCTTAAATTGGTATGTTTATTGTTTGGCCACCCGTATTAGTAATGGGAGGCCGAGCGAAACCAAAATATCATAATCCATTTGTTTTTAATAATCTACATAACTTGCAAGTGAGCAAAGATTTACTTTGTTCTGGGGGCAACAAAATAATTGAATTTTTCATAAGTGACGTCACAGACTCGGATAAATCTGAATTAGTTCCAGCGTTCGTTATTTTTGACAAAAAAATCTTCAAAATCCTCTTCTTCCTGATTTCCCCAAAAAAAAAGAAAAAATAAATATTGTGTAATCAAGTCCGAAAACAACTCAATTGTGGTTAATTCGACTGTTTGTTGGCTGACGGCCGATGAAGCTTCGTTAGATACGAATCCAGTCGCCATAGTACAGCGTTTTGACAATGGAGTCAAAATAAGCATGGTTGACTATTCTGTGAATATCTAACTTGTTTTCGTCGTCGAGACAAACTTGATCTGGCGTTTGAAAGCGGTTTACACGAATTGCTTTCAAATGAAGTTGATAGGGAACCCAAAATTTGTCGCGACGAAAAAAAATTGTGGTCATGGCGTGTTTTCTATGGATGTATTTGCTATTCACTGTTAGGTAGAAGAGATCTTCTTGATAGGACCCTTTTAATTTGTGAGTCTTGCCCATATATGGTGTTTAAATGTTTTTTGATTGATACTTACAGGGTGTCATTTAAGTTCCCGCACAAAAGTTTGACGCCATGAAGAGCTTGGCTGTCGCACTTTTCGTGCACCAATACAATTTATTTTTGTTAAATAAGGTATATTTTACTTACTTTCCAAGTTTCACCTCATTCGGATGTGTTTCCGAGAAATGGCGAAGGCTAACATCCATTGCGCTTCCATTATCGAACTTCATAAGCAAAATGTGAGCTCGAGAGACATCATTCAACGGGTCGGTGTGCCTCGTAGAACGGTTTGCGACACCATCAAACGTTTCAAGGAGCTAAATACGACCAGTCACCGTCCCAGACAAGGAAGACTCGTCTCAGTAACCACTCCTCAGAAGATCAACGCCGTCAAATCGAGGATCAGGCGAAACCCCCACAGGAGCATGAGAAAGATGGCGTTAGACATGGGAATGAGCATCTTCGCTATGGAACAAATTGTCAAAACGAAGCTTGGACTGACCCCATATCGTGTCCAAAAAGCGGCAATTCTATCGGCCGTCAGCAAGCAGAGACGCTTCGAAAAAGCAAAACGACTTCTTGCTCGCACGCGGTCTGGACAACACCTCGTCACTGTCTTCTCCGACGAGAAGCTGTTCACTGTGGAGACGGCATTCAACTCACAAAACCATTGAGTACTTGCCCAGACATCCCAGCAAGCTTCTGAGAAAAGAAGAACATATCATCGAGCCTCACATCCTGCCAGTGTGATGGTTTTCGGTGCCATCTGCTCAACCGGGAAGTGCCCCCTGGTTTTCGCGGATCAGGGGGTGAAAGTGAACAAAGAAGTCTACGTTCGGGACATTTTGGAGAAGCATGTGATGCCCTGGACCCAAACGCATTTCGGTGGGCAGAAATGGGTCTTTCAACATGACGGAGCAGCCGCCCACACTGCCAAAACTACTCAGGAGTGGTGCCAGACCCATTTTCCCGACTTCATCAAGTCATCCGAATGGCCTGATTGCTCCCCAGACCTGAACCCGCTTGACTTTCCCGTGATGGGGTCTTGCAGGAGAAGGTCAACGCAAAACCCCATTCAAGTGTAGAGGCTCTGAAGAAGACATTACTGGCGGAATGGGACAATCTTTCCATCGAATACCTGCGTACCACAGTCGCATCCTACCCGAAGCGTTTCCGTGAAGTCATAGCTGCGAAAGGAGGCCGAATCAAAAAGAGTTAATAGATAAATATTTGTTATACTATAGATAAAAAATATTTTGAGTCTCGTTTGATTTGGACTATTAGTTTCAGAAATATACGTCTTCAAAGTTGTGCGGGAACTTAAATGACACCCTGTACAACTTAACTCTTTCCATTTATTTCTTTTCTGTCCAATCTATTACTTATTATCTTGTAGGTAAATTGACCTTCCCTGATGATGATCTAAAGATCGAAACGTCGTATAAAAAATTTAAATAGTGTGCAAGACTCACAAATTAAAAGGGTCCCATCAAGAAGATCTCTTCTACCTAACAATAATCCACACGATGCACTCAAAACAAGTCTCTCCACAACTAACAAAACTATTTGCTATTCGTTATAGAGAATAGGATATATTTTCAGATCGTATGGTGCCTTCTTTATGCAATAATTGCCTTAATGGCTGTCATTGGAAACTTACTGGTTTTATATATCACATTATTCCGACTAAGGTGTGTTTTTTTGGTTGGTTTCCGACAAAATTGAACTGTTTTGCAGGGTTCGCTCGATAACAACGTATTTTATCATAAATCTTGGGTTTGCCGACTTATTTACGGGCATTTTTGCTATTCCTTTCAAGTTTCAAGCAGCGCTTTTTCAGGTTTTCGTTTCGATTCGATTTCGTGTCGAAACGCACATTTCGCTTTACAGGAATGGTTCCTACCACGACCGTTATGTCGAATAGTTCCTTATGTGGAAACCGTCGCACTCACAGTTTCCGTGTTCACATTGGTGACATCGGCAGTTCACGAATTTCGAACGACGTTCTTTTCGAAGTGTGCTCAAATGAGTGCTCAGAATGCAAAAAGGAGTGTGATTTTGATATGGATTGTGTCGTTGGTGGTATCGTTGCCGCACGGATTATTCCATTCCACATTTGAATTTCCCGACCAAGGTCTTCTAATCATTCAGGTAATTCATTTTTTCGAATAAAATCAGAATAAATATAAAATCAAAATGAATGAATAGTGCGTCTTTATAATATTTTATATTTTTTTCCAAGTATCTTTAAAACGGATTATTTTAAGATTTTAAAATGCATTGAGATAAATTAGAACTTTCTCAATTAGTTTTAAGAAATCTTATAAGATTAAAAAAATAATTGTATTAGTTCTTTGAGGGGTCAATAATTACTACGACGCACCAAATAACAATACAATTTCTCATAACATTTCAGAATTTATTACAGACAATTATTTGATTTTCCAATTTTTTTCCGAAATATTTCTTCCTGTTACAGTAAACCAGTATTACCAATTAGATTGTTTTTCTCTGAAATTCACTGAAATGTGTTTACAGCGAAATCTCTCTTGTTAAAATTAGAAAAAGCTGGGCTCCTGAGCGCGTCCCTACAAACTCGGTTTCGTGCCCAAATTTTGGCACCGTTGTGAGGTTGAGCCAATGGAGTAGAAGCAGACAGGTTTTTAAAAATAAAATTTTCAAAACTTTTTCAGTGTTTGCCTGTTTATCCCAATGAAGACTGGTGGAAAGGTTACAACGTGTACTTGACAATTATCCAATATTTCGTGCCAATGCTCATCCTCGACACTGCTTATACGATGATTGCGGTCAAGATCTGGACGACAAGTCGGCGACGAATCGAGCTCGACGAGACAAAAACCGCAAATCAAAAGGTTTTTTATTTTTAGCTGTTTTTTTTTTCGTAAAATTCTCAAACAATTCGCCAATGGTGAACAAATTCAAGTTAGATCCGCAAACGCTGCATACGGTTGAGTCGACGTGGCGATCAACGAGAAAGGTCTTCTATATATCATTTATACATATTATTTTTGTACAATTCGTGGTTTTGACGCGATGTTCGTTTTTTTCATTTCATTTTCTCTCAGTTTCGATGTGGTTTTGTTATTTTGCACAAAAAGCACCGGAGCACAAAAAAATCCATACAAATACAAATAGTTCTGCGAATTTTTTTAAAAACAAAACATAATAATAATTTTAACTGAAAAAAATTGTTTCCACCGGTTAGTTGATTCATCAGTTCTTCCTCATAAACTCTAGATCTGTTCACATTTCGTTTTTCGAAAATGGCTGCTCACTTTCTGTATAAAAAAACTTGCACCCAAATAATTCATACTAAAATATTTCAGTTTATTTTTGCAAGGTTTCGTTCAGTCGTCTTCAGAATCAATTTTCAAAATTATTCGAGCTTGTCATTCATTTAACACATTCTTTTCCATTTTCACTATTTCTGTTTCATCCTGTTTTGGATTTCCCTTTTCACAGCTTAACCGATTCTAGTTTTTTTTTTCTTTTTTGTGCTTTTCATTTATAATCGATTCCTCAAGAATTAAAAGAAACGTCAAATAAGAGCATTAAGTTGGGGAATAGATTATACCAAACGCGGGTTGAATTTTCTTCAAAAATATATCGAATTTCAGCTGATGCGGGTCCTCATCATAGTCGTCGCTTGCTTCTCGCTATGCTGGTTTCCACTTGAGACCTATTTGTTGCTCAATGAGCTCAAACCGGAAATCAATGGTTGGAAATACATCAATCTTGCCTTCTTCTTCTCTCATTGGCTCGCAATGAGCAATTCTTGTCTCAATCCGATCATCTACGGCTTATATAATGTGAGAGTTGCATTGAAAAGCGATTTTCGAGAAACCAACAAAATTGATTTGAATTTTCAGACCAAATATAATGAGGAGTATCGAAAAATTTTCAATCAAATTACGAGTTGCACTTGTCGAAGGAAAGACGTCGCCGAATCGGTAGGCTCGCTTTTCTTCAGTTTTTGTTTCGTCGATTTTTACGCTTCTGGTGGCATTTAAAAAAAAAGTTTGGATTTTATAAATGTTCGACGTGTTTTTTCTCGTTCTAATCAGGCTATTTCTCCAATTTTCTTTAAATGATTCCATCTTTTATAATTATGAATTTAGAGGTTCTTTAATAAGACCAAAGCACGATAATCACTAGTTACTTTTTTGGCAGTTAGCGATTGCTCTTGCTGGTTTCTACCTGCGGATATTTCAATTTTCTTGCCGAACTTTTTCTTTTTTGGCCATTCGAATAAGCTTTGGTCCCTATCCGTTTCGATTCGTTTCGTTTCGGAAAAAAGGGAAAAGTTTGCATGCATTTTTCGAACACACATTCCTCTCTAATTAATACAATGTTCCCCATCCAATTTTTGCGCGACGAAGAGCCCTGAAATGCTCGTAAAAATTGCCTCATTTTGACGAGTTGCATGCCCCCGAGCCGCAACTTTTTTGTGTGTCCGCTGTCGTCTGAATTGGTCTCCGGAGACGCGAGATTTCGACGCTTCTCGTGGGCCGTTGTTGTTGTTGTTTTTTTCGAGCGGTTTTTGGGTCCTCATTTGAATTTGAACAAACAATTTGTGTTTTAAACAAACGGAAATTGTGTTCGATTAAACAAAGAAAGAAAAAGAAAAGGACAAAGAAGTGTCGTTAGATCCAATTGGACAAAGATTTCAAGAAAAGATTTGAATTATTTTCAAGGCTTCTTTTTCGAAAATTTAACATTTTTACAAATAAATCTTGATAGAGAAGTTTGAAATTTTCAAGACAATAATTGAATTTTCCAACACTCGATGGTTGCACAAAAAATTTTCAAAAGTTGACGTGAAATTCTTAACCTGTTCGTTAGGCAAATGTATTGCTTCATTCTAACCCCTAAAACGGAAATATCTTATCTTCGAAAAAAAAAAGAAAAAATGCAAAAAAAATTATTGGCTATGTGCCAATGCGTCTCGAGGCAGCGAGAAGCACGCAAGACTGCGTACATTGCATTATAGTGTACGCGCATTTAATATTCGGTCAACGATAATTTTAAATCTACACTAATTTTGCGAATTTGAAGACTCTCTTCAATACGTTTGACGCCGAAAATACAAAAATACAAAATGGCGCATTTTATTTGCAACTGTTTAAAAATTTAAAACTATGATTTCGAATTTGTCACGTTTTGCCGGAGTTAGGCTTCGTTTTCAATTTAAAAAAAAAAACATTTTTTTCTTTTCTTCACTTTATTTCCAAAAAAAATAATTTGATAAATGTAATCAAAAAGAAATTCGAATTCCAAACTATAAAATATGTACATTTTAGAAAATTCAGAAATTTTGTATTTGTCTTTTCAACATACATATGTGCATCCAACAAAAAACACATATGAGTACTCTATTATTCTCGTAATTTATTCGGCCGACCAAATGTGTGTAGTCTTCAATTGAATTGCGCCAATATGCGTATTATGCATATTTGTTGCATAACGATTAACTCGGTTGGTGGGGTTCTCGTGGATGCCGCCGCCGCCGTCTTTTGACCACTTGAAACACGCGGCCGAATTCGCAATTTGCGACAACACGGGGCCCCTTAAATCTGATTAGTCCGCGACCAATCGAGTTGAGTTGCTTCACACCCAACCGGATGCATTTCGATCTTGTGAATTATGAGGTCTCAAATTGCCAATCCAATATGCTTGAATGGCTATGTTTATGGCCTATAAATGTTGCAAAATATGCGCACGATTTTTGATTGGAGTCGGTCTTGTGCTAGTAAAATAACATAAATGGTTTGCGTGTTAATTAATGGTACTTTGCAGATCTCTCAAAAATAGAACTGAAAAGAAAACCTACCAAAAAGTAGTGGTTCCCCGAAATTTGCATAGAAAAAATGTCAACGAAATGCCTCATCGCTGAATCATATTGTAATTATTTTTCGCCGCAATATTCAAGGCAATCTCTCGGTTTATTTGCGACCTAGCATACATTTTGCAACGCGATTTTTCTATTCGACAAACACTGAAAACAATTGTAGTATGAACAGTTTGGAAAAAATCATAAATCCCTGAAATTCTCTCCTATCATCATGCGATTTGGTGTGCAGTTTGATGCTCTTTTGTTTCTCATAGAACATCTGGTGATAGGCAATAAAAATGGCTTGTGACTTGTAAGTTTCGAGTTATTTATATATTTCAATGACGTACGGACGACTACCAAAAGGTTTCTGGAAAATCTGAAATTTGTGAAAATTCATTTAAAAGCGAGTTCAATTTGGGCTTAATATATTTTTTCTTTGAAGCATTAATTAGAAATTCCGATGTCGAATATAATCCCTTTTGAAAAAAAAATTAATAAGATTTTCAAAATGTGCAAAATGTTTTGAGAATACTGATAATGTCGGATTCAATTTCATTGGTCTTTTTAATTAAAAATTGCGGTCTCTTTCAATTTCGAATTTAAAAATAGAATATTTGTTCATCGCTGATATTGATATATAATTTTCAACGCTAGAGATTGCATCAGTCTCGAAGATTTGCTTTTGTTGCGAAATGCATGCTAGACGCATAATGATTTCTGAAACAAAGCTTGCAGATCGAAGTTAACAGCGATGAAATCAACGGATCCTAGACCCCTCCTACCTCTTCTATGGCATGTACATATAAACCTTCGCAATCAATCATGTTTGAAAATTTGAGAAAAAAAACGCGGAAAACATTCATCAGTTGGAAAACGCCAGAAAAAATCTCATGCATCCAAATTACTTCCAAGAATTGAAAAATATGAAATATTGAAATAAAGACAATATATTTAATAGGAAAAGAAACATTCAAATTGAAGCGAATAATGGGTTTGTTTGCCGAATTACCTTGAAAAGTATCGTATGAATCAGACGGAATGTTGACATTTCTCTCATTTTCTCTTTGAAATATTTCATCGAGCAAAATTAAAAAAAAAAACAAAAAAAATTTTAAAATGTTTCATTTTAAAACGTCGAATTAAAGAAAAAACAGTGCTCCACAAAACTATATACCCACCCCAATTTTGTCGAATAACTCGAAAACGCGAATACCTCCAGAAATGGTTTCAATTAGAAAAAATATATGCGAATTTATTATTAGTTTCATGTTACATTCACAAAATTCAACAAAAAAATAACAATTTGAAAAATTTCTTAATTTTTTTCAGAAGTGAAAAAGTTCCACATAATTGTAGTTTTCATGAATTAATGTCTTCCCGTGGTTTGATCAAACGTTGCCTGTTAGCGAGGCTCCCATTCCCCCCTTAAGCTCCTCTCGGAATCCGATAGCAGCGGAGCCAACGCGAAGTTCGCAACAAAAAAAATATTTTCCGAAGCGGTAATACGAAACTTGTTGACTCCGAAACGCGTCGGCCATTTAAGGACCGAGGAGAACATGTCTTGAGCCATAAAAATTGCTGGTCGAAAATCAAATCAACTCGCATCTCATTGCTCATTCTTCGTTTATTCGTCGCAACACCACATTAAATTGTCCTTTTTTCAGAAATCGCCGGATCAACGATGGAATACTTCTGAATATTGCACCAACGGCCAGGAAATCGCATTTGTTTAATTATTATTTTTTCTTTTTCTGTGAATAAACTTTGAAAGCCTTGCGAGTGGAATATTTTATTCAAATTCATGAAGGATATTTTTTTTAATGGTTTTTTCGAAAGACAATTGACTGAAATCGAATTTCAAATAGTCTGACCGAAATTAACAAAAAAACATTATTGGTTATGTGCAAATGCGTCTCGAAGCAGCGAGAAGTACGTGAAACTGCGTACATTGCATTATAGTGTACGCGCATTTAATATTCAGTCAACGATAATTTTAAATCTACACTAATTTCGCGAATTTGAAGACTCTCTTCAATACGTTTGAAGCCGACAATTCATATAATCAATAAATTAATTTTCCAAAAATTCTGTAATACCTTTTTAAAGAATGATGAGTCTTTTTTTTTAATTTGAAGAATCCTTATCGGAAGTTGATAAAAAAAAAAAAAACAAAAAAATTCAAATCAAATAGAATTTATTCCTTTTTGGGAATAGGTATTGCTACTGTAATACGAATGCAACAGAATGTTGTTGGTGGCCGCCGACCACCTGTCATCAATATGGTCCCACTCATTACAACCCGAATGTCACACCTATGTTCAAAACGGTGGTCCGTTCATAATTATTTCCTTCTTGTTCCGTTCTTGGCTCGCCGTTATTATTATTAGGCTTCTTTTCACCATTTATGTTGGCGGATTTGTGGCGAAACATGGCAACGCACCTCGACGACCAACCGGAACACACTCATTATACCTGATTGAGTCTACGAGTCTTCCACCTGCCTGCCGCCTTAATTATGAGTTGATGCTCTCATTTTTGGCATTGTGCCCGTGAGGGGCGATTCGTGGTAAACAAAAAGCGCTCGCCCGCGCGCGCGAGCTGTTTGGAACCATCTTCTTTTTCGTCTTGTTGTTGTTGTTATGTTGTTGTGTTGTTGTGGAAGCTTGCTGCTGGTAGCAAAACGCTTTCCTTCCTCCCATCTCCCCCTTCTTCATCGTCTCCCTTTTCCTTCTGAAAATCGATGTGCGCGAATGTTGCCCCGGCGTCTTCTATTCGACTCGACTCCGCCCACTTTTTCGGCGAGGTTGTGTCTGGCCGTCGCGAGCCTCTCGGCATGCGGACGACGGCGAGCGCGCTGCGCCGCAATTTTTCGCAGTTCATTTTTTTATTTCGCGTCAGACGATGCGCAGACCCGCGCGTTTTCCGACCTATTTGCATGCTTGTTTGTTTATTTGTTTATTGTTTGCGGATTTGTTGACATCTCAGTCAAGCTCGACAATTGCGATGTTTTTTCGGCTAAAAGAAGAAGAAGAAGAAGAAATAGGGAAAAGATTGTCGAATATTTGCGCAACACCAAAAACATCAAAAATCCCACATTTGGCGGCCCGATGTGTACACAAATGTAGCACTTTCTCTATACGCATAAATAGACAGTAGAGAAATGCCAATTCTATTGTTCGTTTGTTCGATTTCAAAATTTTTTCTAACAATCATAATCATCGAAAATTGTTATGTGTTATCAAAATAGTCATTTCGATTAGCTATTGTATGTATGAATCAGCGCTTTTCGAAATTGTTGATTATAAAAGTTCGAGAACATTGATGTTTTTGTTTCTCTCGACAGATTAGTCGTCATCATACATATATATGTATACTATTGGAACATCAAACTCTCGTCCATTAAATGAAATTCGAGATCAATTCAAAGAAAATTCGTTAGCACTTTTCATTAATCATTTTTTTTTCGCCATAAACCGTGTGAGCAATGATATAAGGATTTCGTATATCTGTGCCTCTAATCTCTGTCCAATTTATGAGGTCGACATGGCCCCCCGTGCTTTATCTATATTTGGATCAGGCCCTGGGACCCACCGCCGTCCGCAATAACACTTGTCGGGTTCCCTTTTTCGGTGGCAGACGGTGCAAAATTTCATTGGACCCGACGGGGGCAGGTGCGGGTTCGTTTGTTCGAAACCTCAAAATTCTTTTATATCTCCAATATATGTATTGTTTATACTTTCTGTTTCCTCTTGTCCGTTTCTCCTCCTCCCTTTTTTGGTTGAGGACGTCTGCCAGTAAACTCATTTGTTTAACCTTGGAGAAGCGATTGCAGTGCACGGCTGCATAATTAGCATTTCCTTGGTGTGCGGTCTTGGTTACATATCGCAATTTTTCTTTCTTTTTTTCCCTCTTTCGAAAACAGATATTAGAATTCTTCAAGGTTAGACAATTCATATTTCCGCTCCGATTTTATGTGCAACGGGACCACCGCCAACGATTAATGCGTTTTTAATTTGAGAATGCGAATACAAAATCGTTCTTTTTTTTGCGTCGCCATCGTTATTTTATAAGTCATTAAATTAATGTGTTGAAGGTTCACGATGAGGCTCGACGCCATTCTCGTATGCACAGTTTTGCTCATTCTTGGATGCAGCGCCGAACGCCCAAAAGTGAAAGATACTCTCGGAAATTTGCTCGTCAGAATCAGGTGTGCAGTAAAATTTTGTCAGACTTTTTATAATATCGAAATCGATCATGTAATCTTGTCAATTTTTTCTCAATTAGTTTTTTTCTGCACTCCGCAATATCTTACACGCAAAATTGCGGAAGACCGGGTTTTCAAAAAAATAGGAGCCCGGTCCTGAGCACTATAGAACACCGTTCAGGTCCGGGCCGGTGGTCCCGCTTTTTTCAAAATTTTTACAAGAGAAATTTCACTATAAATATCTGCTGACATTTCTCGGAGATGCGCCACAATCGCCTATTCGTTGATGGCAATTGAAGCACGTAAAATAGAGGGTTCGTGGACGGGCTCGTCTTATTTTTTTAACAACCCTGCGGAAGACCTTATTTTTTTGTGTTTTTCTTTTTATGAAAATCATTTGTTATGGCTTGTGCGCCCAAAATTTTTAATATTTCATGAATAGGATTCCAATTCAAAATAAAAACCGACACACATTTTCTGTCGTATTTGGGTATTTGTTAAAAATTTCGCGGTCTAGCGAGTGAGCGACGCAGAGAATTCGAGTTTTACCAATCTCCCCTCTCATTTGTTTGTTAAACTCTTCAACAAAAAAATTCGAAAAGTGTAACGAGCAAAATATTGATAGATTTCTCACAATTTTTGTTGTTCACCGTGTTTATTGACACAGATGGGATTGATGTCAAAAACCATATTTGGCCAACGCGTGCGCGAAAGTGCCTAGGCTTCGTCAAGCACCATCGACATTATTTGTGCTCAATAGTACTAAATGCAACTACCGTTGAACTGACGGCACAAACATCCAATTTCCGCCTGAATAAAATCTGATGCGATAATTGTTTTTCAGTGATATCCCGGTCGGGTCATGCGGCGGCGACTCATATTTCGGCCTTGGTATCATGGAAGGATCACTGGAGGAATGCGATCGCTGGAAGGTTTCGAATGGTTCCGGAGACTACGAGGAGCACAAGTGCAAGACATTGAGAGTTCACGCTGAAATGCAAAACGGAAAATGTCAGTGCAAGAATAACTGGAAAGGTACGAACATGAAATCAACTTTGATTTAGTAATAATAATACGGGACCTTGTTAATTAAATATTCCGAATGTGATATTCATCGAAACACATGTAGAAATCAATAATTGATGAGTAACAGTTTTCTTCTGCTTCCGTGATCATTAATTTTCATTCGGTTGATTTTGCGCAGCAGCAGCTGATCCATGAGCCTCTTCACCCCATCGACTCCGCGGACCATCTAATCAATAATTCATCGACCGCACTTTGTTGAATGCGGTCCGTTCGCATCTGTCGCCGTGTGCTCCGTTTTATAAACATTCTCACGCTAAAAACCTGTGAGAGTATGCCCATTTAAAGGCGCTCCCCTCCCCCCCCCCCCTATATTCTATCGATGATGACCGACGACACAAGTGTTTCTAACACCAACATCCAATCGACGCATTCTAATTAAATTGGTGAAGAAAACCTATTATCGCAACTGGGAGAAAGATACTCTTGATGAAATTAATCTTGCTAAATTGAAAAAGTATGTACATAAAACTGGAGTGAGACATCAAAACGAATGGAATCGAATTTAATTTTGCTCGTGCGCGCGAACGGAAATTGAAGCGAGCCTGACTCATCTCATCAGAGTAGGTGTTTTTGGCTCAATATGGAATGTTCAAAACAACAACAACATATGTTTTTTTCGAATATCGGAATTATATTCCGAACATGGATTTGGTCTTCGGTCAACTTCTCAAAGATTAGCTTGTACGAAAAGCGAGAAAGAGAAAAAAATTTTGAGAAACGAAATCTAAAATTAGCCAGCTCTATTTCTCAAGCAACCCGTTATTATTTTCAGGACCAATCTGCAATGATTACAATGGTTGCCCAGAAGGTCATTCGCTGTACGGATCAGTGTAAGTTCCTCATTTTTTTTGTTTCGACTCTCGACGCAAAACACTCATAATCCGATCGTCCGACGGCAGCGAGATTATTTAAACATACCTCCCACGTTTCCTAAAATTTGAATGTTTTCCACATGATGTGAAGGTAATGTGCTAAATATCATGTGAGAAGAAGCATCTGGAACATCAAAATTTTATGCGAACGTCAGTCGAGGCACTAAAGAAGACCCAACAAAAAAATTGAAAAGCTCATCCATGTTTTTATCGTCGCTCAAAACACCCTCGTTGATATATGTATTTCTCAAGGGATCGAATTTTGTTGTCGAGATATAGGAAGTTCTACCTACGAATTGAATGCATTAAACCATAAAATCTGTTGAGTGTGCCGACAGAAAAAAAAGAAGGAAGAAAAGTTGTGACGAATCGAATTGCGTGTTTGACTCCTTCCTCTCTCAATTTTTTTCGTGGGCCCGAATTTGGTTAAGCGAACAAAACAAGAAAATCAACGGCCGCCGGGGGTTGTAATTAAAAGAAATTTCGTGGGGAAATAGCATTTTAGGAAAATTCTTTTTAAAAATAGAATTTTGAGGGACGGGGGCGGGGATTTCCTTTTGGTGTGAATAATTTGATTTATGTTTATTTGACATGCCCATATTCAATCTCATGCGACAGGTGGAGGTCAAAAATGAATGTTTTGAAAATCGGTTGGGATTATGAAAACAATATATGAGGGCAATCAACACGGTTTTCCGATTTTCTGTTTTTAATGTTTTTCATTGGTTTTTTCGAATTTCAGTTGCACGGCAAACGTGTGCCAACACGGTGGAGAGCTCGCCGTCGGAAAGAAGGAGATCGAATGCATCTGCCCAGCTCCGTGGGATGGTAGATACTGTGAGCGTCTTGCATGCTGGCGCAAAACCACTCTCGCCCATCAGCACAGATACCGCAATAATGGCGATCATTGCATTTGTGGAACTCACTACACCGGAGAGAACTGCGATATTGTGACCTCGTGCTTGAATAATGCGAAATTGGAGAACGGCGTCTGCAATTGTCAGGAAGGATGGCATGGAGAATTGTGCGAGAAGAGATGCCCGAAGGGACAAGTCACGTATGCTCTTTTTTTCATTCATTTTACTAAATTTATGGGGGTTTCACCAACGTGCAAAATTAATTCATTTCTATTATTTTTTTGCCTACGAAAACCGGAAATTTTACAATCAAAATTCGGAAAATGAACAATTTTTCATAATATTTAATTTATTTAAAAACGCTAAAAATATTCTACCCACGTGATTTTATGTGATATCATGAAACTTTCAAGAATTTAGGCCACAAATTGGCTTTTGATTCGTCGGGACCATTTTGTGTCGTCATGGGCACATTTGAAGCACAAAAATTTCTGATTTCTATAAAATTAAAGACCTTTGCATTAATCATCTACTGATTTATTTCAGATGCGCCTCATCGGCTGTTTCGGTGATCGGTGTGATGCTCCTTTCATGGCTATGCTCGAAGCTGTTGTAATTCTTTGCAAGACCCATTCAGCATTCACAATCATCCCACTGCCTCTAGTCGAGTTCATTTTCAAAAACAAAATAAAAAAAAAAGACAATTTAACGACGACTCTCGATTCAAAAGCTTTTCCTGAATTAGAACGTCAGAAGACCAACTAGAATACTTAGTTGCGAGTTTTTTTTCCCCACTTTTATTTTAATTCTACTTGTTTCCCTCCTCACAAATTTATATTTATTCTAATCTGTATTTGTTTCATCCGCAACTCTTTCATCATTATGCGCCTGATTTTTTTTGTGTTCCTTTCAATTTTTTTCTTCTTCGTCTTGCGAAATAAATCAATTTATTGATTACGATAATAGTGTGAAAATAATTGAACAAAACTTGGAATTTCTCGATTTGCAACAACATTGGTTTTTAATAAAATATATTAATGATGATAAATATGCGCAAAAAATAAAAACGAAGTACGGTTCAAAAATTTAAAACGAGCGCTTGACTTTTGGGTTTCCAGAGAGACGAATGCGAGCCTTCATTGGTTTACGATCAACCTAAAAATAATTTTTTTAAATTATTAAACATAGTGATATTTAGTATTTGTTCTCAAAAAAGAGACCGGCAAATTTAGTTTTTTTAAAGTTATCTAGTGCATTTCGAATGATTTTGTCAATCAAAGTGTTTACCTTTTGAATGCGGTCGAACACAGAGGTCTGCTTTGGTACATTAGTCTCGAGAATATCGAATTCCTGTCCGTCAAGCATGACACCTTCGAATTGCTTTTTGATTATTGCAACCTAAATCAATCATTTTAATCCATTAAACCTCAAGTAAATAATTGTACTTTTTCAGATGGAACCACAAGATCAGCGGTTCCCAAGCTATTACCAGCGGCGTCATGATGAAGGGTAACTACTTCAGGATCGAATTCTTGGAACAATTCCTCTAGATCTTCCTGAAATGCATCATATGTAATATTTAAATTTGAAAGGAATATACTTGTGTGACAGTTGAGGCCAGGTTGCTAATGAACAAAGTAGATGGTCCAGCTGGAAGGACGACAGTTGGGGTGACATGACGAACACCGCGAATAGATGAAACAGTTATATTGCGCGCTGGCAAAGTAGACTTTCTGCGTATTTGTGGGTTCGGTTTGCGGTCATTCTTCTATAAATAAAAATTGATTAATTGATAAATTTCGTTTGTGCAAACCTGGAACATATCATGCTTCCACTTTCCATCAATACCACCGCGAGAACTAAAAAGTAATTTTAATGAAATCGAAGTATTTTCAATTGTGACTTATATTAAACTAAAAAAAATAATTTTTAATAAACATCTTACTCGCTTTAGAAGATCAATAATTTTTTGTTTCCGTGGAAACGGTTTATTTCAAAAATCAACGAGCAGAATTTTATCGGAATTATTTACCAGAAAGATAAAAATTATTAATATTAATATTTATTCTTTCCTTGACCGGAATTTATTGTTAGAAAGAATGTACTATACAGAAAATACTTGGAAATATATTGATTTTTAATATTTTCGAAAATTATTTAGGAGATTTCTCACCTTTTGCTTCTTCCATATGTGGAAGTTATCTTTCTTTCCTTTTCAATCTCGTCGGCGTACATTTCCTTAAAAAAACTATTGCTTAAAAATAAAAAATCGCGGTGGAATAAGGACAAGAAAAAATAGCCAAAATGGAGAACCACATTCAAAAATCTTCAATAGCGTTGGTGTAACGTGCGCACTCGGTGAATACACACATTGCGTACCGTAACCGAGAAAATTAATTTTTGAGAAAGTTGAATTTCACCACAAATGAAGTAAAAATTAACAAATTTGAAATATTATCTTAAAAAATCATAATAACATATTTTGAACATATTTTTGGTGTAGGCTGTAAACAATAACTGGGAACATATTACGGACCAGTTTTCAGGAGTGAAGACCTGATCAGAGATTTCAGGCGAAAACGTAGGTCCTCAGTATGTGCAGTATGATCTGCACTGATCTTAACAACAATCTCACTTACGTCCTCTTTTTCCTGCCGCTTCTTATCGTCATAATAAAATAAAATGTTATGTGTTTTTTCACGTCCAATGCTAATTATTCCAACACAATTGCGCGTTTAAATGACTTCATTCGTGTCAAATAACATAGCCCCACGTCACAATATCATTAATAAAGACTCGTGTTTTTTGTGGGCTATTATGAATTGTGTGGGGGCCTTACAAGAAATTTTTTTTAAGTTAAAAATATTCGAGTCATTTCCAGACATGGAAATGTACAATGCGATAAAGAAAACTATGTGTTACTCAAAATCGGACAAAATCTGATTTTATTAATAAATGAATAAATAGTTGGATAGAAGTCAGAGTTGTCCATTTGACATAGTAACACCTAATTTTCTGATTGTGAGATGAACCCTACGAAAACAAATCAACGCTTACAATAAGAAAATTATGGATGAGCTTCAATAAGACTTCCCAACGGCAGAGGGGATTCTTACTCTTCCGCATCATGAAGTCATGTTCACAGTGCTTTTTTGGCGCGTCTGTTTCTTTACTGAAATGGACACTCAAGCGAGCACTTCCCAAAAATTGAGTTGAGTTTCGTTAAAATATCCGAGGTTAACAATTTTTGAACAATTTCAGTTTCTGGCCATACTTCATTGACAATTACCCATTTCCTTACCTCGGGATTGTTGAGAAGTTCCATACAATTTGTAGTTTACGCTAGTACTAATCGTCAATACTTTGTCGCTGATTTCGGCGGACAACACTTCATCCTCAACTGTTGTGTTAAGATATCGAAAAAGAAGATCCCGCTGTCCAATGATTGTATAGTGGTGGTCGAGAAAACCCTAATTGTAATTCACCATTTTCTTCAAAAAATTCTTGATGTGAATTAATTTTTTCAAAACAACTCTTTTGCGATAAAAAGAACGTCGATTATTTATTTTAAATTGTTACTGTTAAAGCGATAACCGGGTGCTAAAATAAAATAACAATTAAAACCATGAAAACCAGATACCAGAATTACGTGGAGCCTAATAAGCTCAAACAAAATCTAATGATGGATCATTCAAAAAACTCGTAGTGCAGATGGTGTAGAAAAGAAAAACAAAAAAATTCATTAAAGATTTTTAGTTGGAATATTCCTTATTTAGAGCACGGCCAATAATCAAACGACGGACCTGAAATTAAAATTCTAGTTTCACTAGTTTGAACACATGTCTCACTTCGCTAGTTCCAGCTCCAATCTCATAGAGTTTCGCATCACGAAGGAAACGTCCGGTTGGGTAATCATTGATGTATCCGTTTCCACCAAGAATCTGAATAGCGTCCAAGCAAACTTGTGTGCATTTCTCAGCAACGTAAAGAATTACTCCAGCGCAATCCTGAAAACACACAAGTAATTTGAAAATTTCAATTTCTCTATCTAGTTTCTACCTTGTTCGAAGCATTTCCGTTATCAGCAGCTTTAGCAGCGAGATACAAGTAAGATCTGCAGGCGTTCAACGTGGTGTACATATCCGCCATCTTTCCTTGGACCAACTGGTAAGTTCCGATCTTCTGTCCAAACGCGACTCTCTGATGGGCATAGTCGAAAGCAACATCACAAGCAGCTTGCATCAGTCCAAGTGGTCCTCCAGACAACACAAGACGCTCATAGTCCAATCCAGTCATAAGAACATACACTCCTTTTCCGACTCCTCCCATTACTTGGCTTTCTGAAAATAGTTGCAATTTTGTCTCTTTCCTCGATTGGATTAGTACCGTGTACTTCGCAATTATCAAACACAAGCTCACACGTGTTCGATCCACGCATTCCGAGTTTGTCAAGTTTCGGCGACCGCGAGAATCCGGGAGTGTTGCGTTCGATGATGAAACAGGTGATTCCATGCTGGTGCTTGGATGGGTCAGTCTTCGCGTAGACGACATACACATCAGCGTCTGGTCCATTGGTGATCCAGAACTTGGTGCCATTGAGAACATACCCAAAAAAGATTTGTTAGTCATCAAATTTTTCGAACATTTCGATTCTTCTTCCTATTCGTATTTTTAGGTACTTGCTTAAAACAAACTAGGCACAACAAGTTTGATAAAGAATATTTTGAATTCGACGGACATATAATAGCTCATTTCAAAAAACCAAAATATTGTGTAACATTGAAAAAGACACCCCGTCATCCATCACCCGCTCATCACCTCACAATTTTCAAATATTATCAACGACCACAATAAATTTGCATAATCATTAACACATTTTCGGAACCGCGATAAGAAATCGCGTGATCTACAAAAATTGCTTACTTGTCACCCTTCTTCTCAGCTCTCAACTTCATGCTCACGACATCAGATCCAGCGTTGGCCTCCGACATGGCCAATGAGCCAATGTGTTCACCAGAAATTAGCTACAAGTCACCAATTATTGTGTGATTCTCAACAGCAATTTGTCAACCTTTGGAAGATATTTCTTCTTTTGCTCCTCGCTTCCATTTCGCACAATTTGGTTCACACACAAGTTCGAGTGTGCTCCGTAGGAAAGTGCAATTCCTCCCGCAGCACGTGAGAGTTCCTCCATCGCGATGACATGAGAGAAATAGTTCATCGCAGAACCTCCGTACTCAGCTGAAATCGACAAAAATTAGGAATATAAGGATCTTACTCAATAATTTACCTGGTGCAGTTATTCCCAAAAGTCCCTGATCTCCAAGCTTCTTCCAAAATGGCCGCAATTGATCCCATCCGTTATCTTTGTCGATTTTATCGGCAAATGGAGCCAATTCCTTTTCAGCGAATTGACGAATTGATTGGCGAAGCTGAAAATAGTTTGACTATCTGAATGAAAAATTGAATTTGATCAACTCACCGCAATCTCTTCATCGTTCAATCCGAAAAACGAATCATCAATTGGATAAGCGGAAAATTGGCGAACCGATTTGAATGAGCTGGCGACAGCACGCACCAAAGCGAGCTTCGACGAGCTGATCAACTTGCTTGTTAAAGACATTTGAGATCACTGCTGAGGAACCCTGCAAAATTTTATATTTTGAGAATATGAACAAGGCAAAACAATAATGAGCTATAGAAAACGCAATTATTACTTGTAGAAGCAATTTCGAGAAAAAATGTTAGCATGACTAATAATATGGAGTCTAATTGGATTTTCTCGCTTAAACACTGGTGTCTCTTCATAATAGAAATATTTTTGAGATCTCACGGTTACAATCAAGTAGATGGGTTGTTATGCCTTTTACTCAACACTTACTAATATTGAATTAAACACCATGGCTATCAATGAAAACTCTCTAACCTACTTGCAAGAAGTTGTGAAGCTATTTTGTGGTCGACTTCGAACAGACAATGAGGTTAGGAAAAACTTACGTGACACATGGAATATAAATATAAAAAACGAGTTAATGGAAAACTTGAAAGATGTGAAACTGGCTGATTGACTGGTTAAATGTTTTTGTTTCTGATAATCACTTTGGAACTGAATTCAGCCATAATTGGTCTTTCGTCGAGTTTCTAGCAAAGGGATGAACTTGTACTTGGCAAGCAGGATGTTTTGAGAAGGAGAAATGCAATTCTTTGTTGGGCATGAATAGATAGGTTCTCATCCTAAAACATTCTAAAACCATTTATTCGAACTCCTGAAGAATTTTGTGTATTGGATTAACAAAGACTGTTTCTTATTAATTCGGCGGAGTTTGAAATTCGGAGCTTAACTCTTTCAAACACATAGTTTCGAATGAAAAAAGCTGACCTCTCAAAAGTCGACACTCGTTCTGTTTGTCTCGAGCCAACACAGCGAGATGAAAAATTCGACTGTCTAAAAATCAACCACGTGGAGAAGGGGCGGGAACGAACAAAAACTCGCAACATAAACGCACGCTGCGAGAGAGTAGAAGAAAAAAGAAAATGTGGACGTTGGAGAGACTACTTGGTTCCGTTTTACGACACAAAACTATATATACTGACTAGAAGTTTGTTTGATCTTCAAAACACATCAATGATCACCAGGAAGGAAATATCATGGATTATACGAAATCCGACGTGAATTAAAGATTTTCAACATTTTCAAAAGAAAGCGCTTCAATTCAATCTGGATAGATTATGAATTAATGAAGCTATCCTGCGAATTGAAAAAAAAATAATAAATATTTTGTATCAGGAATTTTAAATCAAAACAATACTTTAAAAGAACATGGGATACCCTCAAAATATGTAGAAAAAATAATATTCAAAATATAAAGAACAGAGCCACATTTCAATGCTGGAGAAATAGAAAGTATCATTTTTTCCATTTTATTCCGCATTGAAATTTTTTCTTTTTTTGCATGGCCCTATTATGGACTTTTCGTAATAATTTTAGCAAAAATTATTTGAAACTTTTAAGAATTCCAAGCACATAAATTAGAATGAAAATTTGAAAGAGATGAAACCTCTAATAAAAATGTCTGAATTAGTTCGTCCAAGTAAGCGGGAATATGGCTTTGAATCACAGCAAAACACATAAAAAATTTGAAAACAAACCAAAAATGTTTCCACAAACCATAGTCAATATATAATACGCCACAAGCTACTATTTTTCGATAGTTTAAATTGCGCCACTTCTTAAAATATTGAATATAAACACACGAAACCATTAAGCAAGTTTCAAGGACAAGGAAAATACCCCAAATTTGCCCTTTTATTCTTGCAGTTTGAAAGTACAAAAATGATAACATATGAAAACTGGCGAGATATAACATTTAGACTTGCACTTTTCATTGGTGGTTCAGTGAAACAATTGATAAGCATTTATTTCGGAAACTGTCAGGAATTCGGACAAAAAATTAGGTTAGAAAATCTTATAATTAACGTCCAATGTATCACAGTAAAGCGGCGCATTCATGAAAAATTGAGCAAATGTTAGAATTATGCAGTGTATGTTAATGTTCTGGGTTGAGTGGAGGAACTTGCTCGCGGATTGACGTTTTCTTTTTGTACGTCTCGCGAGCAATTTGGCGTTGAAGCTTTGTCAAACGGTCCAAAAGCTCCTCGAGCTTCTGAAAAATATTTATAATTCAGGTTGTCAAAGATTGACACAATTTATGCCCGCTAATTATTTTATTTTTGGCGCGAAAATAACAACTCTTTGAATGCACCTTTGACGTACAATGTAATTTATCTGTTTTATATATTTAGTCTTTTTCAATTCGTTCCATGTTTTTTTGTAAATAATTTTTAAAAAAAAGTGAATTAACGAATGAAACATGTCGATAGAATTTTTAGAAAAATCTAATTCACAAATTTTGGAAAACCGGTAAGATTCGGTTAATTTTAGGCTGGTTGAGCCGTTATCATCTCATGTGATCGTCTTAATAACACCTTGTTCCAATTTCCGCCTAAATAATTTAAAATCGGTTTCAATTTGGACAATTCGTTATTCTTTATTTATTTTAGCTTTACTTCGTGCATTTTTTCAATTTTGAATTTTATTTGCGAATACTAATAATTTACCTTGTGAGTAGCGTTTATTCTCAGTGTTGAGTCATTCAGTTTTCCGACATATGGCAAAAGGTCAACAGGTTGTTTGAATTCGATCAGGTCACGCAAATACTAAAAATTAATATAATTTGATGTTTCGAAGTTGATAATAAACCTCCGCCATATTCTCACAATCAGTATTTAATCGTTTTTGAGACAATTGCGTTTTGCGAATTTGATCTTGCAATTTTTCAATTGATGTTGAAAGGGTTCCCAGTATCAAATCACCAGAATTAATTGAAACTTGCGCTATCGACGACATTGATTCTAGAAGTTAATTTGAAAAACGAAAAAGAAAATGAAACGAAGAGTGAAATTGAAAACGAAACAAAGCGAGAGAAATGGCGCAAATCGATGAGCTTCACGGCGTTCACACTAGTGGGATTTACCTGAAATGAAAACTCAAACTGTGTCAGTGATCGATTGTTGGCGTCTTTGTCGCGCAGACGAATTTTTTAAAAATCGCCAGGTTTTGGCTCATTTTTCAAGTTTTTTGAATTTTTCTCAAATTTTAACAAAAAAGTGCACCGACCACGTTTTTCGCAAGGCTTTTTTCTATCGAAAAAGCTTAACTATAATTCAATCGGATAAGTATTCAGAGGTCCGTAGTTTTTTAAAGATTGAACTGTAGAAATATTCACATTTCTTTTCTCTGTTTTTTCACTCTCTTTTTTGTTAATATCATTTATTATTATATTATATGGTTTGAGTTATACGGTTATGTTTGGTAACACTTGGAAAAACATTTCATAGTTGTTTATTTTTATTTTTTTTGCAAATTTTAAATGTAAATAGTGTGTCATTTCGGCGGAGAAGTTGCAAGAGATTCTCTATAATTTTTTTGTTGTTTTTTTTTAATTTCGTTAGTTCTTACGTTAATTTACCGTTTTCAGCTTCTTTTTTTCTATTTATCTCTCTCGCGTCTTTATCTACTCGCATTGAATTCATTTATTGAATTCAGATAAGCACTCCATCTCGAAAATCAAAAGCTGGCGGAGTGATGAAACGATATCACGGACAATTCGCTTTTCGAGATTTTTTAAACTTCCGAATTACTTCAAAAGACCAATGGAAGGACGTCCTCAACTCAAAAATGTATTTTTTTAGTCATTTGTGTTGTATAACATCAAAGTGTTCTTTTCAAGCTGCCTAATGAAATTGGTAAAGAGAATCTTGTTAAATGTGTTTGTTGATTATCCATTTGTTTCCAAATTGATAAGTGTATTTTTTCCCTATTAGTTTTGCAATTTTCCAAATGTCCTTATATCCTCTTTTTCCGAATTCAATCTCTCTCGCGTCTTTATCTACTCGCATTGAATTCATCTGCTACATATCATCAATTTTTATATCATAATTCGATTGTGTAGTATTTCTTTCGTTTAATTGATGGTTTTATCATTTAAAAATGTTATGTTTAAAAAAATCCTATATAAATTAAAATAACTTATTTAATTTATAACTAATTAGACCATAAATTGCGGTGAATATGATCCACCCGAAGAAATATAAAAACTAATCGTTCTTATTGAAAAAACGCTCCATTTTGAGAATGTTTCTAATTTATTTCACAAATTTAATTTGTTGAATTTATGCACCGGAATAGCGCTAAGCTGCATGTGCGCTCCATTGAGAAAAATCTTTTTTTCATGTAAATCCCACTAGTGTGAACGCCGTGGCTTAAAATTCTGAATTTACATCGGCCACATTTTTCGCGGCCGCGGCCATAATCGAAAATTCAAAAAGTATTCACGGCGTATATATTTTAAGTATCAGCGTGAATTATAGTTTGAATCTATAACTACTGCCTGTATAGAATTTGTAATAATTCAATTTTATTTACTCTAAGAAAATGTATCCCTCACAGTTTTTTTTTTGAAATAATAACGATAACGTTATGAGCAATAAAAACGAATTTGATGATTAATAAAAACTCGTAAATGACATATATTTATTGTGTAATTTTTAATAATCGAATAGAAATATAGAAAATTTATAGAAGCGGTTCAATAAACTATTACTCTGACTGTGATTCAAAAAAATCATAAATGATATCGATTTATAATCCGTTTCCGAAAAAGTGGATACCAGAATTAGTAGCTATAAGACCAAACTCTTTTATCGCTTTCTGTGCCTTTAATCGATTATTTTATTTATTTGCCCAAAAAGAGTGGCAAAACATTTTTTACTACAAGGCATTGTAGCTCAGATAGGTTGCGGTTCACGTTTTTATTATAGTCGCAAAATTCGAGAACTCTGCAGTGTAGATTTACGTTGAGCTTGATTCGCAGGTTATCAGTAGTAGCGTACCTGAATTCTCACTTATTTACCGTACCAAATAAAACGATTGTTCCACAAAGGTGCTTGTTTTTTTTTGCGATGGTAATAAAAGAATTTCGAAAAGATAAACGAAAGCGAACGCGAACTGCAACGAGTCTGGTGTCCTACAAAAATTACGGTTGCCGCTTTCTTAGGAATCAGACTGTATTTTAGTTTCGTGATTGATATGATTACTCTCAATTTTCATGGAATTTTTCTTGATTCTTTGAATATAGAAAAATTAAAGTAATAGAAAATTGTACAGAAAAAAAAACCAAATTCAGTAGTTTTTAAGAAAATTTGAGGAGTTTTCGGAGTTTCGAAAAAATTGTTCGAGTTAATAATAAAAGCGCTGAGTCTTGCAGCGACAGATTCTGATAGTCATTTTTCGGAAACAGAAAAAGTATAAAATGAATTTTTTTTCAATATGTATCAAATTTGTACAGTAACTAGTTTTGAAAAGTTACATTCTCGCCGTAATACGCTGGCAAACGAAAATCAATCGTTTTAAATCGCAATATATGTATATTGAATGAAAAACAATCGGTTTCGAAACATTTATGTTGTATACGAGAATTTGATTTTCATTTACCAGAGAGTAAAATTAATTATATTTTGAACGCCACAATTCAGCGAATTTTAACAGTGGATTTTCGTGTTCGAACATCGAAAGAACATTTTATGTCATTTGAGGGTGTCTCACGGTTTATTAAGCGGAACACCGTGCCCTATTGAATGTAGAACATAGCGCAACACAAACCTTCAAAAGGAACACATTTTATTGATGTTCCTTTTGAAGTTGTGAAATTAATAATCCAATTTCACTTGAAAAAGAGACATTTTCACTACCAGAGAAACCAAAAACTGTACGCGCACTCATTAGTTTCACACAAATTTGTTTCCATACTTCATGTTTCATTCATTCTTACATCTACCGGTCACAGTATAGCAGATAATGGTTTGATTGGTCATGTGACCGCCATTTAGCAAGTATTTGCAAAAAATAATGCATAATTTTGAGAATGTTTTATGAATATTCAATGTTCTTAGGACCCCATATGAGGAAATGACGAACGCATTTTCCCTCCACTCTTTTTCATTCTTTCGTATATCAAAAATTGTATAGCAAGTTCGTGTTTCTGACGATTGTACTACACGTATCCGTGGGCTGTTCATCATCAAAAACTCAAATTAATGATGGTGATTTATTGACGCATTCCAAAAGTTCTTTTTATCCGAACCGCTAGGCCCTTCACTTTTTTCTCACTCGTAGTGCGCCATATCTCCGCGATATTTCGCTTTATCTCATATTTTGATACCATTCATAAGCAATCGGTGATGCCCTCCCTTCAATGAGTTCCAGAAAATTCTGAATATCAAGAACAACCGCGATTTTTCATGAAAGTTGTCGAACATATGTATTAATTCATCTTGCGAGCACCATTTCAATTTGTTCACCGAAATGTACTGAAGAAATCATTTCTTCTCATCTATTGTTGTTGTAATAATGTTCGGAATGTTCTTCGAATCGCACGCTATTTTGTGGTCCCGAGGTCCATCCCTTTGAGCACTTTCATCTATCTCTCAAGGTTTGAACACAGAATTTAACTTGAGTTTTTCTTTAGTTGTTTGTCTCACTGGCGATTTTTTTCAGACAAAAATCGCCTCGTTCAGTTTATAAATCATCACGTCGCCGTTCAATCTTTGTTCTAACCTCCGTGGCATTCTCATTAACAACCCACGGTTTGTTAAACTTCGCGGGGCACCTGTCGAGACGAATCAAAACAGCGCTTGCAAATTTGGCATTTTTTTTTGGCTGGATAATGTAATAAAATGAATGGCAAACGGATACGCGGCAAATTGGTCTCGAGAGCACAATTTCGAAAGTGATTCCTGTCCTACAAACGCTGCGCATTAGAATTATGTTTCATTTAAAATCGCCGACTCGGTGAGATTCAACAAGAAAACAACTAAAATTATTTGCGCTCTTTTGACAGAAATTCAATTAATCCATAGGGAATTCCACAATTCATTTTATTCAATACCATATGAATCAATTTGATTTGATCGATTTTTTGGAAAAGCAAAAAAATGAATATTGCTTGATGTTTTTCTTTAATGATTTTGAAAAACCCTCGGCAAACTCATGGGCCAGTGACAAAAAAATAGAACAAAATTGTTGTTTTCCTCGAAGACCTCGAAGTGAAACATTGTAACCCACGTGTTTCGCCAAAACCGAGAAAAATCACTGTTACGCGCGATAAGTTAATCGAAATCGGCCGGAAAAATTACAAATTTGTAATTGTGCGTCAATTTCACTGTTTGCAGAATTGGTGTTTCGCAGACCAATTTCGAATTTTTATTCTCTTTTTGTTTTGAATAATCTATTCGTGAATTGCGAAAATCATTGTTTTGTTTCTAATCGAGAGCCTAATTAGACTCAATGCCTATTTGTCTCATTATCCATTTTATAAACACTATTTTATGTATAGAAAGTTTGAGAACTCATCAATTTATTCACCAATAAATAATAAGAACTCGTCTACTCGATTTAGGTTATGTGCGTGCCTTGCGTTGATCAGTGGTGATGAACCTTCACAACAAACATGACGTAGGTTAGGTAACACCCAGCCACCCCAACCAATCCAATCTCCTCCATCTTCTGATCGCTATTTCACCCAATTTTTCCGCGCACTCCGCAATTAGCGTGCTCTTTCTCGCCGTGGTGACCATTTCTATTGGCACACGACCATACGAAGCGGAGGGGTCAGTCAATGTCCGCGTATCCGCTTACGCGTTATCTCTCGTCCAAGGCTCTTCTCGAAGCATATACTGTCGTTGGTGCGACCTCATCTCACTTGTTCAACGCAGTTTTTCTCGCTTTCGTTAGATTAGTGACCCCTCTACCTAATATGGTTATCAATTATAGGCTCTTCGGATTTGGCA